TTCGGATTTAGAGGCTAGTAGTGGGAAATTATAGACGTTAAGGGCGATATTAACGAGTCTAGACTACTATAAGATATAGGACGGTAAGTAGAAAAAGTTAGTAATTATTTTAGATATTATCTATACGTATTATATAGTAGAATATATAAGTATTCGTATACTCGCTACTCTACTATTATCGCTATTTATACTAACTACTATAGTTCTATCTATACTACGATTACGATACTAAATAGATATATACTAATCTCTCTACCGCCGAATATTAATAACTAGTCGATAACTTTTAAGACTATATATATATATCGTCTTCGATTCGAATTCTTATCAATACTTCGGCTATTCTTAGTTAAGAGATAATACTTAATTACGTCTATCGAGTAGTACTAATAGAACTATTACGTTACGGATCGGTAAAAGACTAGAATACGGATTATATCTACTATCTAGAGATTAAGTCTAATCGCTACTTTATCTATTATCTCGTTAATAAGTAATTCTAAATAGAGACGCTATTAGTAGAATTATAGATATTTAAGTCGAGAATATAATATCTAATTAAGATACTAAAGAATAATAGAGTAGAGAATACTAACTCTACTAATAGATAATCTATCGATATAACTAATAGATAGACTACGTAACTTTAGATCTTTATCGAGAATAATTATAAAGTAGAGATAGATATATAAGAGAAGAATATATAAGAGACGGCCGAATATATACTATTAAGAGTATACTACTACTACTACTAGTAGATAAAGAGAGATATATCGAAGTATTAGTTATAGTAAGTATCGGATATACTAAAGTCTTAATCTACTTTTATATCTCGAGATAGCTAGCGATATCTTATCGCGTATCTATATTAGATTTTTATATTATTACTATATTTTTATAAAGCTTTGGCGTTAGTTATACGACTACTTAAAGGCTTACGACGATATATAGAATATTATAAATACTAAGAGAGATAACTTAATAGAATATTAATTAGACTAGATATAATACTAAGAGCTATAATAAGAGTTACGTATATAGAATAGATATATATAATTATATCTATAGTAATTTTACTTAATAGTATACTAGAAATCTAGTAGCTTTATCGCTACTAACTTTCTCTTATATAATCTAGCTAAGTAGCTTATAGATATCTAGGCTGCGCAGTAGCGCGGGTCAACCCGACCCTACCCGCGTTCGGGCTACCCTAAGGGTTAGGCCGGGTAGGCACCCCGTAGCCTAACGGGCGCCCCGGGCGGGTACCTAAAATCTAAGCCCTACCCGCGGTACCTATTAGGGCCGGGCCGCCCTAACGGGCGAGTAGACTCTTTAAAAAAATTACCGTATTTTACGAAAAATACGCGGTTTTACTACGAAATATCTAAAAATACGGTACGGTATTGTAAATTAGTAAGTAATTACGTAAGAAAACTCGCTATTTTTAGCGAAAATCTCGCTATTTTTAAGAATTTTAGATTCTTAGCAAAACCCGTCGGGTACCCTACCCTACCCGAAACCCTCGCGGGTAGGGTAGCGCTTTTTTTAAAAACCCTAATAGGTCAACTGGGCGGGCGGTAGGTGCCCTAAACCCAGCCCTACCCAGCCCGTTGCGCAGCCTATAGATATCTATCTCTTATTAACTCTTTATAGTAACGACTATATCGCCTAAATAGTTAGTAAGTACTAGTAGCTTCTTTCTACTAGCTCTATAAGATATTATACTACTACTAGTTATCTCTATTCTTCTCTATTAATCTCTTTCTACTATACTAGCTATCTTATTACGGATAAAGAACTTTAGAACTCTATCTAGAGTTTATAGAGTTAAGCGGCCTATCTTTCTAGCTAGGCCTAGCTAATAGAGCGAATAATATAACTAAATAAAGAATACAGAAGTAGATATATATATAATACTCTTACTATAGATAGACTTACTATTTCTTCTTTAATACTCTTTACTATCTTCGTAATAGTTCTAGATTTTATAAATTCTAATATATTTATATACTTTAATATATTATCTTTAAGATACTACTAGAAACTACTATTATTATAATATCTATATTAGTCTTCGTAAGTCTTTAAGATCCTACTACGATATTACTTTTCCTAATCTATATCTACTCTCTCTAGAAAGCTATTATATCCGCTCTAAATAAGTTCGCTATAATAGTAAAAGAAGCTATAGTTATTATTATAAGTATCTAGTCTTCTATCGTCGAGGTATACTAATTATATTCTATATTATCTAGCTCGCTATTCTCGTTAACGTTCTCTATATCCTCTTTCTTAAATATCTTAATTATTACGCCGTATTATAATAGATTATTAAAGAGTCGATCAATATCGATATATTCTTTATCTTAATATCTATTATCTTTCTAGTAACTATTTTACTAGCTATCTATTATAGCTAAATTAAAACTATTAAAGAGTACGAGATATAGAATATACTCTAAGAAGAGAGATATTAATTAGTAAGACTAGTATATAAAGGCTAGGTAGTAATTACGAATTAAGATCTATATAATATTAGGTATAGCTATAGTTAGATCTTAGAAAGAAATTATATAATACTAGCGACGTCGATATTAATAGTAGAAGATCTTATATAATTTATAATACTATAGTCTATTAATCTAGTATAGTTCTCCTATATATAATATAAAGTTTAAGACACTTCTAGTTAGATAGGCGAGTCTATATTACGATACTATATATACTAATATAGGTGCGGTAGTAGTGCGATATTATCTAACCTTATATAGTACTATATAGTATACTATAATTATATCTCTAACTACTAGTAGTTAGTAACCCTATTAGGAACCGCGGCCTAAACTTCCGTCTAACTTTATATTAGAGACGCACTAGCTATACTACTAGTACTAGTATTATAACCCTTCCTACGTATAGTAAGTATAAGATCGTAGCCGTTACTAGCAAGTACGGTATATACCTACCTAGATATCTAATATCTACTATCTACCTTCTTATAGTATAATAGTATCTACTACCTAGCCTAGTACCTACTATAGTCGTTAATAGTCTTATTAATATCTTCTATCTAACTACTACTTAGTAGAACCTAGAATATATATATATCTATAATAATATACTATTTTAGCGATATTATCTTCTATCTAACTTAAGCTAGTAGATCTTATAGATAACGATACTTTTTTAATATAAGTCTTACTAAGAGACGTAGTTACTATATATACTATTAATCTACGCGTATCGCGTCTACTTTAATAAATAATAAAGAGTACTATTCTACTAATTTAAGTACTTAATAGTACTTAACTATATTCTACTTAAATAATTACTATAGTAAGACTATTAGATAGATATCGATTTATACTAACTAAGCTAAGATATAATACTATCGGTCTACGTCGATTATCTAGCGATATCTAGTAATATCTCGATTCCCTTATACTAAATAGAAACTATACTATAACGTCTCGAATAATTATCTTACGCTATTATATTATATAAGTCTATTAAGCGAGATTTATTTATTTACCGTTAAAGGTATTTAATTCTAGAGACTAGTATTAAGATAACGATAAAGAATAACTATAATAACTTATATTATATAGTAAATATAAGCGCTAATATATACTTCTACTTCTATAATAAGATATTTATTAAGCTATCTATTTCTTTCTTATATTTATCTCCGTTATCTTCTTCTACCTTAATCTATTAGTATATCTACTACTCTTAATCGGATAAACTATTATCTCTTCTAATATTAGTCTCTATCTTACTACTATAGCTAGTATAAAATATTCTTTATTAAACCGACTCTCTACTTAATCTACTAAATATATTCGCCGTATCGTTATATTCGTATTCGGCTTAGGTCTCTCTATATTCGCTACCTTTAAGTAATTCTAAGAATAAATCTAATCTTATACTCTATCTCTCTTTCTCGAATAGCTTATTAATCTTTATATCTATCTTAATATTATTCTTTAATAGAGGTACTAGATTAACGAAATCGTCTATAATCGATTTATTCTTCGCTACTCTAATTATAACGCCGCTCTCTCGTAACTCTACTAGCGAGCTAGAATAATTATGACTATACGCGCTTAAATTCTCTTCTACTATATCTAGTTTTAGATATAGAACTATAACTAGGCGGTACTTACTTCTATCGATCTCGATCCGATAGACTAGCTAGAAGACTCGTTCTCTATTATCCTTACCCGAGTCGTCCTTAATAACGTCGTCTACGAAAACCGCTATACGTACCTTCGTACGCGACTTACCTTAGAGGCGATTATAAAGAAGAAAATAGATAAAGAAGCTAGGTAGATATTTACTACTAGTCTTCGATAATTAGAGGCTCGATAAGTAGTTAATAGCGATAGTACTAGTAGTAGTATATCCGAGTCGGTAGAGAAGATCGAGTCTAGTACGGAGCGTAAATAGACGGCTATATAATAGAAATATATCTACTACTATTATATAGATAATATTAAAACTATCGACCTTAGAATCTAGTTAGTCTTTATAGACTTATTATTTTTTAAGTTTCTACTCTTCCGAGTCGATCCGTAATAGACTAGAAGTAAACTTTTAGACGGTAGATTTAAAGGCGAATCGCGATTATCGATATATATAAGAGCGGCTCTCTAATAGTATAATACTCGTTAGTAAATATAGTTCTATTTTAAATATTAAATTAAAATACTATAAGCTTTAAAATCTCGGAATTTTAGGCTTTTAAAGTTTTTTAAATTAATATCTCTAATCTACGATTTTTTTGGGCCATTTTTTCAGTTCTTCTTTAGTAAATAAGTTATATCCACTGTAGATCTCATCTCATATACTATACGCTAGAACCTCGCCTTTAAACCGGCATTAGTTTTATAGGAAAATTTTAGAATTTTTAAAATATAACATGGCCTGACAGTGGGTCTATATAACTCACTTCACTTAATCGGAATAAATTATTAACTCACCTTATTTGATCAGCTTAAGTTATAATCTCACTTTACTTAACCTGCTTAATGAGTTATTATTGACTCGTTTGATTATGTTCGCATTAAGCTATCAACTAGCTTCACTCAATTAACTTTAAGCGTCTCTCTGGTTGCAGTGTGAGGTGAAGCGTGAGATGCGGCGCTGAATACCGAACTCTGGATAGCCCCGAGTTTCGGGGCCAAGCTCAGCTTCCTGCTGGCAGCTGCACGCCTCAGCGCCACTATCCACCGCGCCAGGCTCCAGAGACACCAGCGAACCCATCAGGAGCCGTTGACAAGGCCCCATGCTCACACTCCTGCAAGGATACGAAGTCCAAAAGCAAATCGGTTGCATCCGACACGCCACACTCGCCTTGTTCGCAGCTTCGAAGTGGTTGCCGCCGTCCCTACAAGCCTTGAAGGTTGATCTTGTCAAGACGCAGGAAACAGCGGGAAAACATGGCTCAGACACCGACAATCAATCAGAGAACTTCTGTCGACGTGATCCATGCCGAAACCCACTCTACTGCATCCCTCGGGCTTCAGTTTCTCTCTCCATCCAAGTTCACAGACGAGAGTGCTACTAGTACCACACTGCAAGCCGGCATAAGCCATGTCTACCTGGCACACCCTCTCCAGGGTGCTGGTTCGTCGCGTTCCAACATCGCCCCTTCACGGTTTGTTGAATCGCCACCGATGGCTCGAGTTGTTTGACTCTTGACTGCCGGTCTGAGTCTGTACAATTAGGTGACGATCTGTAGCACACCTTAGCTATGCTGCCCTCATCAATCGTGTACAACTACAGGGCCGTCCGCGGGTATATCCTCTGGAAACCGCACGGCCAAGTCAAGCCATCCCGGTCTTAGGGTCCTGGAGCTCTCAAAGAACCAGTGCCGCACTCCTCCCGTTGGTCGAGTTGACGCCACCGACCACGGGCACAACTCTTGGTCGTGGTGAAATGTTCCAAGCCGTCTCGCTGACCATTCTTCTAGTCTCTTTATGGCACTGGCTCAAGGCGGCCTTGAATACTAGACCAACTACTAATTACTACTGCTATCACTTCGCCTCCAACCTACCTGCTATGAACTCTTCCATCCCTCACGTTCATTACCCAGGATCCCAGGTCATCAAATGCATTGCACTCACTCCCGAATGGTCCAGACTCAAATTGACCAGCTGAATCGGCCTTGAATCTTTCTTGACCTGTCATTCGTTAACACGCACCTTCCTTCTCCTCAGCCAACGGGAACGGGAAATTTGTCACACAGCGGCGGCAACCTCCACAGTTTCTGCTACGATTTCAGTTGGTTCACACAGGATTCACTCCCTATCTGTGAATTGATCCAGCAGTTTCGGTCACTTTTACTGGGAGTTCAGGGGTCTGTCCTCTTACCAGTTCACCCGAGACAGGACCGGTCTGAGGCAAGGACTCGAGCGCAGAACCTAGGCAACCCAAGAGCAACCCGAAGCACTCTGCTGCTGTGTATAAAGAGTTCACGAAGCGGTCGGAAGTTCTCTGTCTTGCCATTGGCATCCAGATTTCTTTACCTTCAACACATCTCAATATGTACCGCATCACTTTACTCCTTTTTTGGCTGGCATTTCTTAGCCTCACCTCGGCTAGCCCGGTTCAAGTTGTTCGCAAATCACTTAACCCGAAAATGATCAAGGTGCGCTCACCCGTCAGCGACACCGACTTCTCTTCTTCGGGTGATTGGCCGACCAACGTGGTCATGATTGGCGGATCTCAAACCTATGGCATGTGGGTTCCTGCCGACGGCACAACTTATGATTTGGGAACCATTGAATGTCTCGGAGTGCCTGCCTACGCCATTGGGGACTGTAACGACATTACCATTGACAAGATTGGCGTCGTGGTAGGCTACGGGCCTTGCAAGTTTACCGGCAATGCTGGGTACAGCCAAGTCATTGAGGGTGCAGCTGGGGAAGGATATCAGACGGTTGGGCCACCTCAGAATATCTTGACTGCAGCTTGTGGGCTATGAAAGGCTGGAGGAACTTTTGGGCTGCAATCAAATTTCATGAATACGAGCAACGATTGATCGAGTTCGAGTTTGTTATGATAGACGCTTGGGTCTATCTGCGTTCGAAGCAAGCGATGTCGGCGGCTGACATCTTTCCAAGGGTGGAAGGCAATCGGCACATGCAGGAGTGGTATTTTCACCTACCGAGCAACCGTATGACCGAGCTCCGATTTCTGTGGCAGCAATCAGACCATATTGGTGCGAGAAAGGTTGATCACCACTACATGTTTTGAGACGATATTTTTGATGGATGTAACCAAATCCTGCACGACCTTTTGGCAAGGGCACCATTTACCACTGCAACAAATACTTGGCATTGAAAGCAGCAGCAGCAGCAGCAACAACGTGGAGTATTCCCCCACAGCAGGAATGACTGCGATCCGAATTGGTTCGGACTTTTAGTCTGGAACCTGAATGTTGGTCAGTTGACACGCTTGATTGGAACATCAACGATCTGCCAGTGCAGTACTCCGAGCCCATAAGGCGGGCCTGCAGTGAGGCGGAGACAATATCATAATGTCCATGTCATGCAGTGGGCAGACAGACGTCCGGGATATATGGTCAATGACTTGTACTAGAGCAACAAGCGCACCACTGCAACAGCAACAGGAAAAGGAAAGGAACAGCAAGACAAAGAGGATCGCAAACCAACCACCTACTGCGCTGGTAACCACATGACTGCTTGCGTTTATATATCCCTTGCTACGCAATTTTTAGTCGAGAATCATTTATCTCATTCTTAGCACTTTATCTTTCATGTTCGGCTCAAGAGGCATCATATGCACCTGTCTGCCCTGTAGACGAAGTGAGAATTCCTTGTCTTCAATCGTTGACTGATGCCGCGGGAAATAAGATAAGACCCACTGGGAGTTGTATCGATCTTGGATTGATGTGCAATGATAAAAAATAATAATACCAATCCGCATCTCAACTCCCACCCGCCAGTTCCATGGAGCAGAAACTCGACCATCCATGAACTAATAACAAATAAAACTCTCCAACACCACCAAAACCTGCAGACGCCGCGCTGAATGCAAGGCCGATGCAACACTGACAAGTATCTACCTAGGTACGTTAACAAACAAAGAACAGCCACCGCCTGAGAGTACCAGAAGTTCAAGGCCTGACTCTCGCAATCACTTTCGTTTCGCATTCTCCCTTGCTTTCCTCTCCTCATCTCGAACCACCTCCCCAACCACAATGCGACACAACCAAGTCGCAAGCTGATCAACACTCCAACCCCAGCGAGAACCATATTTCTCATCATCATCACCGAGTCTTCTTGGTCTCCCCTTCCAAATCCCCTGACTAAACTCACACTCTTGCATGAACCGTTCCAAAACGGCACATTCGACCTCGCCGATTTTCCAAACGAATACTTCGTCCAGGGTACTTTTTTCGGAGAGCACACTCGTGCTCGCACCACCGTTGGGGAGATAGTCCGTCTCATCAACCTCCATCTCCGTACCCAACAAGGCCATAATCTCCGGACGAATATCTTGCACAGCCGGCGCATGAAACTTGGGACGCAGAGACTTGCGGTAGATGATGTGTAGAGTGCGGAAATGGGAGTTTGTGAATTCACCGCTGAGACTCAAAGGAGTAGATGGGGATCGGTGCGGGTCGGATGGATAGGATGGTGGGAGGAGGTAGGAGGGTAGATTGAGATTGGATCCTGATCCTCTGCTGGTAGATCGAGTTGTTGTTGAGGTATTGTTGATGACTTCCTCAACATCTGGACGTTGAGGTTGATGTTGGTTCTGACGCTGATGCTGATGGTCATGCTGATGCTCACGCTCACGTTCACGCTGGTGCTGATGCTGACGGTGAGATTGTGAGTAAGAGTGTGGTTGTGATTGATATTCGTACTTGGTCTGGTCAAGTTGTCGCGATTGTGTTTTTGATTGTCTCGACTTGGTCGTTGCTTCGGCTGTCCGAGTCTCTGCTGGCAGTGCTCGCTTCGATGCATTCGCTGCATTTGCTTGCGCATGCTGCTTCAAAGAGGTGGTGGATGACAACGAGGACGACGCAATGGAGGATTTCGTTTTCTGCCATCCAGACGACCCAGACCTTGAGTCCTGGCTTTCATCGTTTTCGTCGTCCTCACCGTCGTCATCTTCGTTCTCATATGCATAGTACGCTCTTTCGTCGTGACGTGCAGTACCAAAACTCGATGTCCGACCGGACTGTAAAGTTCCTGTTGCTGTTGCTGTTGCCGTTGCTCTTTCTGACGCCGGGTCATGTTCTTTACCTTTCCAGAGCCAACTGGTCCAACCTTTCTTGCTTATAAAAGCAGACTTTAACTCATCAGACTCAGAGACCGAAGCCGCCGCAGAAACACCTTGAGATTCACTCTTCTTCCTTCCCATGTCATCCAGGCAATGCAACTTATCGTTGTCCAGACTTCCACGTCCATTTTGAGTCTGCAACGGTGCCTGAGCTTCCCCTTGCATTTGCACTTGCACCCGCAACTCCCCATTCAACTGCCCATCCAACTCCCCAGCCGTAGTACTATTGCCAGACGAAGTCGAAACAAAACTCAACAATTGCGACTCCGAGTGCTGCTCTTCCGCCTGGAACACCAGTCCAGACCCATCGGTCCTCGAAGAAGAAGACTTCATACTAAAACTGCTCTCCAACCCATCCACATCCACCCCGCGGGATCTCTCACTAAAGACGACCCGACGCGACGGCACGAGGGTGGGTGTATGATTTCCTGCTTCGCGCTCACGACACTCGGCTGCGAAGCTTTGACGGGACCCTTTTAGCGCTGATCGGGGCGTAGCTGGTCTTTGAGGAGATGGATATGAGTATGTGTTTGTGCTCGTGGTTGTGTTCTTGTCCGGAGGAGAGAGGGATTGACTGTCGACGCGTTGGCTGGAAGATGGCCGTTGCCGTTGTCGCTGCTGGAGACTGTTACTTTTACCGTTGCCGTCGTTATCACCACCGGGAGATACTGAGAGTGACGAGTCGTTGAATATGACGGGGATTTTCTTGACCAGCGGTGCTGCTGAAGGCGAAGAAACCAAAGAAACGGAGGACGAAGGCTCTTCTTCTTCCGCCTCTGCTTCTGCTTCTTCCTCTGCCTCTGGTTGAGTTTCCGAGTCTACTCCCACTTCATCCAAGGTCTCTTCGTCGCCAACATGCTGACCGGCTTCGGACCCATCGCTTTCTGACGATTGACTTTCGTCAGTACGGTCGACTTGTGCTGCCACATCCACATGTCTTCTGTCACTGCGAAAGCGAGGCTCTTTGACAACAGCATGTGCTTCCTTCTTCGGTGTCCCGGCCATGAGATCAATGTCGAATTTGCCACTACCCCGTCGTTGACGCTGTTGTTGAAGTCGTTTAATCTCCCCGGCACCGAAAAGACCATTATTTTCCCCGCCCTTATAGAACAGTAGCCCACTCATGTCCTCTGTTGCTGTCGATAGAAAGGTGCTGTTATTGTTCTCATGTGGATTCTCAATGTCGTCTCCTCGCTTCCAAGGACTTGGGATCAGACTTCGACGTGGCCGCTTGACAACTTCTTTGGCCTGTCGGGATACCTTAACCTCATCCTGCTTCGACGTAGCCAAAATCTCGCTTTCACTTGGTCGATGCAATTCCGCTTCCGGCCCTGGACTAGACGAGTGCTTTGCTTCCGCAAGCCAGATATCCTCGTCGTCATCATCTTCATGGTAAGAATTTGCATTCTCATCAACAGGAACATTCGCGTCGGATCCAGATCTCTGGGCATTTGCCCCTTCTTCTTCTTCATCACTATCACTGTCAATCACAATGACCTGACTTGCACTCGCGTTTTCGATCTCTCTTATTATCGCGTCTCTCTCCAACTGATACTCACGTTCACGTTCCCGATCCTGGGTATCCGGGTATCTGGGGGGGTCGATGTAGCTTGATTCTTGATTTTGCGGAGTGCGCGGAGGTGACTGTGCCTGCGACTGTTTTGTTTCGGTCGGTTTACCAGCCGGTACGACATGGACAGGAGGAGTCCGTTGGACCAAATTCTCGCCTCGCCAGACTTGAGTTGCTGTGGCCTGATTATGGCTGGGGTTGCCATTATTGGTATGTGATGAATATTCAGACTTGCTGATTCCCAAGCCCACTATTTTATGTCGTTCCTCCTGCTTCGAGACATGGGTAGAAGAAGCTGTCTCTGTCTCTGGTCCACTGGCAGCTGGGGAATGAAATTGAGATTGACGTCTGGCAAGTTCCTCGCCGAATCGAAGGCCTGCTCGCAATTCGCGCTGTGTGCCACAGTCAAAACCTTGGAATAAACCATGCTCATCCTTTTGCTGGGATTCACGGGACGATGACGAACAACTCTGTTTGTCTTGCACAGTGACCGCGCTGGCGCTGTCGGAATGTTTATGTTTCGGTGTCACCACTCCCTGTAATGCAATCCCCGCAGCGAGAGCAGAGACGGAGCCACGATGTCGATGGTGCGGAACTCCTCGAGCATCTTGTCTAGGTGGAGAAGGAAGCTTAGGAGATGAGTATGGTTGTGGTGTAACTTTGCGAGCGATATCCGATTGCACTCGTAGGATACTTTTCTCTTGCACATGTGCTGCCGCGGCTGACGGCGGCGACGAGGGAACAGTACTGGATAGGTCGCTCTCGTCGGCATTCAAAGCGGGATACGATATCGCCTCCTCCGGTTGGGATGGATGTTGTTCAAGTTCTTGATTTGAAGCATTGGCCGCGGCCGTGGATGATTCTGGAGCGCCATTCGATTGATGATTGCCCTCTACTACTGCGGGACTGCTGAAACCATATTGTTTCGCAGATGGAAGGGTATCCAAGTCGATCATCGTGAACCCCTCGCTCTCTAGAATGGTGTCGAAGCCTTCATTATGAGGATCTTGATCGTGGCTACTCGCCTCATCATCATCAACTGGATTTCCGCCGATGTCGTCGGAATCTCCACGGTAGGACGAGGTCGGGGAGGGAGTAGGATAGCTCTTCGCGCTGTTAACGGATACTTTTCGCAGGTCCAACCCCTTTCCCTTTCGCATTGTAGGAACATCCAGTTGATCACCGCTGTTCTGCGGATCGTGGTTCTCACCGTCTGCTGTCGATCTTGTTGACAGTGCTCGAGCCCGAACTGAGACTTTGTTCAAGTCAATATCGCGGAGTTCAGGTGACACACTATCTGTATTCTCTCGACCTTGGTGAGAGGCACTTTCATTGCTTTCGGCGTGGATTTGAAAGTCAAGACTTCCTGTTTGTGAGGAAGAAGAGGACGTTTGCGTCGCTACCTCAGCGCCAGAGATACTCTTCCGAGCTCGGGTTGTTGTCTTCTTCTTGCGCGGTGATTTCTTTTGCCGTAACCAGTCGTCCTCATCCGCGTCGTCGCCTAGCGGCCGTATATTCAGATCCGTCACGCTCTGTCTCTGCTTCCTGACGCCTGCGCCTTTTCTGGGACTTGTCACTGGCGTGCCGCTTCTCTTGGTTTTGCTGGGACTTTCTTGCGATCGCGATCTCCTTCCGCGCGCAGTTCCAACTTCTCTGTCGCTGGCCGGCGACTCTTGTCGCAATGGTATCTGCATTGTTCTGGTCACTCTGCGCCCTGCCGTTGTTGTTGCCTCCATGTTGAAACCTTCTTCTCCTTCTTCTTCCGCCTCAATTGTAACTCTGATTTTCCATGGACTGAGGTTCTGCTCGGCCACGGCTCGAAAGGGGGAAGATGGAATAATGGTTCCCGACGCGGCGGGTGTTTTTGAAACTCTCCTCTGGTTGCGTTTCTTGGTTGGTGAGCGCGCACTTGCGGAGGTCAAGTTGCCATTAACCGAAATATTGTCATCATCAAATGCGAGAGGATCGGGGGAAGAGCTCAAGTCGTCGTAGTTGAAAGATGCCCCTCGAGTAGTAGTGGGCCCTTGCGACATGCTGATTGATGAACGGACCGACTCGACTGTCAAATTGGTCGGTCAAGGTATGTTGGGACTTCTGAGAACCTGCGGTCTTCATGCAGGAGGATAACCAGAATTGAAAGCAGATAAATCAGCCATGGAGACTCGCTAGATGGTTTTGTGCAATGGTCTGTCTCAGGAGGCCATGAAACGTTGTTTAATTGATACTAGCATCGCAATTGTCCTGTAGACTCATTATTGATGGTCGCTTGGTTTGTTTGTTTACATGACGTGGAGATGCGGAATTATCATTGGCTGCAGCAGTTACCACCTCGATCTAATCTAATCGGGGCTCCTTTTCGCATTATTTCACTCCATAACATTAGTGTTCACTGCAACGGACTATCTTACCTATACTATAGGTACTAATATTAATTGATCTTCCCAGGCCTGCTTCAAAAAGTTGAAAAATCATACGTGGCATAGTTTACAGCTGGACCAGTGGTGGGCGAAAAGATGACATACTCGCTGACGCCCCATTCCGGATGATTGACGGCATCAATGTATGCTTGAGGCTCGATCGCCAGACATCCATACTTGTTGACGAACTTCGCGGCGCCCTGCGTGCCGTTGTTTCGCTGTTGCTGGCTCTGCTTGACTGGAATAGTCCCATTCTGGCCATTGCAGGTGTATATCTGTATGCCTTGCTGGTTGGTCGAGACATCCAACTGTATGCCCGTGGTTTCGGACCACAATGACAGAACAGGGAAGCTGGACGAAGTGGCGCCGGAGTTAGGTGGTCGGTCAACGATGAAGGCGTTGTCGACCCCGGTACACCCTTGCCCGCAAACACCGGTGGCATTATCGACAGAAGTCCCAAATAGTTTGGGTGCAGTGAAGTTGATGGCTTGGAGGTTGGACACCGAACCCAGCTCACCCGTCGGGATCAGAATGGGATCGACGACAATGTATCGGTCAGAATACGGCATCCACATTGTGGTGTCGTTGAGGATGGTTCCTTGTTTGAAGCCGTTCAAGTTCCAATAAATATGGTTGGCCAGCATTATCGGGGTTTCTTGGTCTATGGCTTGAGATACCATGTTGCTCGTGAACCGGGGGCGCATTTGACCTTGTGGTCCAGAGGGATAGCTTTCAACGGTGAATGTGGCCGTGGTTAGGACCGTCCCCGGGAATCCCTCGAAGCCTGTATCAAGCAGACTGAAGGTGACGCTGGAGTTGGACGAGGTCACCACGGTCCAGTTCCGCTGATCGTATCCCACAGTGCCTCCGTGCAGTGTGTCGGCTCCACCGTTTTCATTCGCCGGAATATGGTATGTGTTTCCGTTCAAGGTGAATGTGCTATTCTTGATCCGGTTGGCAAAGCGTCCCACGACTGCCCCAAAGTAGGTGTGATTCGTCTCGGTGTCGGTCAGGTACTGAGTGGCATTGTCATATCCCACCGCCACGTCCTGATACTGGCCGTCACGGTCTGGTACCAGGAGAGAGGTGAGGCGAGCACCGTAGGGTATGAATTTGGCCGTGATATTCTCCGCCGAAATGGTATAGACGGCGAACGGGTCTGTAGTGCCTGACGGACTGGACGAGTTCGTGCTGGTTTGGCCAAAGACAGGCACAACGGCCGTCGAGGCGATTAGAGCTTGAGCGATTGAGCAGCGCATCGCGAGGGCAGTTTACGGCGGACGTCTGGCACACCGCAGGATGAGAGCAGTCCAGTACACGGGCAACAACAATTCAGGGCGAACATCGACTTATATCCCACCTACCGGCGAGCGGTGCGTAGGTTACATTGTACCGACACGGCATCACAGCCCCATCACCGACAACTTCGTCCCCGGCGGGCAACACAGGCACAGTTGCAACGAAAGCATGGCCAGGGCCAAAGCCCGGTGGTCAACAAGCCCCGAGTCAAGCTCTTTGAAGCTGTGAAGCCCTGGAAGTGCGGGGGAGGTAACATACAGGCACAAGGATTGGAGGTGATCGTCAGGTGGTGAGATGGTAATTCGCTGGTGGTTGGCGGTGGAGGAGTTGGAGGCAATCGGTGTGGAGGAGAAAAGCAGGTTATGCAGGGGACACCAGGCGAGGCTTACAAACTAGCAATGAATTCAACCCGGCGTCCAGCGCCGACCAGGATCACATTCCGTTCTCATTGTCGTCGCTACGTCTACCAGCTTCGTCGTGAGCGAGCACCGGTATACTTCCAGAACAAGTAACGAGAAACCTTCTTGTGTTGACGCTTGCTACTTGCCATACCTGCCGAACAACTCCCAGTCGTATCCTCATCTACCCGTAATCAATGTACCATCCGTGTTAGCGCTCGCGTCCTGCCTTCTTCCGCGGATCGACATCCACCAGGTGCACGTCCAGATAAACAGGCCAGTCTGGAGCCAGGTTGCTCCGTGGTTCGGCCAAGGGCTTGAGAGCTTCGTCGATGGCCTTTTTGTCGACCTGGCCCTTGGGCTGTGTTTCAATTTGAGCAATCTTGAGCAGATCCTCCTCCAATTCTTCCGCCATCAGTCTGCTGGGTTGTGGCAGAAACGTCCCCTGTCTTCCTTGGTGGGTATGTAATGTGGCATAAGGCAGCGCAGGACGGGTTGCTGCTTTATCTGCAAGATCGCTGAGCGAATTGAGCCCGTTGATGCCACCAAATGTTCGAGTGGACCGTGTAACGTGCACATTTTGACTCGCAGATCTATCCATCTCCGGTGCTTCAGGCTCCTCATCCTCGTCCGACCCAGATTCATCGGACCCGTTCCCTTTGTCATCGTCATCTTTACCTCGCTTGCGTGTGTTGCCGGTTTCGCCTTCCTTCCGAGATGTTGCGAAGAAGTGTCGAGCAGCGATCTGGGCTTGATGCGATTGAAAGTTGAGTTCCTTGTCGGTGAAAAGTGAGTGGATGGAGTAGAGGGGCGCCGTTTGGTTGGTCACGGTTGCACGACCGCGGTCGGCAGGAGTGGAAACACCATTGCGTGATGGTGAGCCAACATCGTCGTCGGCAAGCTTTCGCTTCCGTTTGTTCATGACTTCCCCAACTCCATTCAGATCTTCCTGTTCACGATGTCGGGTGAAGCGCGTTTTGCGACTGGTGTGGTTCCCGCCGGGACTTGCAGGATTGGTAATACTGAATTGACTCGGGTGGAGGAGAAGGGCATTGGTATCGGCGATGTCGAGTTGTTCTTTTTCTTTCATCAGACGCTGTCTCTTGTTGGACAGGGCTTGGAAAAGCCGTTCCCGCAGGGTAGACGTCATGTGTTCGCATTCTTCGGCGGCAAGATGGAGTCGATAGTCGCATTCGTATTTGACTCTTTCCAGACGGGCATTGTGGTTGTTCTGTGCGCTGTTAGATGCAATTACAAGATCTGAAATGGTCCAAGCCTACCATGAGTTGTATAAGAGCCAGCTCTTTTGCTTCTTTGGCGTCGTTGACCTCTTGAACAAACTCGGCGTACCATTTACCGGCCAGCGACGACATTTGCGACTGATAAGGAGTGCCAGAAGCAGCCAATTCTGTGATTCTAGCAATCTCTTCCGGCGAGTCCTCCAGAGGCTCCGCATCATACAGATATGCTTGGGATATGAGGCTCATGTCGGTCTGAAGCGCAATGAGCTGCTCCCGGTAGTGTTGTTCTCGGTTCGAGGCCAGCTCGTTGTAGAGTTCCTGTTGATGGGCAACATGTTGATTTCTTCGCTTGTCTCTCTTGGACAAAGGTTGAGCCGGAGGAGTGGGAGAACGAGGATTGAGATAGGTACCGTTGTCTAACCGATTTGGCGAGGTGGGAGAGGGGGAATAAGCCATTGTGAGGGACTTGTGAGGGACGTTGCGTGAAATGCGGGTGTCAACTGGATTGCCTCGTCTGCAATCTATCTAGGACAGTAACAGAATCAAAGCATGAGTGTTGGAAAAACACAGATCCAAAGTTCAACGCAGATGAGCCGGGGATAGAATGCAATCAATAATGGGCCGTGACTGCGACGACTTCATCGACCGATACTAAAGTGTGGACCGCGTTTAAGTTGCTCCAACTGTCGCACTGCGATTCTTCAAGGGGAAAGTCATCCGACACAGCATATTATGTAACCATTGACTATTTGTATCATGTGCACTGGTCCAACGTTCAATGTCCACAACTTGAGGTTTCGACGTTACACGACTGCGACTGCACAGACATTCCCGTCAACTATCGCCATGTCATGCACCACGACTGCTTCGTTGGTGGACACCAATGATGGCAGTGACTGTAGGTCTAAGGTGCTGTTCGTAAAGTTACTAAATTCAGTCACTCCCGCACTCTTACTTCTCCCCGGCATCCCCGCGCTGCAGACACAGTGTTACAGGAAACCAATCTTGCGGCCAGGCACACCTCGCTCCGGACTCCGCTTCCCCCAAACCTCAACTCCGCCGTTTGTTGAGACAATAATAAGAGTGAACTCAACTCTGTCACGGCTCCAGGTTGAAGACGATCGATGCTGTTGCTCGTCTGACGCTCATATCCTTTATCGTGAGCCGCTGCTGTTTCCAACTGACCATTATCATACAGCCTCTAAAGCTTTGTGGAATCATCTATTGTTTTATGGTACAATCTGTCCAGCATGAGTCCCACGGTCATCCACTCCACTCGTCTTTTCGACGGCTATACCACTCATGACAATGCAACGGTTGTTTTAGATCAGAACACCGGAACAATCACGTCTGTGTCGACAGACTCCACCCAAAACCACTTTCCATCCGGTGCCACCGTTATTGACGGCAGTGGACACACCCTCCTACCTGGACTCATCGAGGCTCACTGTCATGTCTATAACCTTCACTTGCCACCGGGCGCAGACGAGTCTGATATTCTACAATCACCTCTGAGATGCGGGATTACCACTGTGTGCGATATGCACTCCGATCTTGGGTCCGTCAATAATTGGAGGAAGAAGATTGCAGAGGAGCTGGAAAAGGCCAAAAGTGGTGGCGGGACGGTAGCCCTGTCTGATCTGAAGACTTCTCTTCTGGGGGCTACCATCGAAGGCGGGTGGCCCAAACCGATTGTCCTGGCCCACGATCCTTCCGAAGAGGTGAGCAACGATTTCGGAATTTGATCTGTGAGCTATCGGCACGGTTTCTAATCCAATGAAGCTCAGAGCTTCGGTCGCCCGTTGGCCTAACGTGACAGTCGAGAATGCGCCCGGCTTTGTCGAAGAACACAAGACCAATGGAGCAGACTATATCAAACTGATGCAGGAAAACTGCTGCTCGCTCGCCTTGCCCACCGGAAGCGTTCCAGTTGCCACACTCGAGCTCCAAACGGCCGTTGTCAAGGCCGCGCATGCCGCTGGGCTGCCTGTGGTGGGCCACGCCTTGAGCGTCGATATGACCGAGATTGTCTTGAAATCGGGTGCTGACGGACTGACACATACTTTTGTCGACCAGCCTCCTCCGCAGAACATTATCGACCTATACAAGCAGACGGGGGCATTTGTGATTCCGACACTGACGGTTTTGGCTAGTTTGACCGGGGAGCTGCAGGATGTGAGAGAGAAGTTTGCCGAGATTGCCAGGCGCAAGAAGGTTGTGAATGACTTTACGCTGCAGAACATGGTCAAGTTTGAAGGCATGAAAGATCCCTCGGCCAAGTTCGACTATGCCGTGCAATCGGTGAAGCAACTCAGACGGGCGGGAATCGATGTTGTGGCGGGCACAGATGCAGTCGCGGGTCTGAGAGGCACCGCCATCGGCCCAAGTCTGTGGATGGAGCTGGAGTTGTACACTGAGCGATGTGGCATGAGTGTTCCAGAGGCATTGCGTTCGGCAACGGCGGTAACTGCAAAGCGATTTGGATTCCATGATCGTGGAGTCGTTGCCGAAGGTAAGCGAGCCGACCTGGTCCTTGTCAAAGGCAATGTCACGGAGAGACTGCAAGATCTATGGGAGGGCGAGGGCATTGTCGGCGTGTGGAAGCAAGGGTTTAAAGCTGCTTAGATGCGCTTGGTTCTGGCTCAGACAGTCCATATCATGGTTCCCACGCCTGTGTCTCGTAGATTCGCGAGAGCATGGCAGATGAACTACTTGATACGGCCTATAATACTATTTCGGCATATGCTCAAACAACCAGAAATAAAAGTAAAATTAAGTTCCAGTCCGATTTAAAGCGAAAGATGATCTCGTCGTCTATGTGATCGTGGTCGAAGAGTCAGCGAGGAGACAGTGTCAGATAGATACCCTGTATCTCTGGACCTATGTCTAGGTTAGAACTTTTGTATATATTCTCCGCTCCGAATATTTAGCTGGGTACATGACACTGCTGCTCACCACCACCGACCGTGGCTCTACCATCCTTTCCCTCCTCAACACCGGCACCAACGGTTAAAGAACGGAAACTCGCACGCATCTTATCTTCCATGGAGCCCAATCGATGGTGGAGTTGTCTGCGGCCGAGGAGATTGCCTCCCTTCGGTCTTGCATCGCGATTCTGCATACTAACTTCACCGCTGAGCTGTCAAATTACCTGGTACGGACTGGCCTCACACTAACTGGATACTTATGCAGCTTCGTCAAGTCTTATGCAAGCCAGCAGTCGTGGAATGTCACTACTAGTACTACATGGTACTCGTCGTTATGGGTCGGTTAGGCCCGATCCGAGATTCCAGCACCTAGATACGCTGCCACCTTGTTGTTTTCCCGTTGACTGATACTGTATCAGTTGGACCACGTTGTTGTTGGTTTTGCATCACTGTTTCTGCATGTGCTTCACTAGCATCGTGTTGTGTCACTCTATCTACCAGCTCGTTGATCATCCATCCTGTCTCGGTTCGATTTCAAGAGCAAAGATCCATATCCGCGTCAAAGGACGAGGCTGAACTGAACCCACGACGACAGACATACAACCTGACAAACTGCCACACCACCATGCTCGATCCCAGGGAAGAAGACCTCGTGGCCCTGGCAGAGACATGTCTCGCGACAGCACGGCAGATCAAGGAATACTTCGCGGCCAACAACCACCCGGCCATGACTTTTGACCCCGAGGGCCCTGCGTTCTTCCCGGCCGCGACGCCTGAGATCCAACATGCCCGCCTTGATCTCCGTGCCGCTGCGATGCGGTTGTACCAGTTGGCTTCGGGACCGGATGAGATCTTGACGTGGCATGCTTATCATTGTGTATGTTAGGCTGCCCGCTGCAGTCTTGTTTGTTTCTTCCCCTTGTTTTCTCAACCTCGGAGCAGACGTGTCTGCTAGTCATTCACGGCTCGTTTACAGCCGGGTTCTTGTACTTGCAATGCACCGTTGTTATCTTCTTACTCTTCTGCATGGTGCATGCCAATCAGGGATAAATACCTGAGCGGGATACGTTTTTGTCTTACTCAAAAGTGTCCACAACTGGCCCCTCGTCGCTACATCCAACTAAGGGCAGGGACGGAAGGCCCATCTTGAACCATGCTCAATCGTCATTCTACCCCTTCTTAAACTTCAAACTCCATTTTCCATGCCATGCCATGCCATGCCATACTCAAAGAAAACAAATTGCAAACTAACTATGGACCGCCATCCAGCGTCCGGGACCTCCCCCCAGCCCGAGCTCGTTCGTTCTCACGCATCCAGTCGCTCAATCACCGCAGCCATTCCTACCTATATCCCCTCAAAGGATAAGGACATGGATACGGTTGATTTGCCGTGATTGACACCATGCTCGAGACAAGACGAGATAACGGGCTGGGGATCAAAGGTCCACCGGACGTTGAACGGCGGAAATTGGGAATTAGGCACATGACCTCAACGCGTTCCGCTATGTCTCTCACTACAACGTGGCGTCGGCGGTGCCGACAGAACCCAACACTAGCATCAGCTACATCGACATCGCAACAAAACTGGGACTTGACCCCAGCCAGCTGCGCCAGATGCTGCGCCAGCTGATGGCGATCCGGGTGTTTCGCGAACCATACCCCGGAATGGTATCCCACACGGCCTCGTCAAAGTTATTCTCGCATTGGGGTGTAAGGGCATTCAACTCGTTCATCGCCGAGGACACGTTCCCCGCGGTCGCGAGACAGATTGAGGCGCTGGAGAAATGGGGCCATGGACGTCCTGAGCCGAATCGCGCTGCGTTGAATTTGTTCTATGAGACTGATTTGCCTATGTATGAGTATTATGAGACGGAAGGTCCAGAACTTGAAGGCGCTGCGAAAGATGCCAAACTCGAACCGCGAGAAGAAACCGAGTCCAGAGAAACTGAAACTGATGCGCCTACTCGCGACAATGACGAGCAAATCACCAAAACCGAAAAGACAGCCAACTCTTCGTCCCCTTCTCCCGCTACAAAAATCACCCAAGACTCAAGCCAGACACAAAGCCAATCCCAACTCCGCCGCACCCGCTTCAGCAACCTCATGACCTACATGTCCACCAACCCCATAATGTCAAACTCTCACGTCACCGCCGGTTTCCCCTGGTCATCTCTGCCGCCAAACAGTGTCGTCGTCGACGTCGCCGGTAACGTCGGCCACACCGCCGTGGCAATCGCACGCGCAACACATCCGTCTGTGCGTGTCATTGTACAGGACTTGCCGAAGATTATTGCGCGGGCCACGAATCCTGAAACGAGTGTGCTTCCGGAAGACTTATTACGAGGCGAAGCCGAGTACAAGTCCGAGTCCGAATCGCTATCGCTATCTCAATCCGAGTCCGCTTCGCGGCCTCGAATCTCATTCATGCCGCACAACTTCTACCTCCCGCAACCCATCCACTCTGCCGCCATCTACTTTCTCCGCATGATCCTGCACGACTACAGCGACCCATGGGCCCTGAAAATTTTACGAGCTATCGTGCCCGCCATGGGCCCGGACTCCAAAATCGTCATAATGGATCAAGTCATGCCTGATACCCCAGGGATGGTTCCCGATCCCGTGGAACGGATGATGAGAACGACGGATTTGCAGATGATGATGTTGACCAACGCGAAGGAGAGGGATCGGGGGGAGTGGGAGGATTTGATTGGGAAGGCTGGCGAGGTGGCGGAACAACAACAGCGTAAAAACAAAAGGCTGGCGATTTTGAATATTCGGACGCCGGTGGGGAGTACGATGAGTTTGATCGAGATTGGATTTGTCGATGATGATGGTAAACACGGTGGTGGTGATGGCAAACAATAGTAGCATCAACATCAACGGCGCAATGATGGTTGATCTGCAGTTAAGACTCAGGGTATCTCAAACCTTGCCTTGGCTTATCTTACAGCTGCAATAGGCCGCTTCTGGGAATGGCATATTGATCAACGACAGCGAGACACGATAGAATACAAGACAGTTGTTTATGAATTTCATTTGCATTACAATGCTCCTGGTCTGCTTTGCGCAGAGGTGAGCTTGAACCTACTTTGGGTTCTTTCCTTTCGCTTTCAGAAGTGACGCGTCCCTTCATGGTCACTTAAAGTCCGCCATCTGGCAAAAAGTCTCATTGCTGTTACCACCCCATAAGCTCGAGTGCTTCCGCAAGCTCGGTGGTTCATTCATGAAAGCAAACTCCGTCCGTACCCCCAGTTCATACACCTGCTCCGTCGCTCGAATTAAAAAGCACAATGGGGAGAGCGCTCGACATGACGACAAGCACTCAATCGCTGACAGTCGTGTTTCGTCTTGTTTCGTCTTGTTGAACAAAGATTGAGTCCCTGCCCTGATTTTCTGAAATACCATCCACAAGTCAAACTGCTGATAGCCACCTATAAGAGAACCGAAGACCGTAGATAAAGGTGAGACACACAAGGGCTCAAACCAATTGTCTTGATAGGTGGAAACAATATGACAACTCAACAAAACCAGGAGACACACAAGAGCTCAACACTGGTAGGAGTTGTAACATGTACACCTTAAGAAAATGTCGGTCATTGACCTGGGAAGCACGCCGGCATTCGATAGTTGTAGACTGAAAAGTGTATGCTGCGGAAGGATGTGCTAAGATCTTCTCGGGGAAGATATCTATCATGGAGACAAACTTGAGCTCGACATGGTAGAGAAGAGTTGACACACTTCTGTTTTGGCCTGAGAACATCGGCAACATCAACCATGGAGCACATGAAAGCTCGACATGGGTCGATAATAACCGATTTTCGGCGTAACCAAAGAATAAAAAACAATCATGGAGGCACACAAGAGCTCGACATGATAGAATTCGGTCCGCGCATCTTCAGGCTGGTAAGGAGTGGAATTTCAACCCATGAACAGGTCGACGAAAATATGGGGAGGGCAAACGAAAGGATTGTTGCTGGTTTGCTCGTGCTGTCGTAACTTCTGATGACGTATGCAATTCTGTTCTGACAATGTTGTATCATGGAGCAATTCATCAGCGAGGAAAACTGGTTGCTCAGCTTCATGTTGTAGCAATTCATTAGCCAATGAAAGCTGGTTGCTCAACTGGGCACATATGGTGCAATTCTGTTCTGACAATATTGATCATGTTGTCGCAATTCATCAGCCAATAAAAGCTGGTTGCTGACAATGTGGATTATGTTGAAGCAATTCATCAGCAATAAAAGTTTGTTGCCGACAATGTTGTATCATGTTGTAGCAATTCATCAGCCAATAAAGCTGGTTGCCCAACTAGCACCAAGATGTTGTTCAGGGCGCTTGGAGCTCGTCGCATCTCCGTTCAATCTTCGAACATCTCACCTGGCTCAACCCAGAACAGATGTTTCCCTTGAGCTGCGGCTTCTCTGGCCGCCTTTAGCCCTTCTTCGAACTCTCGATCCCAGAATTCAACCGACTCTCGAGTGTCTCGTTCAGTCCAATTCTTTCGGACAAGCTCGGCAATGTAATCAGAGGCAATTCCGGCGTCTTCGTATGTTTGTGGTTCCGGCCAATCAAGGTTAGCTGCCCACTCGTCATACTGATGTTCGCGTTGATAATCGGTCATGCCATCATCTCCGACTTTAGTATTGTCGAGTTCTTCACGGCCAAGAGGTTGTGATGGAGTGTCTTGAGCAGCAGTTTCGGCTTCATCGGCTTCTCTGAGATCGTTTGCGGTTGGTGTTGATACCTCAATCTGTGACTGGGTAAAGTCCCCTTCTGACTCGGGTGGAGAAGACGATCGTGATCGTGCGTGTTCGCTGAGAGACAATAGCGAGGATCGTGCGGGCTTGTACTTCTGCGCATCAGATCTGGCTTTGTTCAGTCTGATTTCAGCCGACTCATTCATCAAAATACTCTCGGTGTGGCCGGTAAAGTTTGAGATTTGGCTGGGGAGCTCGGCATGAGACATTCGAGGAGTGCTAGGTTGTGGAGGTACTTGATCTTGTTCACCAGCTTGCTCAGGCACAGCGGTATCTTCTGCTCCGTCTCCCTCTTCTTCATCGTACTCGTCCAGATCCGGGACTCTGAAATGACCGGGCGAAGGGTTGGCAAGCGACGGTCGCCAAAATTCATCATTTGGATCGACAACGTCTTCATTCAGTCGGAATTTAGGACTCTCATTTCTTAGAGTGTTGCGAAGGGTAGTAGGGGAATGCATGTTCCTAACATCAGCAGCCGAGATGGAAGAGTCCGAAGCGTCGGATGGATCGGAAAACATGCTACCGTGGTACTCTCCAGAATGACCGTACTGTCCATAGACGTGTTTGACTGCAGTCTCGGGATTGATGCGAACTGACTTTGCAGATCGGCCAATGGTACCAAAGAGGTTACCGTTCTGTCGCATAGCGGATCTGAGAGGAGTTTGGGAGATTGTTTTGGTTTTGGGAGTAGAGGGCTGTGTGACCGCAGCCTGAGAGTCTTCGATGCCGTCAACTTCATTTTCCGCATCCAAGTAGCTGTCGTCGATGCCGTAACCGCCTGTGGCAGGCCCGGGAATCTCGCCGTCCATTGATGCTAACTTGCGCTTGTTTGTACCAGAAGCCTCGACAGGATTAAAATCAGTGTCCGCTCGATCCGTATCGTCGCGTGCCGGAGTCATGTCGTCACGGCCTGCAGAGGTTTTGGAATATCGTCTGCGCTTGAACTGATCGCGTGTGTCGATGCGGCTGTCGTTGGTTTGTGGTTGCGGAGTTGGGCTGTCAGGTTCGAGAGGTGATGGAGTGGTAGGACTGTTGGCTTGGATGGCCTCTGGCGTGGTTTCGCGGTTCTGCTCTTCACTGGCACTGCCTTGTTCCTGCTCATTGTGCGCAGTGGTATCATCGAAACCTCTGAAGAATCCAAAAAGTTTCTTCACACTGCCGAAAAGTCCGCGTTGCTCTTGTCCGCCTTGAGGGGTCGGAGTTGGCGTCTCCGGCTCTTTGGCGCCCTCTCTTGGCTTTGACGCACGGGTCGGAGTTGATTGTCTAGCCGTCGGTTCGACGACCCGGGCAAAGAAGGGCGACTCGTGCTGGGTGGTGGCCTTGGCCGGCGCCGAGGCCAGGAGGCTTCGGTTTCGGCGGGCCGAAAAAAGGAACTTTGGGGTCTCGGCCCCTCGCTGCCGCTTCGACGAAGTCCCGGAGGACTCGTCTTCCTCTCTGCGGCGCTTGCCGCTCCCTGTCTCTGTGGTGGCCGTTAGCTCTACCGTCTTCGTAGAGGCTTCAACAATCTCAACAGGGTCCGTCTGCATAGACGAATCCCTGTACGCGGGATTCCGCTCAACAGCGGGAGCTGCTGGCGCGGGGGCAGGGGCAGGGGGAGGGACAGCGGCACGGGCACGACGTGCTGGGGCTGCACGCCGGCGGGGAGCAGCCGCGGGTCTTCGCTCACGCTTTTGGGTGTCGGCGTACGACACGCCCGCTGGGCGGGCTCCTTGATGCCTTGTTTGCACCATGGCGGCGATGGTGGTGGTGGAGGAGGAGGAGGAGGTGGTGGTGGTGAAGGAAGAGGAAGACGAAGAGAACGAGGACAGGAAGAAGAAGGTGATGCAAGTACTACTAGTAGTGCTGCAGTGTTGTTGTTAACACTGGTCGCCAAGTGCAGTCAATGGCCAAGTGAAGTCGAAGTGAACTACAACTTGAAGTGACGGCGAGGTGAAAAGTTGGTTGCCTATTTGGGACTAGTTTTGTATATCTGGAGTCAGGCTTGGCGTGGAGACGCCATTGAACTCCGAGTTCGACAATACAACTACCTGAATAGCTGTTTGTAATCGTCAGGAGCACGCCATATACAGGAAGCCGACAATGCTATACTAGCTGTCTGGACGAGAGGTACCCGCAGTTGGGAAGAGAGCTTGCCTGAATGGGCACCTCGACAATAATACAGCCGATCTACCATGATAGAATGATAGTGTCTGGATGCAACTGCAGAATGCTCCTGTTACAGATACACGCCTGGTCAATGGAAACGGCGGGCGGTGGCACTCTTCATCTGTCTGTCCCGCAGGGGATGAAGAGGGAGAGCATTGGACTACCATGACTTCATCGCAGAGCACCCGCCCTTCTCGACTGAAAGCGTAAATTGACCGAGCCGAGGAGTTTGCAGGGTTTCACTAAGGTATCAAGCCAGATATTGGTGCGCATCAAGTCCGCCGTGGATTGCTTATGATTGAAGAGCTGGATATAGCTCAGGTTGGTGTGCGGTATCTTCGTACATCTTCGAGCATTCAAGTTCTCCCGTATCGGTGCGCAGCCTGAGTGTTGTGCCTCTTTTTGACGCGTTCCTTCCTTCCTGCTCCAGCCTTCGCCAGACTCGGAGCGTGACTGACTCCATCATTGACGCGCCCCTTCAAGCTCTTCTGCAGGCACTGGCAGTGTGAGGAAGGTGCGCTGGAACATGGCTGCAAGTATATTAATGCCACTGCCACACAACTGCTTCAAGTTCTTCCATCTTCCTCGTTTCACTCTACTTCATCAAATCAACCCTGCAAGACCAAGCCCTGAATTTCTTCAAATCCAGCCTACCTCAATCCTCCTTGAATCATCTTGCCCACTCCAACATGTCTGACGCCGGCCCCATCAGCGACAGCCGTGAACTGCTCTCCAACCTCAAGAAGGATACCCACGATGTTGCCCGCAGTGATGCCCCCGAAGTGACCAAGGAACATGTGCAAAGTGGGACTTCCAGCTGCAGTGGAATCCATGCCCACGAAGCAGCTAACGTTGTACAGGTGCCATGGGAAAATTCGCCTCCGCAATCGCCCAGCATAAGGGGGCCCAGAACCTTCAGCGAGGTAGCAACAACACAATTGCCCAAGTGCCCATGGCGGATGGCACAGTCGACAAGAAGGCCGTTCAGGAGAGTTTGGATGCAAAAGCCCAAGCCATGATGCCACCAAACGGTCAGCCCATCCCACGAGGAAGTGAAACAAGCCGCCTCCAGAGCGCTGCCGACCAATACCGACTTGCACAAGAAGGATCTTAGACAACGCAGAGGAGGGCAGCCTGATGTGAGAGCGAGGAAGCAAGACAGTCTGGCAATCCAACAGTACCAGTATGACAACATGATATGACAATATGAGCTATGTTGTGGGCGGAAAAGAACATGGATGGTGCCGTGGCAGTCAGGTACCGAAGATGTACAGAAGTGGATGTCAGGGATGCACGTGTGTAATGCAGTGTTGAGAAAGTATTGTGTATATCATAGTCAAATGTTCAGTCTGGTTCGGAACAAATCGTCTTTGTGCTTGTGTCCAATGATCGTAGTGCTTCATTACTACGCACCTGAGCGGGTAGCATAGAGAGCGGAGGCCTGTGATTTTATACGTTGCCAGTGGGTGATCGAATATGCCTGCTTTTTTCTACAATTCGGTTGTAATGAGACGGCACTGCCAGATGCGTGTACCATTGGGGGTAAAATGCAGCGGACTGAGGAACGGAGTTCTAGTAGACGGAATACCATGGGCGTCTGCGGCTTCATACTAGGACCATATCATGCCAGTGACCATAGCAGTATTCGCACCATATCACAGCAGTATCTTTCTACTCTCTTTCTATCAACTGATGTATCGGACGAAATCAAGCAACTTTTCGCTTCCATATAGTACAATGCTGGAAACAGCCAGCTCTCTACCGGTACAAAAGTAACAGATAATTAATTCGAGACACATGCGGAAAGATGCTGATCCAATCCGACTGAACACCTTGCAAGCGCTGAGAACACAAACACAAAGCCACCACCTTGAACGAAACCCAAAAACATGACAGCCGTATAGAAAGAAGTGAAGGTGCGTTTGCAGACAACTCATTGCTGACATTCTATCGTAACGAGGGTCATCATAAGTTTGGACATGAACAAGAATACGTACACAGTCGAGCACGAAAAACCTCCACATCAAAACAATTCACACATGATCAACCCTGTGCCGATTGACTCTTCAATCGAGCCTTGGCACCAAACTTGTAGAAGACAAAGGGAATAGGAGTGAGCAAGGCGGAGATGATGCCTAGCAAGGTCAAGGACCAATGGACATGGATGGCCTTGTACATGACGACGCTGACGGGGATCATGCCGCCGGAGACGGCGTAGCTGGTGAAAGTGACACCCACAAGGGCGCTGGCGGCCTGGGCCTCATAGGCATCGATGATGTACTGGTAGGTAGAGGCGTAGATACACTGGACGGAGAAGCCGACGACAGCAGACCCAACGATGCTGCACCAGTACGAGACTTTTGCATACGAGGTCCAAGCCATAAAAAACAACGCGATAGGTAGCCAGGGGGCGCCGATGATGGCGAACCACAGCCGCTGCTCGGGCTCGACGCGGACGCCTCCCGCCCGCTCGCATTTGGCCTTGTAGTTGCGGTAGATGAAGGGGAGCACGAACGCCAGGGCCGCGACGAAGCCGACGTCCAATCCTAGCCAGCATAGCCCTTCTTCAACGGACGATAGACCGTATGTCTCGGCGTAGATGAAATCGTATCCCTTCAGAAATGTAAACAGCACAATGTACACGACCGTCAAGTAGACGGTGAAACAGATCAGCATGATTTCTTGCGTGAGGAGCTGCATGGGCCGGTAGATTCGGCCCGCCATCCGCGCCAGCATTCCCTGATGGCTGCTGCCTTCCATGGCCGTCGCGTACCGTACGTCGCCGGTGAAATACCGCAAGTGCTCGGCCTTCCACTTGAGAATCCGCGGGGCGTGCGTCTCCGGCACAAACAACAAAATACAAATGAAGTTCAGCCCGGCCATCATCAATGTGATCCATTCCGTCCATCGCCAGCTGAGTGACCTCGAGTGGCCGATGAATGCGCCAATCATGGGCGCAAGGAACGGGCCTAGAAACGATAGTCCCGCCGCCAGTGGGAATACGTATGTTCGTTCCAGCGGTGACCACATGTCTGAAAGACTGCCGCCGAACGCGGTGTATGGCGTGCTGCCCGCCAGGCCGGCGAGAAACTGGAGTGCAAGTTGCGCCCCGATGTTAGGCGCCAGAGCGTGGCCCATGATGAAGATCATGAAAAATATCAATGAGGCAATATATAGTGGGTTGCGCCCGAACGTTTCGGAGTAGGGAGCAGTTATCCATGATCCCAGCGCCAGAGCGATCAAGTAGACGGCGGTTGCTAGAGACTCGACGACCGCGCTGACGCCGAATTCTTTTTGTATCTCCTTGGCGACCGCCGAACTGATGGCTGATCCCCAACCTACCAATGCCCAGGTGAGGCCAAGTATGGAGGTGGCGATCCACTTCTTCGCCCTGGGCCAGTTTCGAGGGTTCTCTGGGTCATTTTCACCGTCGAACTCCACCGTAAGCCATTTGGGGTCCTCTTTCGCACTGTAGTCGTATTCGTTGGTGTTGCCCGCCTGCTCGTCGTGGCTGGTCCCCGTCCGGTTGGTCTGGTGGATTTCGTTGGTAACAATGGTGCTCCCAAGATCTAGCCTGTTCCTGTCTTCGCTCGTTCGACCTGTCTCCTCCTCCGTCTCGCCATGACAGGGCTGATCAAGACCAGAATGGGAGTAATTTTTTGTCGATGGCTGAACGAGAGGGTTTTCTTGGGCGAACTTCTCTGCAGGAGTGGCACCGGTAGACGCTTCTGGGTCGGAATGCTTCTTAATGATCCTCTTTTTGAATATGATTTTGTCTAGTTCGGGGACGCCCTTCTCTGTGTCGTAATGTCTGTCTTCTCTTCTGTATGCTGCTTCAACTTTATTGCGCAAGCGATAGTATTGGAGGATTGATTGCATGTTGCGGCACCCCGGACCTCAGGTGTTGGGTATAAGCAAGCAAAGGGTTCTTGGGTTAGCAAGCCATGCTGGGGCAAGGGACCATATGTATCAAAGTATATTTTCGCCAAAAAAGCAGATGGCGCCAAACGGAAGGGTCCAGGAACCGTTCAAGGCTTATGACGGTATGCTCCGCTATTGGTGCGGAGGCCAACTTTTATGAGTACCATGAATCGGCATTTGTACGAACCAGGAAAAGCGATCCGGGAAATTTGGTGAGTACTTGTGGTTTCTGGTTGGTGCTGTGGTCATCTGCCTCCACCAAAGTAAGGTACCGAGCGGACGCCGGTGTACGCAACGTACATTGTAGGTGGCAGGCTGCTTCCGACCCCAGGGCAAAATTGGTCGCTGGGGAGTTGGAAAGCGGATGTCGATCAGTTGAGTGGACGGATCCACAGCCTTGTGCAATGCTGACGAGCCATAAGACCCGGGAGCCTCGTCAACAATGCTTACTTTCGTCATTGTTAAAGAGATCAACGACCTGCTCAACGACCGGTAACGGAAGATTCACACTACAATACAGATTCCCGCCGTACTTCCCTCTGCATTTGCAGCTGTGGCGGCATAGTATAGTTGTCGCACTGATGTATTGGCGAAGCTGATGGTGCGTGCAGGCATGGAACGACAATCGCTTGCGGTCTCATGGTGCACTCGAAGTGAAACAGTTGCGTACTACCACATGCATGACTCGTCGCTTGGGATTTCCACGGCGTAGTGACAGATGTCAAGGCATGGGCAAATGTCCTTGGGATGGACTTTGTCCCAATTCGCATACCCCCTGGGCGAGGTTCTGGTCTGAATAGGAAGCTGCGCGGACCTCGATGGGTGGACGGGAGGCCACGAAGCGTTTCACAAATGCCAGATCAGATACTAGTCGAAGGTGCAGGCTCCAGATGATTCTGTGTTGTAGAGAAAATTCGTCAAAGCTGCCCCAGAATGACGAGGTGGCAGCTCCACTTGATCTGGGTGGAGTGCAAGCCCATCCATCTTTGTCTCGGACGTGCCACCCGGCTTTTTGGTGTCAAACCAAGGTAGTGAAGCACAAACACAACACTCATACTGAATGAGACCTTGAGCTTGTGGTAAACTCAGCCCCTAGATGGAGACATTGGTATAGTCTGGGAGTATCTGCCATATGCCACGCCGCATTACTCTCACCTTGTTCAAGTCGTGGATAAAGTGCAGTGAGTGCATGGTTCAAGGCTGACTGCCAAGACCTCCAGCCTCGTGGTGATGATTAGTAAGAGAACGAGGCTCAGGCTGCTCGTTTAGCAGTAGGAAACAACTTACCACTACGGAGACAGACCAATAAGTTCACTTGAAGAAGAGAATATCTCGAAGAGACAGAAACAGAGGGAAAGAAGAAGTGACTTTTTACCTACCCTACCACTTATCACTATTTCGGGGCGACGTTGGTACATACCTAAGTACATACGCATCGTCCACGAGTACCAACACCCACGTCCGGCTGGCAGGGGTAAGTTGACATGACATTTGGGAGAGATTTTTTGTCGTGTGTTCTTGGGAAACGTTCTTCACATGATTAGCACCTCGGGACACTCTCAGATACTGGAGCTATCTTCTCGATTTCCTTACGGCCCGGTGTCGAACAAGCCCTTGCTAGCATTGAAACGCCTATCAGAACTCTCATCCATATATTTCTGGCTTGATAAAACAGTCGGGTGCGTTGGCAACGGACGAATGAGATGTGATCATCTGGCATGGGAGGAGTAAAATCCGTGATTGAAATGGCACAGCCATGTCAAGCCAGAACAACTTTCATGGGGTAGGCTGGTTTTCTATTTAAATTCCTTGAAATTTTTGAGCGTACTAGTATCCCTTGAGTCTGTCTGCACAGCCCCCAAGCACGAATATGGAACGCCTCTGCCAGTCCAATGCTTATTGACGCCTGATACATCAGCTTCTTGAACGGGAATCTGAAATCTTCAACCTCTCGGTCTAGGTCCATGTGGTTGGCATACAGCATCGTGCCGGGTACCACATGGTCCTGCCATGCGCTCAATCCGGCGATACTTAGATTTTACTAGTAAATCAGTTTATCCTTCCGGACTTTCCGCTTTGAATGTTGATCATTAGCCCATCGATGACCACAGCGTGGACGCAAATCATGATGTGGTAAGACGTATGATGCTGCTGGAGGTTATCTCCCAAGCGATCAAGAAGAGCAGGTGTAGGATGTGAGATCAGCAGACCTTACTGACTGTAGCCACTTAGCTGAGGTCTACTTCAGTTGTTGACCCTTGACAACAACAGGTATCAAACGCTCGTCTGATCAAAGCGGCAGATATCATGGTGGCTGCTCAGATTGAAGCGGCGGGATCCGGCTTCCACCCTTGAGTCTCACGTGACGCCAAGCGAATTGCTTGAGAAATCCAATCGCGATTGAACTTCAAGTTAACTGACAACTTCAATTGAACTTGAAGCTCGACTTCAGGCCGCAGTCTGGAGTCTATCTGCAGACTTGAGCTGCTACCACATATACTGCTCCGTTCAGGATGGAGCATGTGTGCGCGAGATGCGCGAGGCTCAGTCTCCGGCCGGCGTCAAGGAACGCCTCGATTTCGCATCTCATCAACGGAAGGGGATTCTCAACGGCCCGGAGTCTTCTTGCTGAAGGTACGTCGCTCTTTAGTTTTCCTGTCCATCTGTGATATGTCTGTGCTGACATAGTTCTTTCAAAATCCAGGCGATCAGAAGCCTTCCGGAAACTCGGCTTCGAAATCCTCAGCTTCGGGCTCAGGTTCAGGTTCGCCAAGTGTGGTGATTCGAAAAACCCCAGTTCGATCTGGCACCGCCGCCGCTTCTGCAGGTGCAGGCGCTGCCAGGAGACCGCCGCCCGGTCCTATCCTTCGCCGGACAGGAGCTCAGCGCACTGGCAGTGCACAGAACTCTCCTGCCTCTACCGGTACCCGTACTCCCAGCATTGCCGGTCAGCAGCAACAATCAAGGGCGCCTGCGCCAGGACTACTTCTGCGGAGATCAGGCCCGCCTCGGTCCACGGGCGCTGGAAGAGCAGGACAACAACCGCAACAACAGCAGCCGGGGTCGTATGGCGCAAGGAGAGGTCTTGGTCAGCCCCAAGGCCAAGGAGCACAACAGTACCAGCGTCGTCAAGGAGCGCAAGCACAAGAACAAGGACGAGGCGCCGGCGGCAGACCGATCAATCGCACCGATCGCCGCATTCAACGAGCCGAGCGACGCGAAGTAAGCAAGGCGGCCGAGGAGGAGGATGAAGATGATGCCGATCTTTTGTCCATCGACGACCAAATCAACGCGTACATCAAGACCAACATTGACCGTCCCGTCAACCCGACTGAAGAGATCCCCCATGTACCCGGACAAGAGTTGTCAGTTGATACTCTCCGGGCTGACTGGCCCAACACCCCGCTCTCGGGCACCGGGTTGACCGAGTCCGTGCAGCAACGCATCGAGTGGCTTGCCCATCGCATTCCGCACGGGTACCAGACACCCATGCAGCTCGCCGAGCGGTACTACAAAGGCTATTTGACACGGTTTGAGTCCGAGGAGGAGAAGAAGGAGGTGCTGGCCCTCGCGGCCGAAATCGCTCGCAAGCGTGCCGACGAGATCACAGAGAAGAAAAACGTCGAGGCGCATCCCAAGGACATGACGTTTGATGATGTCGCCTCCAGAGCTGCCGAGCGCCAGGCTCTCGCCGAGACGTACGTCAAAGGCAAATACCCCGAACCGGAAAAGCAAAAGATGCCTTTCCTGGACCAGATTGTGCGCAACCTGAACAACAACGACACTTATAACGGTTTGCAATCGGAGCAGTTCATGCAGACTGTCCACAAGCTGATGGCCACGCAAGCGCCTCGGTCTCAGAAGAGGACATAGGGGTGCGGTACCATCGTGCATTGAGCGTGGAACTTTCGTTTGCGATTGAGGGGGAACAGAGTTATATTCCAAGTTAACCTAGCTGAACGGACAAACAAATACTTTTGTACAAAATTGAGGCCCTAGCAGATCCAATCCACCAAGTACTATCTTCCCTTCAATCTTGAAAGATGGACCACTTCCTTGCAATGGACGCCTGCTGCTGACTGACACTTGAACGAATGCACTTTTTGCTCTAAGAACACCAAGGTTCGATCCCATCCCCTTACTCCTTTCTAATGGAAGGTATGCAAGAACGTGTCTTCTCTCCCACGATAATGCTTTCCTGAGGCGGTCAAGCAAGGTGTTCCTCTTCTTCCTCTTCTCAGCTGGCTGTGATCTTCATCAGCCGTCAAGTCTCATCATAAAGACAGCTTATCGAGCATCTCTTGGGCAATCACATCCCGGCACAACGGACAGCCCGGCTGTTCCAGCTCGATCAGCCATTTAACCAGACACCCCTTGTGGAACTGATGCCTGCACGGCAGGTCATAGATCCATTCAGCGTCCCCGATGCGATCAATCTGACAAATGGCACAGTCGTGGCCCTCGACTTCACGGGCGCTTGCGCTGGTGCTATCACATTGAGCGCGCGCGAACGGACGAAGCCGACAGATCCCCAAGATTCCCTCTTCCTGTGCAAAGTGATATACTTCATGGACGTCCAGGAACCGATATTGCTCCAGCAGAAACAGACACAAAAAGTACATGGCGGCGGTAGCAGGCGAGAACTCGGACACTGAAACTCGGCCTCCATTTTTGATGCTGTTAAAGTCAACCTGGAGCAGGTCTCGATCGCTGTCCACGGCTACAGCAGGGAGAATGCGTAGGACATGCAACTAGAGCGCCCACGTTACAATCGAAGCCATGGGCAGGACGTCGGAAGTGGCGGTCTCGCCGGGCGTGTAGCTTGATTTGATCTTCGCAACCTTGATGACATCCACGGCCGTGTGGCTGTCGAGTCGTCCCATATCGAGCAGGGCAAGGGCGCTGAGGACGGGTGCAATGTTGGCTAGTTTGAGGCACATCTGTGTATCAAGCCCTAATCGGCGGTCTGCCTCTGACGGCATGGCCATTTTCCTGCAAATTAGCTGGACTTTGAGCTCGAGCATGGTATAGCTGACGGCGAGGGCGTGGTCGTCCATATTGTTGATGTGTGCTGTGATTCCTGGCGCCACAGAGAATTGTCTCATATCCTCATGGTAGTATAAGATTGACAACTCATCTGAGGATGGAGAGTCCATTTTGCTGCTGTTTTGTACCGTCGGGGAAGCGATTTTGCAAGGAAGATTTGACATTGTTACAGCAGTGAGAACCACTAACAGGTTGGGACGAATGATCAATATCTTTCAATGTGTCCTTTTTGTATGTATAACGAAGGTATCTTGCAAACGAAGGAATGCGAAATGATGTTTCTATTACAGCTGGTCACATTGACCGAGGACAGAAAGGAGTAGAGTACGATGACAAGAGTGTGGAAATACTACCAGTATATCAGTGCACTTGGAAGGGTGAGCCCTTGTTTCTTTTGGAAGGAGTGTCCCCCTGACACCACTTTGCTGAACTCCTTGATCAGAATGTCTTTTGACTGGAAGAAGAAGGAACGACAACACTGATACTGCATTCGCCTCAAATTGACCTCGGGTGGGATCTATTAAGCTTAGGACTAGTAGAGGCTGGCTAGGCAGCCTACGGGACCCTGACAGGCGGTTAACTGGCTTTCGGCTTGCTAATTGAATGACTGAAAGGTCATCCGAAGAGGTCCTCCAACAAATTGAACTCGAGGAGCCAGGTGTGACAATCGTTCAACCTATGCCTTCCGCATTTAGGAAATATTTGACTGTCTCATGTCACCGGCACACCGATCCATTGCCATGTCCATCTTCCCACCTCAGTGCTTTCTCTTTCTGTTCCGATTCCTGTTCTTCTTCTTGGTAGACTTCTTGGAGCCTGGGTCTGCTTCGTGGTCCATCGTTTGCGGACCTTGGCCGTCAGGGAAAGGCTCATCGCAAACATGACAGCGGCGATGACCCATGACGGAATCTGCAGCACAGGACGCATGATAACAGTGGTGCTTACTGCAACACAAGTACAGGCTGGGATTCTGAGGAGAGATTGCCTCATGACAGATCAGGCAGACCAACGCTTCATCCTGGGAAGAGGTGGCTTGAAGCGATTCGTCGATTTGAACCGATGTAGTCTTTGCTACACCACCGATTTCTGGCTCTGGCTTTTTCCATGAAAACAGCTTCCGGATGCTGGCCATTCCCCGAGCAACAGGCAGGAAGAGGACTGAGTATTCGTTGATAATACCCTCCTTGAAGTGCGACCAGATTTGAGCAAGTTCGGGCACTGTTGAAAGCAGGTTAGTTCGGACAGCGCCTGCATTCGGGATGCCCCTGGTAACTGACGTATAACAGGAGACTCAGGAAGCAGGTATCGGACCCTGACATGTTGACCGGTCCCTATAGACAGGACCCAGGTCAAACACACCAGGAACGCAAAGTACACCCATTCCGCAGCTTTGGACACTTCTCGACGTCCGTCCCGCTGCATATGCCGAGTAAATCTTCTGCTGCGTGAGAAGAAGAGGAGAAACAGGCTGGTAAGGGTATTGAAAACGAGAACATATGCAGGACCCAGTAGGTTCAGAAGCACGAGGAAGAGAGTGGCAACAAGAAGGGAAAGGGACATTTTGTCTTTGGATATTATTTGAACGTAGACCATGTTTAGAAAATTGGGAGAAACGAGTAAGCAATGTGGATGTTCCTAAGAATCAATATACCTGGTAACTTGCAGGATTACCTGAAACAGGATGATGACCGAGATCTGAAAGGGTGCGGACGGTCACTGACTGTTTCTGTATCTTGCAGTGCGGCTCACAGGCGCGGCTGCCTTTGCCATCAGGACTTTGCTTGCCCAACTTGAGCTCGCGCGACATCACCACTAAACTGGTACTAGTAGACGTCGACATCATTGCGGCAGAGAAGGTGCAAATGCACAAACGAATCTTCTGTTGTTGAGGAATTTTCGTTTCCTTTGAACGCTATGAACGGCGTAAACTTGGCCTACAGTGGGATTTTAGCAGAAAAGGCTGAAAATAAAGGAGTCCAAGTTCAGGAGAACTTGATCTTGATCTTGAAGCAGCAGAAGATCTCTTATCGGCAGCCTTATCGTCCCACACGTGACCGTGCTTTTCGTCTTCAGTCCAAACAATGACGAAATCTCCCGAATCGGACCGGACAACACCAGAACTCAACAGGAAGAAGTCCTCAGACGTGCTACTAGTAACTTCCATGATACTTATAACTTCAATCCTGCCAGGTAAACAGGTAGCCAGCTCGAAATACTTTTCCGTTGTCTCATTTTGCACCTCAAAACAGTCTTCGGCTCAAGTTTCTTGATTGACATCAACAGAGTCACGGTCCTCCAGCATGGCACTCCCGCCGAAGTTTGCCGGGCAACTGCTCGCATCATCCTCAACCAGCGAAGCAAAGCATACCATTGAGATATATCTGGATTATACTTGCCCCTTTTCTGCCAAACTATTCAAGACCTTCTACACGGGCGTTGTGCCTTTGATCGAGAAAAAGTATACAAATCCAGGGATCCGGGTCATCTTCCGCCAGCAGATCCAACCATGGCATCCGAGCTCCACCCTCGTACACGAGGCCGCTGCTGCCGTCTTGAGGACAGCACCAGATTCCTTCTGGGCCTTCTCCGAGAAGCTGTTTGACCACCAGAAAGAGTACTTCGATGAAGCTGTCGTCAACGAAACTCGCAACAATACTTACAAACGACTTGCCAAACTAGCTGGTTCGGTCAAAGGCGTGGACGAAAAGCAGATCCTGGACTTGCTTTTGATTTCGGAGAAACCAGGCGAGGACGGCAGCTTGAACACCGGAAACAAGGTGACCAACGATATCAAGTTCATGGTCAAGGCGAACAGATTGACCGGCGTGCATGTCACACCCACAGTCCTGTTCAACGGAGTCGAGGAGCGCAGCATCAGTTCTTCCTGGACTGTGGAACAGTGGGACGAGTGGCTGCAGAAGAATGCTTCACAAACAGCTTCGCGTTTGTGAGAGGATCTGGCAGGATCCAAAATTTGCCTTGCGTGGAATGGCTCGGCACCGTCGACGAATAGTCATTGACACGTTTCCAGGCTCGGCGTCAAGTTTGGGCGAAGAACAATAAAAAGGCAAACGATCGAGCATCGGTGTTGAACGGCGATTATGGCTATGCTAAGCATGAGCAAACAGCTGGCATTTCGGACCCAAACCTCCGTTGCCGTCTTGCATCGATTCGTCCAGACATACAGAACTGGTAGTAAGCACGCTCGCTGAATGCACAGTGAAATAAACCTCCCCAGCTGAACAGTAAACGCCATTATAATGCTGCGCCGGTTACGGGTGTCTCTGGCGAGAGCCCTTGATCATTGGGCTGGTGGCTGATAACCGATCGGACGTCTATGGTGGACATTAGTACAAATCAACTCTTGCTGGTCGTTCCGGCTTACTTGAACAGTAGGATGTGCGGTTCCGGCTCGTGCACTTCGTAATGTTCCCATCCCAAGCTCTAAGTTTGAATCAGCGGACTGGCCCAACCATGCAGTAACAGCTCCCTACCTGTGTGATTCCCAACCCTCTCCATTCCTCTTCCCACAGAAGCTTCAGCGTACCCTTAGACTCATCGAAGTAATCCCTAGGGATTGCCTTCAGCATCGCCTTGGGCAGCTGTACGTGGCGGTATTCATATTCCGAATCGGAGTATCTGCTGCTTGTCAACCCCGATATCCACGCGAAGGACATCTTGAGCTCTCGTACCTTGCAGAGTACCCAATGGAATCAATAAACTCTTCTAGCCGGGCCCTTTCGTTCTCATGCAATAATCTCGGCTTTTTGTTCCGTCGCGACATATCAACGTTCGGCATCTTGCTGGCGGAGCAGTTGTGCTTGTTGTTTCTTGCGCAACCAAGAAGGTGTTTCGTGGGTAGATGTAATAAACGGCGGAGGAGTAACTTGGGGTGTAATAACGGTTGGCTTGAGTGTGGTGCCTGTAATAATGAGCGTGGAAAGTGGTCTCGTGCTTTAGGCTTTCGCGTAAAGGAAAGACTCGGGAAGAAACCACATCGGCAGCTGGGCGAGAGGGCAAGGCAGTCGTGTAAGGCGGTCACGGTTGACACCAAATACAGGGGAGAAAAGAGCAGTAGGCGTTGAGAGGTGAAGTTCTAGTCTCGGTGTTGGGCGTTATGGGAAGACAGGCTACAAGTTGTCTAGAAGGCCGGGGGAGGACAAAAAACACAACTTAAACCACAACCACAAACCAAAGGCCCGTAAACAAGGACTCGAGACGCGGAAAGCGCTGCTGCCAAGCCGCCGCCGTGAATCTGCACTTGAAATGTGCAGTGCAGGACACGCGCAGCCACAGGACACCAGCCCCATATTACATAACCAGGCGCAGCCACACGTCTTGGCCAGTCACAATCGAGTGCAGTCACGAGGGTGCATGAATCGGGCGAGTCACGTGCATGTTATTGAGCCTCTCGTCGCGTCGGCAGGATACCTGGGAGATTTGCAGGATGCAGTGAACGCCGCGAGGATGGGATAATTGATGCGCATACCGCAGCCTCGCAGTCCGTTCTTTTGGCCAGTGAATCCAAGGTGTCTACTGTGTGTCCGGCGTTGTATTGACCTATTCTGCACCTGATGGTGGCTCTCGCTGCCGTGCAGACCCCGAATCCCACCCCCATCGGCCAAATTTGAGAGGCTGCGATGAGCAGCTCAAAGCGCAGAAGCGGCCCTGCAGGCTTGATCGATGACTTTGCGGCCACGCCAGATCCCAAGCGACGCAAGCGTAACGACGTAAGTGCATCGCACCCATTATTTATCCTTCCTTATACTCCTCCACACGCCCAACTCCCAATAACTGGCACTTCAACACTCGCTGCATCTACCGAACCCGGAGCCCTCGTTCGACCGCAATTACCTCCATGCCTGTCTTCAAAGCCCGCACGAGCGAACTGCCACTGCAGGCCGCAGCGTCCAGCATGCACAGCATCTCTAATCTTAAGAGCCATTCAACCAGCTTTGGCTAACTGTGATATCTGCCGTGCCAGGACACCCACTATCCCGACTTCGAGACTCGAGAGACAACCACAGAACTCGGGTTAAAACTGGTCAGACAGCTGAAAATATCCAAAGACAAGAGTGGCCGCAATGTCGCCGTTCACTTCATCGACCTGCCTAGCAGGGCCGACTATCCCGACTACTATCAGCAGATTGCCATGCCACTGTCCTTGAACATGATCGAGCAGAGGCTGGAGAATCGTGAATATGAGACCATGGAACAGCTGGAATCGGATTTAAAGAGAATGGTGCAGAATGCAAAGGACTACAACCATAGCAAATCGCCCATTTTCGAAGACGCAGAACGTATCCGAAAGGCATTGTCGAATTTCATGCCCAAACATAACCCGGCATACCTACGACCGGACTACCGTGCCTATCCCACGCCCATTCCGCAAGACCTCCTCGACCGGCAACGGGCATCATCTGCGGTGTCTGAAGCCCATACACCCACGGAAAAGGTCAAACTGGTATTTTCCAGAAGTCGTCGGAGTGAGGCAACGCCAGCTACTTTGACTCGGAAGGACTTGAAACAGGATTACCTGAACTTCCTGAAGGAGTTGTCCGAGCAAGAAGATGCAATGTACGACTACCCGGAGCGTGGCACTGATAACTCGAACTGTACTGACCCAGCGTATAGCAATTTCGAGGAAAGGGTGTCCAAAAAAGACTATCCTGATTATTACAAGGTGATCAAGAAGCCCACCTCGATCTCCGATGTTCGAGCCTTGGTGGAAAGTGATGCCATTCCGGACTGGGATACATTGGCAAAGGAGGTTCGCTTGATTTGGGACAATGCGAAGGAATACAACCAGGAAGGATCCGACATATACATAATGGCGGAGAAGCTTGAAGTAAGCGATATGCCCAGTCTCAACATGCTCTTGCTAAGGTCTACAGACATGGTCAGAACAGAGAATGCAGTCTCTCGGTGCTGCACCACGCCGAAATCTCAAGTTGTCCCTGTCGCAACCGAAGCCGAAGGCCCTGAGGCTCACAATGGGCTCGTCCACTCCAACACCAACTCTTGTGGGCGGCACCATCGACAGTGAATCTCTTCGACGCCAAAAAGAAGAGACTGGCCAAGCCCTCAGTCGGGCACGGCGAGCAAGTTCCAGACACGCTCAGGCCAATGGATCAACCCCGGTTCCTCCAACTGCTACACCTAGTGTTCGTCGGAGTGTTTCGCAAGTATCACAAGGAGCAGAGGTCACAGAGCAACCTGATATTGTTATGGCGGAAGCCACTGCTAATGGCACAGCTACTCCACAACCTCAGGAAGTTATTCCCAAGGCGTCCCAGACTCCGGCTCCAGCTCCTGTACAGTTACCGACACCTGTAAGGGAAGTTGATACACCTGCACCAGGGGTTGCCCTGACCAACGGAACCCGTGGCTACGAGCCGCCTGGCTCGCGGCCTGCCCCACACTCGGCTGACGGTACATCTCCTGTCCCGTTCGAGCGTCGATTTCGTGACCCCGGCAAAGGTGAGATTTCCTTGAGTACTCCGAAATGCCCTCTACTGACCGCTTTTTAAGGCCTCGAGTCTGCACTTATTGGTTCTGTCATCTTCAAGACGAATCCCACTCTTCCCAATGATCCGAAATGGCAACTCGTGCGCCGTGCCTCACCTGTTAGGACCCAGACCACAGGCTTCATAAGCTTACCGTTCAACTACCGCGACATTCGAATCATCCCAGTGACCACCCCAGAGTTGAAGTCTCGACGACGACATCGAATTCTTGTCATACATAACACGCAGGTATATCGAGAACCCAACTCACCGTTTCCTGGTGCGTACGATGTGCGACTGTATCCGGGAGAAAACGTGCTGTCAGTAGAAGTACTCGCAGATCTCAGAGACGGGGAGCGACGGGATGCGCCTCCTCAATTGCAATTTGACTTTGAGAAGTGCACCTTGATTGTTAATCTCGGTTCACGGCCATGATGAACACTCGGCTCAGCCTGAGTCAAGGAACTCGTGTTCCATCTAATGTTAGAGTGCTCACCAAGGCGTGTTCCTCGGAAGAGACTGCGAGGTGTGTCTTGGGGAGAATGAGCTGGTTTTCATCAGCTGCGTGTTGAGCTGCTCACGATGCTTGGACGATGCATGTTTATGTACGGTCTATGCAAGTTACCGGGCTCCATGTCGTCCACGGTTTCGAGATGAAGGCGTCCTTACCAGGAAAACAACAGGGATACCCTTGAGCCTGCAGTCATTGAATGATTGTATTCTAGAAGAACTCTTGTCTGAAGTGAAAGTTCTCTGGCCCTCTGGGGTTCTTTCGAGACCATTACTTCGTAAACAGGTCCGGATGGTAATTTGACTTGACATTGTTACAACCAAGACTCAAAACGTATGAGTATATTCTCGTTCTAGCTCAGGATCGCACTTGAGAACCAGAGCGTATGTAGCAGGTTTTTGAGTTGTCTGCTGGCAGGAGTCATCCTTGAGCACCAATGAGCCTTGGTGACTTCGAGGGCAGCGGGTGTATATCTAGATTCAATATACATCGTAGTAGCCCACTTCAATACTGTAGATAAATGTATGGGGGTGCACGCATGATGACGCGCCCCAGTTGACCACTTTATTTATTCCTAGCCTGGAAACTCCAAATGCGACCGCTGCGCATCAAGTCCTCAAATCCGGCCGACAACGAAAATACGGACCAACTCAATCACCTTGAGACAGATTACTAGTATCTTACTCAACACCTTCTTCGGTCCCAGGTTGAAAGATGGCCTCTGTCGGCCCTCAACTGCCACCAGAACTTCAAAACCGCAAGCGAAGCCACGAGGATGACGATAGTGAATCCTCGGATTCATCGACGGGACCTCTGCCCCCGAAGAACCAAGAGAAGGACCAGTCACCGCCTTCAGCAAAGCGAAAGCGCATTTACGGACCAACGCTCCCGCCGGCACCGCTAGACGAAGAACAACACTCTTCCTCAAGCCCTCCTCGACAACCACAGAAAGATCGAGAAGAGGACAAACCAGGAGACAACAGTAGTAGCGACGACGACGATGACGACGACTTTGGACCGAGTCTACCATCCGCCAACGACCATTCCTCAGCATCAATAGGTCCAACGACCTCTTCTTCTACACCAAGTGCCAGTATATCCGAGTCGGGGGCGACAAGGCCAGTCCAGCGAGACGAGTGGATGACTCTCGCGCCCACCGGCGGCGACTGGTCTGCACGGATCGATCCTACGAAACTAAAGAACCGGAAATTCAATACGGGACGGGGCGCAAAGGGGCCGCCGCAGACTGCCGGCGGTGGAGCTGGTACGTCGTCGTCGTGGTATGAAACGCCGGAGGAAAAGCAAGCACGGTTGAGAAGGGAGGTTATGGGGATCAGCAATGATGCTGCTACTGCTGGTGCGGGAGGGAAGTCAAAAGCAGCAGCGGCAGCAGCTGGGACTCATGGAGATGATGCTGAGACTGCCAGGAGGTTGAAGGAGTATAATGTAAGTACGGTTCGCGTATTGCAATCGTTTACTGTTTTTTGGGCGCTATCCTCGCGTCATGGAATGATGTGCCTAGCGATTTGAGCGAGAGGACGTACGTGATAAGAAATAAGAAATCTAACTGGGATGACAGGAGAAACGAGGCCCTTCTCTCTACGCCTCACACAATGCCTCTTCGAAAGTCGTGGAGGAAGATGACCCGAGTGCCAGAGCGTTTGATCGTGAAAAGGATATTGCTGGTGGGGCGACTATCAATGCTACGAAACGGAGAGAGATGCTCAAGAAGGCTTCGGACTTTTCTTCACGGTTTAGTAGTGCGAAGTACCTCTGAGGGAAGAGAATATGTCACTGGTCTCCATTGACGGGGATCTTTCAAGTGGTACATTGCTCTCCGCCTATTCATGGGGTCGACCGCTTGTTTCACCGCCGGGCCACAGTTCGGCCGGATCTCTGGTGTGGTGCTTCTGCCGTGAAGGCTTACAATGGGCGGGATCGAAGGGATCTGATTTCGAGACACCCGAGGAGCCTTTGGAATCGTCAGTGGCTATATCTGTTGCGGTAATCCGCCGCCGCTGGACAGTCCTGTATGGCAAGTTGGGCCATCGCAGCGCGCCACCAATACAAAAGCGCTGTATGGTGCTGGTCATAATCCCTCTGCCGAACTTCCTTGCCTTTTCGGCTAAACGATCGCGGAGAAACGGAGATCGAGAGACGAATATCTGGAAGAGCAGATCACCTCGCGAAACGACAACACAGGACGACGAAGAGAGCGCGAAAATGGGTCTTTACAGTACCTACCAGGGCAAAACGTCGTGAGAACAAGAAAAGGGTCCAACGTCAGCACGATGAGGAGGCACGGTTTTACTTTGTTTTTGATGCGAGGCAAAAACTGGTGATTGCGGATCGTCCCCGACATCAAAGCCCCGGTCAAAAGTATTTTGGTCAGTTCTCGACACTCGTGAGAGAAAAGAACTGCTCTGAACAGCGATTGCGAGGGATACAAAGCACCAGGAAGTCACCCCAGAAGGACAGGCCGCATGGTGCTTCGGTACGTCGTCTCCCGCGTCATGGACACACCTTTCACCGGATCTATAACGGCAATCCAGATGGAAATGCCATTTTTATGCTCAGCATCGACGCCATGGAAGAACAACTGAGGACAAATTTTGAACCAGCCGCAATCACCCGTCTGCGCCCGTAGTATTCATCTCATGGGTGTGTCATAGCTCAGAGCATACCAACGAGTTACCGAGCAGAGGGACATGTCGACGAGACCAGCCAGGCGGTATTATGGGTTGCCAGGTCTACTCAACACAAGCATGACACCAACATGTGTCGGATTGCTGGTTACTGCCTAGGTCGGAACTGAGGTGCTTCTGCTCAACCGGTGGTGACCGGAATAAAAAACGTTGGACATACAACATTGTAGAACGATGTCAGCGAAGCATACATCTCGAGAGGTTGTGGGCGTAGATATCTCGTAGCACCAGTTGGTATATGATAGGACGCAAACGACTATCAGCAGCAGGGTGCATGGTATTTCTCAACCTCCTATATCGGTCCAAGGCAATCATGCCACAGCGCTGATACAGGGTAGGGCAACAGTTGTCAATCCGGAGTGTACAACTTGAACATTGTAGAAGCTCTCACACACAACAACCCAGTTTCTCGACGGTTGATGAAATTGCGCCAGACTGACGAGGGAATATCGATGCCCCTGCCACCAGTCAATGGTTCTAGCAGCACATTACGTTTTGTCAGACAAGGACATTTGTGCGCGTCATCGCGAATTCCACGCGCATCCGAGTGAATCTCAGGTTACTGTCCCTTGTCTTCGACTCCTTCATGCCACAGTGTTCCGAACTGGAACCACCTTGCTGCCGATTCCTTCCTGCTGTCCTACGACAACCTGAGACCTGAGCATCAGCAGTCTATGCTCTGGTCTATGGCACATTCATTTCTGCATCACCATCTCGTGCCTTGACGTTCCTCCATACAAACACGTCCCCTCACGACCTTTCTGCTACACAACATCACAACTCTCAGGATGGCCCTTCTGATGCTCCTCCCACTTCTCTTTCTGGCCATGACAGGCTTGGTGCAAGTCGATGCTTTCTACACCAAGAATTCCCCTGTTCTCCAGGTGACTGCAAAGACATACGACTCGCTGATTGCGCAGTCCAACCACACTTCGGTAAGGATACAACCGGTGCCCTCCTCGACCTTATATTTGCAGCTGACAACCCCAGATTGTCGAGTTCTATGCCCCGTGGTGCGGTCATTGTCAGAACCTAAAGCCGGCCTATGAGAAAGCCGCAAAGAATCTGGCCGGTCTTGCCAAGGTGGCTGCGATCAATTGTGACGACGATGCAAACAAGCCATTCTGTGGGCAGATGGGCATTCAAGGTTTCCCAACATTAAAGATCGTCCGACCAGGAAAGAAGCCTGGCCGGCCGGTGGTGGAAGACTACAATGGGCCTCGATCCACGAAAGGTATCGTGGATGCTGTGAAGGATAAAATTCCGAACCATGTAAAGAGGTTGCAAGGGGATGGTCTTGACACTTGGCCAAACGAGCCGTCATCCCCTTCAGCAAAGGCTATAGTATTCTCCGACAAAGGAACCACTAGTCCCTTGGTCAAGAGCTTGGCCATTGACTTTCTCGGCAGCATTACCTTCGCTCAGGTCAGAGACAAGGCTGTGGCCGAGAAATATGGCGTCACCAAATTCCCTACGATAGTCTTGGTGCCTGCTCCTGGTGAGACGCCAATCCCCTATACAGGAGAAATCAACCGAGACTCGCTGGTGAGCTTCTTTAGCCAAATCGCGCCGCCGAATCCGGATCCGGCGCCCAAGGGTGCGAAGCCGACCAAGAAAGTCAAGCCTCAGTCATCGTCTTCCGCCTCAGCGGCCTTCTCAAAGGATTCCGAAGCACACAAATCAGCAGACTTTGACGACTATCTTGCGAGCTCAGGGACTGTGGTCCTTGACGACGATACTCCTACCGAGTCTCCTCTTCCTATTGTGGAGCAAGAGAAACCTGCTGTTGTCGCAGAGGAACTTCCTCCTATTCCCACGCTCACGACCCAAGCGGAGCTTGAAGCTGCTTGCATGACGCCGAAAAGCCATCACTGTTTATTGGTGTTACTTCCTGCATCAGAATCGGGCGAGGGTTCGCATCAGTCGACAACAACGGCACTGACATCACTTGCCGAAATAGCACAAAAGTACCACAAACGTAAGGCTAGTCTAATGCCCACATATGCGGTGCCGGCGGAAATGCAAGAAACGGGTAGGGTTAGGGAGCACCTTGGTCTTGAGTCGGGAAAACTGGAAATCATCGCGCTCAGCATGAAGAGAAACTGGTGGATACGGTATCCAGGCGAAGGCCATGATGTTCATGATTTGGAAGGCTTCATTGACGCCATCAAACTGGGAGAATTGTCAAAGTCGAAATTGCCTCCAGGCTTTGGACCGGTGCCGGAAGATCGTGCAGAAGCATCAGATGATGAACCTGTTGCGACCATTGCCGAACCCGAGCCTGAGCCTGTCGAGACTGCTGAAGTAGAGCATGATACATCCGGCAGAGAGGAACCAGCTGAGGGTGCCGCTGAACCAGAACCTGCCGAGACTGCTGAGGTAGAGCATGATGAGTTGTGATGGTCGCCGGAAGCATATCGGGCTTTCACATCGCCAAGGTCTGCATTTCAATGCTTTTCTACGACACTTCGTTATAACGCTGATTAGGTCACCTGCCCTTGTTGCTGCGCTCCAACGCGGGCGTCAAAAGTTGTCTTCTACAACAGTCTTGTTGACACTCCTTTCCTCACTTCACAATTTTATCACTGTTGCGTCTCTCCGTTCACTTTTACTTCCTTTTTTTGCCTGACCTTTTGTTCTCCCAAGTGTCCTCGCGTTGTATCTTTCACTGCAATCTTGCCTAAAGACAAAGCACTTTGCGTGCCTTACTACCTGGTAGGGTGCGTCCAGACCCGGTGTCAACTCCTCCGCTTGCTACCGTCAACAAGAGTGGCTGGTGTGGTTCTATCTTCTACCGGATCTGGCTCAGATCTGACTGTCTCGACCTAGATTTGGCGCCTTATGGATTCTGGCCGTTTTCTGGATACCGGGGAGCCCCGTAGATCGGTTCCAACTGCTCCGGATTCAACTACGGGGACAGCCCCCACAACCGTGAGTGCATTCCGCAGCTAACAAGAAAGCCGCTCGATTAAAGAACTGGCACGAATTGTCGCTCTGGAGTCTGACGATCGAATAGCAGTTTGGAAACATGACAAACCGGCCCGAAAATCATGTCCAAACACGGCCTCAGGATGCACACACTGACTCACGGCAAGAAGAGCGCGATACAACTATGGTTGATGAGCGCGATACAACCAACGTTGATACAACCATGGTTGATGCGGTCGAGGAAGAAAATGCACAAATTGATTCACGGCAAGACGATCGCGACACAACTATAATTGACACAGTCGAGGAAGACAAACAGAACAATACAAATGCTGGCTATTCGGTGGATTTGTCATGCCTATCTGATGCAACAGATGTGCCAGCGTCGCATAGCCAGACTGGTAACGGACCATCTGCCACTGTCGGATTGAACAGCTTTCCTCCCGCATTACTTCGGTCTCAATCGTCACGACATCGAGCCCGGTTCGATCGCTCATGGCTCCTCCCTGACCGGAATCTCCCACTCAAAGCTCAGATTATGGAGCATGTGAAGGACTGGGCAGAATTGGGCTCCATGATTGAAAATGACCAACGCCGCTATGAAGTGCTCGATCGTGCTTTTTTGACATTGAGAAATGTATGGTGCGAAGCGTTGCGTCAGGGTCTTGTTGCAAGCAATGACTCCGCTCCAATGGCGGTAGAGTCAATGCCACAGTCAAACAGAACTGGCTCTGGCAGTCAGATGGGAAGCAACTCCGCTGCTATGGTGACAGGGTCAATACGCCAGACAAGCAGAACTGGTCCGAACAGTCAGACGGGAAACAACTCCGGCCCTGAACGCCCTGCAAATACAGGAAAAATACGTCAGCGACCTTCCCGCGACCCAAAGTTATACTTCCTACACAAGACAGATCCACGGGACACATACACTCGAGCAGTAACGTTCGGAGAGCTGGAAGAGGCAGGCGTGTCTCCCGAGCTCATTCGCCAACGCGCAGAATCCGGCGATCTCCAAGGGGGCGACGAGCTCCTGGACGCTGTTCTCAAGCATCTCGGGAGGAGAGACATACGTAAAATGGATTGGTTCCGCCTCACTAGGTCGACCAATTCGAATTTGTCTGGCCGAAATCTCATGCTCTGGGCTCTCCATGAAGTTCAACTGTTGCGGCAGAGCATGAAGCAACTTGAATCATTCTATCAAAATTTCAGCCAGGATCGACAACGGCAGAACACCGACAAGCGCATTAAAGAGGAAAAGGAGCGGCATGACCTCCTTATGGCGCTGGCTTTGGAACTTGACAAGGTATCGCCTTGGTCTATAGCCAAAGACAAGCCCATGTACGGCACTGGAGTCTCCAGGTTCGCACTCCTTCCTCCTCCCTCACAGCAGACTTTAAACATGGCTGCCGTTGCACCGGCGACAGACATGTCATCTCGTGAAGAGCGCAGCCGAAAACGTCCTCTCACTTCAGAAGACGTAGATGTGGTGGACATTGAGGTACTACCACCAACCAAAAAGCAGATGACTGAACAAGCTGGGGGCATGGTCAAACAGCGTCCGAAATCATCTGACGGTGCTGTGGGCAATGAACCGACCGATACACGACCCGCTCTGCAGGGCGAGCAAAGCAAGACGAACTCAGCCGATCAACCAGCCAGACCCAATCGAGGGAGTGTTGCAGCATCAAAGGGAGCTGGCGTCGGCGAACGGACTGGTCCTTCTCTCATTGCCAAGCTCAAGGATCCATCAGGCTCCCACCCCGAGGAACGGTTGAGCGAAAAGCTTTATGAGCACAAAGGGTTTCGGTTTCAGTATGCAACGGATTCGACCATGGCAGAGCGGGAAGCCATGGACGAGGTTCTCGATACGTTTGTGCGTAAGCAAGCCAAGGCGTACAAAGACTGGGTGTCCAACACGGGGCCTAAAGCTCGTTTCAAGCAGTTTCATACGCTCTCACATCCTGATGACCCGCGAGGAAAGACGATCATTTCTGGGGTATGGGGTATAACAGTTGGCAGCGGTCCACCGACAGGTTCTCCAGACATCTCCTCTACTGCCAACGGCAAGAAGCCTGACAGCATACCTGACAAGTCAACCGCATCCGAAGTCAGCAACAATGATACTGACAAAGATGTCGAGATGCACAATACAGATTCAGCAGCAGCAAACCCAACTGGAGGCAGAGCTTCGGCCAAAGTCAGCAGCAATGATAAAGACAAAGCTGTCGAGATGGACAATACAGATTCAGCAGCAGAGCCAACTGGAGACAAAGCTTCGACCGCAGTGCCACCACCAGATCCAGCTGAAGACAAAGCTTCGACCACAGTGCGTCCACCATCAGATCCTCTAGTCAACAAATATGCAAGAGAGGCCATTCGCCTGAAACTGAGGCGCGCCACCCGTGGTCAGAATTGGACTGTGGCCAACAATGACAATGACAATAGCAATGGCAACAGCCACAACGGTGACGGTAACCGCAATGGCAGTAATGCCGAAACCGATACCGCTGCCGGCACTCGCACTCGCACTCGCACTGGCACTGATACTGATACTGCCACGAAGAGAGCAAACCGCACTGCTAGACGAGTCAAACACTACACAGGCAAGGTCGCCGCGGCTGCTGCTGCTAAAACCTTTGCACCCTCGCCCTTGTCGCAATCCACGACTGCCACTGATCTTACTTCTTCTTCTTCTTCTGCAGGTAGAGGTGTGAGAAGAAGCAGACGTCAAACGAGGAAGAGATATGCCGAGGTATTCTTGGATGACGATGAGGACGAGTACCTGCCTTCCGAGCCTTCTGATTAAAACGAAACGGCTTCCATGCATCCATCCATCTGCCGTGTGACTTTCGAATTCGGCTTAAGGGGAGAACAGGATAGATGACTCGGGATAAGACAGGACCACGACAGGATGATTAGGACAAGAATGGACGAATGGGGACGAGAATGGTCGAGGATGGCATGCGAGGCTGAATAGCTAGGGCACGGGAGCTCCAGCTAAGCTCAGCTCAGCCTACAGTTCGCTCGCAAAACACCAAAAGAGTGAACGGAAAAGAAACATCCATTGGCGCAGTGTGGCAGTGACAGGATTCTTCTAGGGCAGTGGGTATCCTTGGATGGATGTCCTTTTCATTTTTATGGGACGGACGGAGGGATGACTAGGAATCATCCCCAGATCGGAGTTGGAGTTTGGGAGTTTGCACTTTTTGCACTTGTTGATACTACTAGTCCATAGGACTGCATACCTTACTCGGCGCGGTGCACAGAGAGCATGATAGGGTCCTAACAATTGAGACTGCCGAGGAACGAGACTAGGAAATCCTTCTATGCAATGCGATTCAATTTAATAGTTTCATTCCTCGAAAAGAAGTAGTAGTAGTAATTGTGGCCCGATGATCTCTTCGAACCTACACCACTACTACTGATAAATCGTCTATCCCATCCAGTGCATGCCGATCAATGCTTTTTCGACCTGTCCTTATCCTTCTTTTTATGGTCCTTCCCCGACTTGTGTTTGTCTCCTTTATCCTTCTTGCCCTTTTTCCGATGCGTTTCTTCTCCATCGTCGTTGTTGTCACCTGTAGTAGTGTCGTGTCCGTTGACCTCCTCAGCCTTGCGCTTTTTGTGGCTCTTGACGCTGACCGTGGTGCTCTTGCCTGGGTCGACGCCCAATGCGGCCTCGCGGACCTGGCGCTCTGCTTCTTCCCATGCCTTGTCGTCGGTGGCCGAGGGGACTATTTCGTATCTAGATGTAATCTTTAATTAGTTTCAGTTCAGCTGATTCGTGGGAAGATTCCAAAGGGGCAATAGGAGATGGATGGTAGCTGGGCAGTTTGAACTTACTTGTCAAGAGGCAACGAATCAATAAGAGCACGCTGCTTCTCTTTTAATGCCGGATCAACTTCTTTGTCGACATCTTCGTCGTTCCCATTTATGTCGACATTGACGGGAAGCGTAGGAGCCACACGGCTGCCTCCAACCTTGGGTTCTGGAAGGTTCACATCTTTCTTTTCTGGAAGCTCCGCTTCGACGGCACCAGACACAACGGCCCGGAACGCCGTGCTGACTTTCCTAACGACCTTCACGAACATGGCCAGCAGTTGGTTGCTGGGCAGATTCAATTCCTTCTCTACATCGCTCAGGTCTTTGCGCTGCAGTCCGATGGCGAGCAAAATGCTCTGCTGCACGCCGGAAAGACTGACGTTGCAGGGAGGAAGCTTCAGTCGGCCGGTGAAGTAGAGGTAAGCGATGGCGGGCATCATGTCCAGAATCACGTGGTAGTCAAGCATGTTGTTGGCATACGACTCTAGACGGGCAAGATCGAAAGGCGAGAATAGGGAGTCGAGGTCTGATTTTGTGATGGGAGAGACATTGTTGGTGGTAACTTCGGTGGAGGAAGCCGGCCGTGAGGCGGATTCGGATATAGACAAGGCCTGCACAGAGGCGAATGTGCGGAACTGGTAGGACAGCAGAGTGAGGAATCGTTTGTGGAAGTCTTGGGCGTAGGCGGTGAGCCAGGAACTGTCGGTGCTCGTGCCGGAGGACAACGGTCGGAGCATAACACAAGAGTGTTCGCCGGTCAGTTCGTTTGCCGTTTGGCGGAGATAGACCGGGGCGAAAGAAGCCCGTTTCCAAAACTTGTGAAGTGGTTGGGTCAGGCCGTATGAAACACCCAGCCAATCCAACTGGTCGGGTCGCCGCTCGGATAGTTTGCTAAATAAGGGCGGCATTTGCTGGATATCTCGCACCTTGATGTTGTCGTCGAGTAGATTCGACTCCTCAAGCTCGGCATCCGTAACGCGTGGCATGTGCTCGACATCTTCGATGGTCGCTTCATCGGTCTCTGATAGAGAAGTAAATTTACCCTCGTAGAAGTCTACCAAGAGCTGAAGTGCTCTGGATCCGTAACCCATATTGAGATAGTCGGGGTTCGTGGCGATTCGCACGACTCGGCTACCGGAGAGCCCAGCAAATTCTGAATCTTGAAATTGTTGGCTAACTAGCCATGGAATCAGGTCGCCTCCAGCTCTTTGGCCACGAGACAGGCTGTTTAGAACGGATTTCTTGCTGATCCTTCCTTCCAGAGCCACTTGTATCACACACAATGGCTCTGGGAGTTTGGTGGCATCTTCAGGGATCGGCGGGATGAGCACGAAAAGCTGATGGGCGGGAGCATCCGACATCAACTGGAGGTCGTTGGGCGAGTTCTTGTAGTGCGAGGCGACATAAAGAGCCATCATCTGTTGTAAGAACTTTTCTGACACTGGGTGGAAAGAAAACAAGGTGTCCCGGTTGACGTGGACTAGCTCACACGTCGAGGGGTGAGGTGTGCCTTGGGTGTTCATCTTTGATTTTGGCAACGTCGCATCCAGGCAAAGAAGTCGATTGAGCCATTTCTCCACTGCATCGCCTGGAGCGTATCGAATCGGCTCAGAAAGGGTGATCTCTCTCAAGGATCGACCTCCAGTGTAGCTTTGGCCATCCTTGACGGCCTTGCCCGTGGTTTTGTTAGCCACCTCAAGGTCGTCCCCACTAGATTTCACTCCGCCTCGCGATTGCTCGCGCAGCTGTTGAATGAGTTTCAGAGATAGCGAACGTCCAGTCCCTTCATAGCCATTGATGGTAGAAGCCATGAACACAAGATAAGGACCCATCAACTTCCGAACCAACGGCAACGGGATTGCTGCTGCCTCATCTATCACAACCAATTCAGCCTGGCCCAGGACATGTGAATCCTGGGGTTGGATATATTGAATAGTTTGGCGATGTTGTCTGTGAACATTGATTCGCACGATCGCTTTGTTATAGTCCGGATTGGTCGACTGGAGGATAGTATAATCGACATGATCCATGTATTCGAGAGCATCGAACCCTTTGATGACAAACTCGAAGAAAGTCTTGAGATTTTCAGGGCTGGGCGATGTGACGAAAATATTGCTGTAGCCGTGCGCAATCGCTGCAGCTACAGCGACTCCGAGTGCAGCCGACTTTCCTCGTCCACGGGCAGCCGTTAATGTGACAGTACTTCGAAGTGTCTTTTCGGAAATGGCATCGACGAAAGTAAGGAGTGCTTTGGCTTGGTCAACAGTCTTTGCCAGGGTGATGAGAGATCCAACAGGTTGACTGTCTGCCAGGCTCTCCTTGATCTCTTTCAGTTCCTTCTTGCCGGGCAGTGTGCTTTCGGCTTCGGTCGATGGTGGAGGCAAAGCCTGAACATTCTTTCCTCCAGATATGGGTAAAACATTCAATTCATCATCCACGACGAGACAGGACTCGCAACTGCCCAGCGACAAGATGAAACGCTCGTTGAATCGTGCGACAACATCGTCATGAGCCTCTGTCCGATATCTTGAATGCACGTCCATAGACATGGTATACAGCTGCTTCAAGCTTTTCATACCCTTGAGAAGGAGAAGAACAAGGCCTCCGCCCTCGACCGTCTCGATCGTTCTCGCAAGCAGGTTGGGCGTGATGGCCTCGAAGTCCTGCAGAATACACATACCATAGGTATTACCCAGAATCTTCTCCGTCTCTTTATAGTAGACATAGCGGATATTGTGCAAAGTGATGAAGAGTTCGAAAGGATCTTCCGTGTTTGCATCTCGAATGCCGCGCTTGATTTCCTTCTTGATTTTTGCTTCCCGCTTCTTTCGGTGACTGGTGAAGCCAAGCAGGTCTTTCTTGTACGCCCACAACACCGACTTATTCTGCTTGACGTCCACCGAGGACATGATATAGTGCAGATGTACAATGACATCTTTGGCTCTGTCGCCGACCACGACGAAGAAACTGCGCTTCTTTTCCTGGATGCCATTCCGTATCAGCGCGGGAATGCGCGAGTCAATCGCTTTTTTAGGCATTTTTGAAAACACCCCGGCCGCCCTCCGCCTCTGGACCAGTCGATAATGCTAGACGTGGTTGCGAATGCTTGTACAAGGCTTTTTCAAGAAAAGTTGAGCCTCTCGTCGCCGCTCTCCAAAAATTGTTCGCCGCAGTTTCCTCTTCCGGCGGCGGCGAGTTAGTGGAGGGAACTTGTCCTTTTGGGTTCTAGTCACGACTAGCGCAGCATTATTAGTGGCCAGGCTAACCTCATAGCGAGAGCGCCGTGGAGACACCCAATCGATCACCATCTTGATTTCGGACCCCAACTTCGAATCGTTACTCGAGGACCCCGACATGCGTTACTCGAGGATTGTTTCCTGCAATCATAAGACCCCGACGTCCGCCCACACGACTACCCGAATGTTTGTGCCCCGTCGGGTGCTTGGTGCGTGCAGACAGTGACGCAGTGATGTCCACGACCGAAGCCGCCCACATATACCTCGTCCGACGCCCAGCTGCCATTATAGGCCCGGGGTAGCAAGGCGGATAGATTGCTGGAGCAGGGGAAGAGAAGATCTGGTACCATGACCAGCCTCGACAGTCTATGCTATTCGTGAGGGTCTATCCATCCACCAGGTGCACGATTCAAGTATTGACTTATGCAGTGCTTCGCTGCTCGCGGCAGGATGGCTTGCGCACTTATTCCCAAGCTCGACCGCTCATGGTAAGCAGACCGCTGCCCCTGTCGAGGAAGTTGACTGATGTGAATAGACCGGCCGATCCATCTCCTTATTCTTGCGCTGACAGCTTGCGCCTTCGTGTTGCCCGCCGTCACGAAGGCTATACCGAGGCTGTTTCAACCCTCCGAAACCCCTCTGGGAGACTATACCGCTCTTCCTCTGGACGATCTGGGACATGCGGATGGGAAACCTGACCCCCCTAGTTCTACTTCAACACGGCCTCGCCAAAGTGGCAAAGTGCGCATCTCCCTGCTAGCAGCAGCAGTCTTTGCCCTTTGCTTCCGCATCGAGCTCTATCGGCGCATCTCAGAGGCACCAGAATGCACCATCGACAGTGTGGAGGTCTTCCTGCCGTTTCTACTAGCTGGCTACGATGCCTTGCGGACGCAGCGAACGCGGAATATTCAAGAGGAAGACAAGCCAGAAAGCAGTATCTACGACATTATGCGCGAGAAATTGCGTACATACCTGCTTCAGCCACGGATCCGATATCTGCCGTCCTTGTTTCTCGTGTCGTACGGTTGTTATCGCGCCCAGGACATGTGGCTCCCCCTGAAATCAACATACATCTGTCCTATCGTGACTGGTGAAAGCAAGAAGATCCCGGCGTTCCAGTTCGCAGCACTAGCCGTGGACTTATGTCTCGCCATCATAGTCTATGAGACTTTGCCGAAGAAAGATGGCAGAGGATTATCAGGCAGAAGATGCGTGGTACTATGGAGCTCTGTCATGATGGGCACCTCACTAATATGGTCAATCGTGGCTCTTTGCCTCTATATCTTCAGGCCGGAGTCTCGCAATTGGCTACTATTCCTCGAGCCGTCACTAGAAGCCTGGACTGTGGCGGCAATTCTATGGCATATTTTACTATTTTGCGTTTTGTGCATTTCGAGCTTGCATTGTGTAAGTCTTTCTGTGGCACCATAGTGCATGTACTGACCTGACCAGATATTGAACTACGGCGTTCTGGACGTGACCCTTCAGCTGGCAGCTTTGATTACTATGATACCTGCGGTCGAGTTTATTTGGGAGCGCAAGAATCCTTTCCCTCCCACACCAACTCTGACGACGCTTTCCCTTTTACTAGTCTTCCTTGGGCGATGGAGCTATCACCGCATTCAAAGGGCGTTAGGGGAAATGGACGTAATAAACCCCGCGCGTCAAGTGTTCTTGTTCATTCTTCTGTGTTGTCTCATGGTCCCGGCATGGTGGAAGATGGGTTACGTGCACTTTCACCCCATCGACCTGCTGATCTATGATGCGACACTCCACCACAACGACTACATAAAATCCATTGGCAACACTACATCGTTGCTAGACAGTGTGACACGGTATAAGCAGAGATACAACCGTAACCCCCCGCCGGGGTTCGACATCTGGTTTGAATATGCTAAGAACAAATCTGCGTTACTCGTCGACGAATTCGATCAAATCTACGAGGACTTGTTACCTTTTCGAGCAATCCCGCCGGCTGACCTACGACGGCAAACCTGGGAGATGGTCTCCAACCCTTGGAACGAAATATCAGGTATCACAATTCGCAACGGCAAAGCCACCGTCCAGGATAATGTCCTTCCCACCCATCGGTGGATGCTGGACGGTGTTGCGGTCTTGATCAACAGCTTCGCTCCATACCTACCAGACATGGATCTAGCCTTCAACTTGAATGACGAGTCAAGGGTTGCAGTGCCATACAGCGACCTCAAATTTCTGCGAGAGAAGGGACGCTTGGAAGACCGGAGCGGCCGGTCGACTTGGTCGAATGATCGTGCTGCAGGTTGGTCGCCCATACCAGAGCATGAATTCACCGAGACAGTTTTCCACGACATGTCCTTCCGCAATACGTTTCGCAAATTTGGCTCTGTGGGATGCAGCCCTTCCTCTCTGGCCAGGCGTTCTCCGCATACTTCATCTCGAGCGCACATCTGTGGCTCCTGTGTCGCTCCTCACTCCCTCGGTCAATTCGTGGGAAACTGGTCGGATGCGGCAGATATCTGCCACCAACCAGACATGGCTGAGTTGCATGGGTTCTATCTATCCCCGGCAGCCTTCAAGACCTCTCACCAGCTTATGCCGGTGTTTTCGCAGTCAAAGCCGCACGGCTTCAACGACATTCTTTACCCCTCAGCCTGGAACTACATGGACAAAGTGATTTATGCGCCCAGAGAGCCCCACGGGACGCCGGAAGAAGACAATTACGATCCCGGGTTTCCTGACCTGCCATTCGAGCAGAAGGAGAACGTTCTTTTCTGGCGTGGTGCCACATCAGAAGGAGTATCTTCAGGAAACCATGCGTGGCGCGGCATGGCTCGCCAACGGCTCGTCCACATGGCGAACAACCTCACCACCTCTTCCCACGACCACGTCACAGTCCTCCTGCCCAATCCGGCCAACCATGCGAAATACAAGTACCAGGTCCTGCCTGGGCCAGCCGTGAAGGAACTAGGGTTGAACACCGACATCGCAATTGTTGACCGTATCGCCCGCTGCGGCGGTGTCGGCCTCCACGATTGCCACGACCAGGAAGCCGAATTCAACCTCGTGGGTCCGACTGACTTCCAGGCCCACTGGCGGTACCGGTTCCTTTTTGATTTGGACGGGGCCGGCTTCTCCGGCCGCTTCCTGCCCTTCCTGCAATCTCGCTCACTACCGTTCAAGACGGCCCTCTTTCGAGAATGGTACGACTCCCGCCTCACTCCGTGGCTGCACTTTGTGCCTCAGGACATCCGACTGCACGGCGTATGGAGCACGCTGGCCTACTTTGCCGGCGTCAACGGTACCATGTTCGGCCAGAATATCCGCTGGCAACCACATCTCAAGGAGGCCGACATGATTGCCCAAGCCGGCAGGGACTGGGCGGCCAAGGTCCTGCGGAAAGAGGATATGGAACTGTATTTTTTCCGCCTGTTGCTGGAGTGGGGCCGCTTGACGGATGATCGGAGAGATGAGCTGGGGTTCGATCTTGACGTTTGATACTGGTAGCAGCCGGCGGAACGCACTGCACAGAATAGAAGTGGCTGCCAAAATGCAGATTTGCTGTCACTAGAAAACGACGTATTAATGCCTTCTCTAACTATCAAGGCCTTCGCTAACTCACATTACGTCTTGGTGGACAGTATAAGGCTAGCTGTGCTGGTGTAATTGCTGGCTCAATCGTGGCTGTGATCCAGCATATCACGCTCATGCGCCAGCAGAGCTGTCAAGATATTATATTATTGTGATTCTTGGAATGAACCCGGATTGACTTGTCGAATCTTGGCCAAAAGGGAGCTCAGCCTGATCCGAGTTCGGCCGGCGACAAGATTAAAACTCGGGGCCCCAAAAGGCTGCCAACGCTAAGCTGCATGCGGCAAGATCGCTTGGCGGCGGGATTCTCCTCCGCATCCTCGGCATCTTTTCACTTCCATCCAGCCACAGCCACTCACTCGCTCGCTTGGTCACGGCCACTGCTTGCTCCTCCAGCTGCTGCCCTCAACCCTCGTCAGTTCCTGTCCCAAATCTTCTTGTTGAAAGCGTCTCTTTCTGTGCTTTTGCACTTCAACAAGCATCAACCTGTTTGGCCTCAGCCGGTGATATCCGTCAAGGGCTATCTCCGGGACAACATCGACAGCTCGGCTCACGGCTATCCCATTCCGTGGACGAGCAAATTTGAGATATAACCGCTGGGAAAAGACAATGTCGAGATAACATGGTGACGCCTTCGCCCCCCAAACCGTGGGAACGCGCCGGCTCAGCAGGTATTGCAACCAACATCCTCTCGGTGTGACGCGCATCTCTCTAACACAACACGCCAGCTACCTCGGGGACCAGCACACCCGTGACCTCGACAGCCATGACGGCAACCGCACCGACCTCGACCAACCCCTCCGCATCCTCTACATCATCGACATCAGCACCGACTCTGCCCGAGCGACCTGCAACGCTCAATAGCGTCGTCAACCAGACCGCATCCAACTATACCAATCAAAACCGATTCGGCACCGGTATGGCCACGGGCATTGGCGCCAGCCCGTACTCTTCGCCATACTCGTCCTATTCGTCACCCTACAATAGGTTCGGCGGAGGGATGTACGGCGGGGGAATGTATGGCGGAGGCATGGGTTACGGAGGCGGCATGTACGGCAGTGGCATGTATGGCGGAGGATACGGGAGTTACCCAGGCATGCCGGGCGACCCGAACAACCCGCAAAGCCTGACGCAGACATGGAACCAGAGCACGGCTGCGACCTTCCAGATCATGGAAGGCATAGTCGGTGCATTTGGTGGATTTGCGCAAATGCTTGAAAGCGCTTACATGACGACTCACTCTTCTTTTTTCGGTAAGTCATAACACACCCAAAATAATAAGACAACCCGCCCACGCATCACGTTGGCTAACGCTTATCTCGCAGCAATGGTTTCAATGGCCGAACAACTAGGCAACCTCCGGCAGACTCTGGGGTCCGTACTAGGTATCTACACACTCCTACGCTGGATGCGGACGCTGCTAGCAAAACTGACGGGCCGCCCTCCGCCCGCCGACGCAACGGCACTGACACCAGCCAACTTCTCATCATTCCTCTCTGGCGGACGAGGAGCCGCTCCCACCACATTACCCGATGGCAGCCCGGGGCCTCCAAGACCATCAAAGAAACCATTCATTTTCTTCGCACTTGCTGTCTTCGGCCTACCGTATCTGATGGGCAAGGTAATCCGCGCCATGGCCAAGTCACAAGAAGAAGAACAGCGCCGCCAACAGGAGCAAATGGCGCTCAGCTACCCGACGACCACAGGTCCCGGTGGTGAACAGGTGCCCATCGACCCAAGGAAACTCGACTTCTGCCGCGTGTTGTACGACTACACTCCCGCGCCCAACTCGGCCGGCATGGACCTGGAGGTGAAAAAGGGCGACTTTGTCGCCGTCCTCTCAAAGACCGATCCCATGGGCAACCCGTCCGAATGGTGGCGGTGTCGCGCCCGCGACGGCAAACAGGGATACTTGCCCAGCCCTTACCTCGAACCTATCCAGCGACCTTCTCAACGTACGCAGCAGCAACAGCAAATCACACAGGGTTCAGCGGTTTCCGCCCCCGGCAGCCGCACTGCTACCATGAAGGGTGGTGATGCGGTCTCGGACGCACAAAAACTTCTCCAGGATGCCGCGGCGGATCGCACAAAGAGCCTCAGTTCCATCTATACAAACAACAACACCAATGCCGCAAAGGGGCCCCAAGTCTCAGGCGGGCCAGGCGACATCACTGCCGAAAGCTTCCAGAAGAGCGCGTTCTATTCATAACGTATGTAATCTTTAGTGATTGTGTTTGTGTTTCGCAATCAAGCACAGCAATCGAATCTTGAAGTTCGAGTTTCTGTATACCTGGTATATTCTGTATTTGAATGGTCTATCTCTGGGAGGCGTAAAGTTTTACACGTACCTAAAATGATCTGATCTGATCCACCTGCTTGTGTTTAATTGACTTCCTACAGTATTACCCACATACTAGTACTGTACATATTCATCCATCTACTAGTACAGTTCTGGATCTCTCCCCATCTGTCTTTCTATTCGCAGTACTAGTACATATCGTCACGCAGCCTGAGACCCACCAAATCGGCCTGAACTTGTCAAAGGTTGTCCAATTCTGAAAGCCAGTACATTACCTAGGGGATACGGTGCTTTGAGTTTTAGATAACTATATTAAGCTGATTATTGAAGCCATTCAAAAAGACCCAGAAAAGAAAAAAAAGAGTGACATGGAGTCCAGGATCAAATCGCAAGCAGCAGCAACGTTTTGCCAAAACTTCATAACCTGAAACCAAGCAAAGCACTGAAGACCAAAGAAAAATAACGGGTACAATCCAAGACCAAGGGAATTTGAACCGCAAAAATTCATTTCCGTAAACTCAAAAACTGAACAGCACCAAGACAATTGCCGGGCTTTCTATTTTCTTTTTTTCCCTTGCCCCGATGCAGAACACGACCCAAGAAAATATTAAAGTTCTGCAGTGCTTCAAGCTGAATCTTGCTAGCTGTTCAAAACCAAACCGAAAACATGCGCCCAGGATACCTCCTCTTTATCCGATTAGCATGTGGGCCTGGCTGCTGAGATGGCCCTGCTCGTTCATCGAAACCGAAGAACTGATTGATTCGACTGATTGGATGGCTGGCTGTTTATATCAGTTGCCTTTCTGCATGGGCGACTAGAGAATCAGACTCAATAGTGTCGATCCAGCCTCATCCGTCTCACCATGCCTGTGGTGCGAGATACTGTTTTTCGAAAAGTCACAGATATTAGTTGATGGCATCCCTCACGAGATCAACAAGACATACGGAGGGCTGGATTTGGGCATGGACAGTTTGTATCCTCGTGAAAAAAAGAGGGGAATGAAAATGACCAACAACAGACAAGAAAACTATATCTGACCAGGAGACGGTCACGCAATACAAAGTTGAAGAGCTCGGAAACAGAAGAGAAGGAAAAAACTCACCAGATCCACGATAACCACATTCTCTCTCATCACCATCATTAGAACTGTCCGCCGCCTCATCCTCATCACTTTCCGCCGTCTCATCTTCGCTGCTGTCGTCGCTGGCGGAGGAGTCGTCCTTACGGCTTGGTCTCCTGCTATACGTTGCACCGTTGACGACCAACGGGCCCACAGGCGACGTTGAGTCACTGCCTTTGCTGGTTCCACTGCCATTGCTGGTGCTGGTGCTGGTGCTACCTCGGCCGTCGTTTGGACGTCCAGTCGAGGATAGCTTTGGCGGCGCCGAAGAGGATAGTGCCTTGCTACTGGCATTGCTGCCGCTAACACTTTCGTGGAGGGGTTTGGCATTGCTAGATTTCTGTTTCAGCAACGGCGGCGCCGAGGCCGATGACACTGATGGCTTTCGAGCATCGGCCACGGTTGTCGTGGTCCTCTTGGAACCGTTTTGGCTGTGCCGTGTCATGGCCGACAGAGCCGCTGCATCATCGCTGTTGACTTGTTTGACTGCGATTCGTCGGCCGGCCAAAGTTTGCCCGTCGAGATTGCGAGCTGCAGCCAAGGCTTCCGACATTGTTTTGTATCGTGCCCGCGCCGTGCCCTTGCACTTCCCGGGGTTTCGGCTGTCCGGATGTATCTCAAGATAGACGACCACGCCGAATCGTCTGAGAATACTGCGGAGGTGAGTTTCCGATTGACAGGACGGCAAGCCGGATAGTAAGACCGTGCTGCCATCATTGACCGGGCGAGAAAGTGAATCCACAGTGCCAGAGCCAGATTTGAGTTTTGTTGGGTTTCGCGTACTAGTACCTGTTTGTCCTGCTCTGCTTGACAAGGGTGTACCAGTAGCTTGGTGAATCGGCATCGCCCGGACTGGGGGCCCATGAGTTATAGTATATGGAGCGGATGCGTTGTACGCCGACGGTACTTGAGCCAGATGGCCCGAATGTGGGACTCTGCTTGTGTTGATGGAGGGCATTGTTACATTTGCCGTGTCTGCCGTCATTGTCGTATATGGCGTACCGCGCATGATCTGCTCAGTTGGGTTGCTGGTGTTGGCATACTGAGAACTATTTCAACGGTTAGTTACCGCAGTTTCCAGCCTTCGTCGTAAGGCAATTAGGCTGGTACGTACTGTGATGGAAGCATAGAATTCACCACACCCGGGGCTCCAGAGATGGCAACGTGGGTAGGTGTCCTGTTGGTCTGAATATGGGCGCCACCACGACTTCTCCTGGGCCCCTGGATCGTCTTGAGAACTCCAGGTTTCTCCAGTATCGCCAGTGAGACGCACACACATTGGCCATTCCAACCATGGTTGCAGAATTTCTCTACCAAAAATTTTGTTAGCAACAACCTGTGGACGGTTCCGCCTTTGTATACGTACCGTAGACTTGGGTGGCAGCAGTTTTCCCTCTTACAGTGCAGTGGCCCATTTGGCTTCCGTCACCGAGTTCAAATACTTCGGCTTTCAAGCTGTGTTCGCCGCCGTAACTTCGCGTCATGTCTTTCAGCTCCTGCCACCGACAATGACGAGGGATCTACCAATAAGGTCAGAATCAAACGTTAAGATGCTCAAGGCTCCAAGTCTTCGGACGTACATCCTTGACAAGAATGATATACTGATCTTCCTCCCCCGAATCCTGGCTGCGACGACGGTCTCGAGGCATCTCCACTTGACAAGTAGCAGTGCTAGCTGTTACTGCTGATGCAACACTATCCACGCCGTGGTTCGGTGCTTAGTTGTCAATCTGCTTGAGTCGGTCCACTGCGTGGCCTGAAAGGGGCCAGTGGATTTGACACTCTTGTTGACAGATTCCTTCGCCGCAACGGTGTGGGAACAATATGTGGAGGTCTACCTTTATAGACTTGATCTGATGCATAGGAGCCGTGGGATCGTTCGAGCTGGTCCAGCCAGCCAACCTGTTTCCGGGGAAGCGATTCGCGCAGAGCCGTAGGTAAGTCGAGATGGAAAGAGTGCAAGGCTGCTCCTGCGTGGACAGGGATCTGTAGCGGATCCAATGTGCACTCCAACAAATTCGCTACCAACGAAGTAAGGCTGCAAGGTCTGGGTCGAATTGAAGCAGTGACTGACAAACGCTACTGGCCCTGCTGCTGGGTTTCCACAGAGGCCTGAGGAACAAGTCGTCGCCTGAGAATCTTGTTTGACCTGCCAAAGATGAGGTTGCAGGTTCTCAATGAATTTATACCTTTGGCCTAAGCACCCCCTTTCCTCTATAACGGTGCACAAAGACATTCGATTCCTCCGGTGCCTGTACATCTTGCCGTTCCATAGTACAGCTTGAGATTGTTGGCAGCGGACGCAAAGCCGCTGTAGTGTGGATGTTTTCCTGTCATGATTGCAGCCGCAACCAACAGGAAACGCTCCTACAAAGTCGGCAGGATTGGAAGCCGCATAAAATCATCCGGAGAATCTGATATATCGCGTGCATACCATTTAACATGGTCTGTAGACTGTAGTCGTGCTCAGCAGGGATATAATACATAGATGATCTGACATATAGTGAAGGGGGCATGGCGTCGACCTCCACACGGCGAGGGTACCAAAATAACCCTTGTTCAACACTCCAATGCCTCTTACAGGGTTTGTATGGAGGCTCCATATTCAGATTTGTGGTTTGCCAATCGTAAGCCACATGAGGATGCACGATGGGTGGACTTGAATCGGATCTATCGCTACACCGGTCCATCGCACGGCGACGAGGTTGACAGGCGGTTTGAGGAACACGACAATTCTCAGGGCCTGGAGAAACCTCCGGTCGTGGCTCAACCAGTAAATGAACGGCTCCACGCCTTTGACGTCAGGCATTGCCGGCGCCCGATTTTAGGGACAGACGATCTCGTAGATTAGTGGTTCGTTCTTTGGTGAGCATGGCGACGGGGATTCGAGGTCTCAGATGAGCCAGCCAGCCTGCATTGCAGCGACTCACTCAAGCACGAGAAGGCTGGAAATGCGAGTATCTGGTGCAGAAATGGCCAAGATTTCAACTCATGGGTTTTCGCGTTCGGGGAACTCACACGGCCTCCATTGAGGCTCGACGCTCCAGGATAGCATGGTTCTGCTGGCACCGGTTGACGTCTGGCAACAATGAGACGACTCCGTAAAACACCACAGATCTGGCACCAGTAGCATTTGTCGAACGCGGTGTCTATTGTGCATCCATGAGCCCAGCCCAAGCTAGGGTGGAAAAATTCTGGATGGGATGACAAGACAATGCTCCGGGCCTTCTGGAGCCCGCACACAATCCCTTGCAATCAGGAGGTAGCCACACGCATGGGTACAATGTGCCGGTGGTGTTCGAATCCCTGCCAGGGTGCCCCAAAGTCGGCCAAATCATGTGGCGTCGCTGTTCCTTGTCACAACACCCAAGTACGGTACCAAGAACATAGCATCCGATGTTTCTGAGATGTTGATCTCTGAATTGTGAGCGATTGGTACACTCGACCAGTTCTTACAAGGGGTCTGCCGCCGGAAGCGCAGGGAGCAGCGACGTGTGGACTGCGTCCAGATGGGAGGACCTCGTATTTCATGGAATCTCGTCCATCTCCTTCTCACTAGTGGAACGGGGTCAGTATCGCACGCCGGGTCGGTCGGACGAGACGCGTGGCTGGTAGAATGACCGTTCTGAGCAGAGTCAGGATCTCATGTTGCTGCAAACAATGCTAAGGTTGTCACATCCGTTCACTTCCCCGACGGACACTGGCATGACAAGCGAATCCGAGATTTCGTGACCGTCCGAGATTCGGTAATGGCGAACGTACGTATCCAGCGATGGTCTGGTCGGAAATGATGAATCGCCGGGCTAAGAGCTTCTCGCCTATCAGGATGTTAGGATGACAGGCTACACAAGTCAGGATCTCTGTGCTTCACTCCCATCGCTTTGGGTGTGGATGCGTTCCCACGGCTGAATATAGGCCTTGTGCAACCGCTGCACAGCAGCTCGGTTCCCAAGCACACGGGACCACTCACTGGACGCTATGATCTCCTGCAGGGTACAGTAGGTATCGACCGGGGGAGGAGGCTGGTAGGTACTGATTATTGAGGCTCAACCGCGCCGTTGGAGATCGATTTTTGCCGGCACTGGCACCTTGGCCGTGCGGACTCGATCGTAGTTCACATTTGACGCTGGTGATGCGGGCAGAGGTGTTCGATCGGCAGTATTCGATCGGTAGGGCTTTGACACTGGCCCGGAATCGGGCTACAGTAGGGAACATCAATGCTTCGTACGATCATGTGGATTCATTAATAAAGATGTGGGGTGGTAGTCCAAGTTGCAGACGCGGGTGGCATGGGACGAAATATCCAAGCAGGTCCGTTTTACAGCACTTGAGAGATGATTTGATGCAATGCTACCTGGGTAGGTCTAGACAGACTGTAGCAATGGTTCCTTCTCCCCGGAACTCTCTATTCACTGCTCGTCAACAGAAACTCCTCAGGTTCCCGTGTCCTTCGCTGGAGACGCCTTTCACAGTGAACGTCAATTTGCTTCGTGCCCGGCATATTTTCTCCGGGAAAACAGGGTAGGGATGCATGCACCAAAATGCTCAGCGGACACTGCAGAAAATCCCGTCACCCGTCAACCTGCTCATTGGAGCAGCTGGGCCTATCTCGCCTGCCATCTTTGAGATTGCGGCCTTTCCGAACCGGTCTGGTTGGGCCAGCTGAGCGTCTTGTGCTTCTTGTGAAGGATGCCTGTGACCATGGCTATGCGCTGTACCTCCTCGTAGCATTCCAATATGTCCGCATGTTCACTCTTTCTGAACCAATGCTGATGTCAGCCTGCTCGAGGGCAGGATGTTGTGTGCCCTGTCTGTACCAATCGAAGCGATGTCATTTGTGCCGTGGATGACTCTGTCGGATTGTTCGTTTCCGGTCTGTCAAGAGTCCAGTCTTTGGACATGTAGGTTTCAGATATTCGGTGGTTTGATTGCAATTGAGGGTCGTATTCTTTGCAAGGACCGTGGTCCCAAGGATTCATTTGACAAAGCCAACTACATTGGCGCAGCGCTTGCAGTAGTACGAATTCATGCCGAACCTGACAGCGCCGCTTTGACGCATTGGGAGGGAAGGATCTATCGTCAGGGATCGTTGGCAACGAGAACATCGCACGATATCGAGTGATGATTTAGGAGAGGCGGAGGCGCTGGAGGAAGCAGTGCTGCTGTTATCGTGGCTCTTGCCGGAACTGGAGCCTTGAACGATACGAATGGGTTCTGTACCGGTGGCCGCCCGGGTCTGAAGCTGTAGGATGGAGGGCGTGGAGGCCATAGTGCCAGTATGTTGATATAGCAGGTAGTCAAGGTGCATCTAGTATGAGAGGATGTCTGTCTCACAGCCTCCAAGAGAGACAAAACTAAGAAGACAATGGGGGGTGGGAGACGTAAATACTACCTAGGAGACGGTACGACAGCGATCAAAATAGTAAGCAGGAGAAACACATGCGGCGTCTATAGCGACACTGGCAGGGGATAAATGTTGATTGACGGGATGTACGAACCGCTGTTGCTGTTGTCTGACGCGCAATGAGATGAGAAAGCCTGGCACTGGCATGGCACCTGGGAAAAACACCCGGGAGAAGCGCGGACATAGACAGGCCCAGGGACTACTAGATTGCAGTGGGCAATTGAATTGGGCTCCAGTTGGACTCTGTAACAGTCAGTTGCCGTCCATTGAGCTGGGGATAAGGGCGGGCGCATGGAGACGGCAATATCTGGCGACGAATCCAGAGGCCGGGACGACGAGGTCAAAAGATGGCAGAGTTGATGAAGCGGGAATCTTCGATGGCAGACATGGCATTCTTGCTGCTCGCATGGGCCTTTTTCCTCGATGTCCGCGGCGTTTCCGATCGCCACCGCATCTCATCGTCCAACATCATCGTCTCTGCGACGCGTCTCCCACTTTTTTTCCTTTCGTTTTCCCGGATTCCCTCTCCTACGTGGTCCAATAATGAGCCGCCCTCGTCTGGCTTGCCTGTCACTGCCCCTGTGTCTGGACTTTGGCCGTTGAATGGGTCTCTTTTCCACCATTTTCCTATAGGCCTGAGCCACTGTGTAGGCTGTTGAACTTGAAGACTTGAGGACGATCTCGTTCTTCGTGTCTTGCCTCCTTTGGCCGCGAACACGGTGCGGGCCAATGATGGACAAGGCCTCAGCCACATCGGACAAGCTCAACGCAGTCCAGACACAGCGCTCGTACTTCGCTCTTCTACCCTATTACTACTGTGTACAAGCGCGGCCATGAACCCGCGGCAATCGATCGCAGATCTTCTGTTCTAGCCACAGGACATGTGGACAACCGGCGGAGGAAATGCATAGCTGACTCTGTTGCCGGGAAAACCGGACATCCTTCAAAGCGTGTTTGCCTCGGATGGTTCGTACAAGTTGTAGGGTACTATTCTCCTGCTGCGTTGTACATTGTTATTGTATATTCCTACTACTCACAGGCGCGGTGCCCGGCTAATCTTTTCTGGCCTTTTGCTGGCGAATCCGGTTGCGAGGGTACGAAATCCGAGACTGCGGCTCTTGCAAGAAGTCAGAGTTTGAACTGGATGCTGTCAGTTTGTTACTCATGGTCCAGGAGTACGAACTTGTGTACGAACCTACTCGATACATTCTTGCCTTCTGCCACAGCCACAGGTACAATAAGTGGATGTTGGACATCACCAACTCTGCCGTGGTAATAACCCTGAGAAAGCGGCTGGCAGTGCTGGCGAAAACTGAACCGTAGAACGGAACGGACCGGTTGGAAATCCCACTGCTCAACTTGAATCTGGGCAAACTACGCCCAGAGCAGCTTGAGCGCTCCAACGACGACAATAATTGTATAGAAGTCTCGTCGGCCCTGGCTATCAAGTGTGCTTCTCATTGTCGGGCAATGTAGTGCGTGCAGAGTCAACTTGCCCACGTGATCCAGCTCGCACAGGTGAAAAGGACATGTCTGACGACCTGCTCCCTCCTCCAGTCGGCTTGACCTTGAGGCCGACTAGGGCGTAAATTTCTGGATGTCTGACCAACAAAGATGATGTCATATTTTATTGGAAGCGTCTGCCCTACTACGGCTCTGGTTTCCGGGCACGTTTTGCACGCAATTCTGTTATCATTATTGGCGGTGTGCAAGCCTGGCAGTGGGCAGTCGAGTGGCCGTCCAGTGACAATTCGGGTACTTCGCCTTACCAGCACTTCAGCACCGTAGTTACGAGCACACCCAACTTTGGCCTGCGCAGCCAGCATTACCTGCACCAGCGGAACCACTGCAGTGGCACATGCAAATCCTTGAAGGCCTCTGAGATACCCGTCTCTCTATCAACTTCGAACTTCCCACGCCTTCGCACCGAAATTCCTTAGGTATCCTTGTCGCACTCTCATCCGCCCGATCGACCGCATCTCGCATTGTAGTTTTGTACCTGCGGCACGTCATCACTCGCCGAGCCGACGACAGGCTCCGCCGCTATACCTTATCTCTGCGCAGAAACCGATTTGTCTCCTATCGCAACGGGCTCTTCCAACACATTCTCCCGAACCCCACCGGCACCATTTGACAGCACTGCAGAACATACAATTTCTCCGGCGCCAGCCAGATCTCACCAGCGCTTCAATCTACCTCACAAGTTTGAAGGCATTTCAAGAAGTCAGGAGAGAGATACCATACCGCAGTATATCGTGACAGAGTGAATCGTGAAAGGTCCCTTACGACCGAGACACCACACCGACAAAAACAAAAATGGGCAAACAACCCAATCTCTACAGTTACCCCACGGTCGACGACCTGGCCATTCACCTGCGCACGTACATCCTGGCCTGCCAGAAAGCCGCCCTATTACGACACGATGCATTCAAGATCGCCGTGTCGGGAGGCAGCCTGCCTGCGACCCTGGCAAAGGCACTGCTGGAGGCGCCCGACGACGAAGACCCAGAGTCCGGGCCGCAGTTCTCCAAATGGCATATTTTCTTTGCCGACGAGCGCGCGGTGCCTCTGGACCATGAAGACAGCAACTATGGCTTACTGAAGAAAGATCTGCTGGACAAGATCCCCTCGGAGCTGGGCAAACCCCACGTCTACCCGATCAACGAGCAATATCTGAACGACACCCAAGAGCTTGCGGATCAGTATCAAGAGTCTCTCATGTCTGTCTTCGCCCAGAAGGACTCGGTTAGACTCCCTGTATTCGATCTCATTCTCCTGGGCTGTGGACCGGATGGACACACTTGCAGTTTATTCCCCGGCCACGAACTCTTGCGCGAAGCCGACGCATGGGTTGCCCCTATTGAAGACAGCCCCAAACCCCCCGCGCGACGCATTACCTTGACGTTGCCGGTGGTGACGCATGCACACAAGATTGCTTTCGTCGCCACCGGCGCGGGCAAGAAGGATGTTCTCAAAAAGATCCTCGAAGCCGACGACGAAGGCCGAAGCCTGCCGTGTGGCTTGGTCAACGAGGCCGCAGGTGAAAAGGTCAGCTGGTTCACCGATCGAGCCGCTGTGGAAGGAGTTGCATTTCCTCGGAGGGGGAGTCTGTGAGCAGAGACGGACGGATGGCCATTTCTCTTTTTCTCATCCTATCTAACGCACGGCGTTGGGTGTCTTTGGCTTTTGAGCAGTCAAGATACCAGTTTTTTCCCCTTTCTTCGGTCCTCGGATATGGTCCGATAGGACGGCACAGGAGTCGGTGCCATGTGAGCTTTTTGTTTTCCGCCGCCATCTTTGAAGGATGATACACGTTCACCGTGAAGAGCGAGGCAGGTGGACTTTGACGCCTGGTGATTGCATGGGGATGTCTCCGTCTCTCTGAAAGTGATGGGACAGAGACATTCCATGTCATCTACCAGGTTCAGGTCCAGTTATGTCTATCTGGATTGGTTGGATATAAGTTCTGGGTGCTAGCACTAGACGAAGGTAGACCATCGAAAAAGATACCCTTTTGGACTTCTTTGTTTTTCTTTTGGTTGCCACTTTTTGGACAATGGTCTTCATCGTATGTCCTGCTGCAGAGTCGCTTGTCCTTCCACCGAACAGAAAAATACATGCGCATTCCTCACTCATTGACACACTTGGAGCCCTACTAGTATCCGTATTGTCCTGTGTATACCTTAAATACCTAGGTAGTTTACCTTAGGCACTCAATGGTACTACTACACCGCGCCATGGACTTGTATTACGCAGCAGCAATAGTTGGTATATGACAACTGATATCCGAATTGCAATGCGCTGAGGTAGTACTAGTTCAGACCAATTACAGGAGAAGCACTATACCTCAAGGTAGTAGTACGTATATCTTTCAGTATCACAGTAGTACCCCAACATCGTAATCTTTTGGAAACTCAAAACACATTGAGTACTAAGTTACCTACCTAGGTAGGTAGTGTATTTATATTCTCTTTGGCTTCAAAATTTCAATTTTAATTCTATTATTTGTCCCGCGACTTACTATATCTCAGAAGACCAAGACCACACGCCAGAGCAGACTGTGACAAGCTAGTAATATCAACATCGACCACGACGCCAGCGATAGCAAGCTGGAGCCTCCTCCTCCTCCTCCACCACCACCACCGCCACCACCACCTCGACATCGATCCGGAAAGACAGAGCCAAAACCACTCCTTCTCGAGACAGTCCCACCATTTGAATGAGGTTTCTTCGACCCAACCTTGATGTCTGTCGCGACAAACCCGCCACCGCATCCCGCATCGACCTGCGTCGCAGCAGGCAAATAAGTCCTCGACAGAGGCTGGGCTTTGTTCTCCGCATAGCCCGCAAAGATCTTCATTGTGTCGCGGAGACATTGGGTGCAGCTTGGCTTATCTGATTCTACCGGCAAGCTCAGGCCCAGTGGGATATAGTAGACGTAGGCGTCGGCGGAGTTGGTGGTGTTTGTGATTGCTTGGGTGAAACAATAAGGCGCGCTGTTGCTGTTCTTATTGTTTGCCTCGTCTTCAGTACTACTAGTACCGTCGGTAGGTCCAGTCGCACGAAGACAAGTAGCACTGTAAATAGGTTCATAAGCCACTAGACCTGCATACGCCTGAGCCACAAGCGGGTTCTGGTTCTTGAAATCCTGGCCACAATGGGAATCATCGATCAGCTGAGCGGCAAGATTGGCCATCAATGGAGAACAAATTGCCAGGGGCGCAGCACAGGCCGAGTCCAGAGTTTGAGTGAGTAGAGTCGCGGAGCGTTCGGCGCGGAAAAAGGAATTTGAGTTTTGTAGGAGCAATGAGATGGGTACGCAGGATTGGAATGTCGTGTTTGACAAGAATTTCGAGAAAAATTTGGGACAGGATGAGTCGGTGAAGTTGCTGCCGAGAGATGTGTCGAAGGGCGAGGGGAGTGGTGTTGTGACGACTGTTACGGTGGGTGATATCGAGGTTGATACTGCGTCTGGGTGATTGGATGGGGCTGAGGTGTCGGTGCTGATTGCACTTGCGGCTGTTGCCACTGCGTCGGTCACAATGACAGCCGCATCGGTGTCTGGCTGCGTCGAGGTTGGTGTAATCGCTGTCGTGGGCACAGTGCTCTCACTGTCACCGACTTGTCGCTCCTGTAGTAAGTGCATATGTCGCGATTGCGGCGGCTCCCGCGTGTCGATGTGGATTTCTCCTTTCTCCGCCAGCTCTTGAAACAGGTTCGGTTGCGACCTTGAACTCAAGTCTTGTTGTGCACATGCCGAAGGTACCATTGACATAATTATGATTAACATGAATGACACCATTAGTGTTGTTGTTGATGTTGTCGAGTGAGAGGCATTGCTGTTTCTGTTCCACCGTCTTCCGGGTCGTGGTTTCTGTGGGACGCAGAGATACATGGTCGACAGCAGGCTGAAGTTGCTGCCGGCCAGAAAGAGTGGTTGCTAATTCCTGAGAGCTATGTCGCGATGCAAAGACTCTTCTTCAATGAAGCCCGCTGAAGCCGATACGGTTGATTTGTGTCGGCGCTGGCTCACATCTTCCGTTATCCAACGCCAGACTCGTCGTTGCGAGGGCTTTGCGATGATCAGCAAGCCTCGCAACCGTGAAGACTGGTGGCCTAGACAAAGGTGTTCAGAGAGAGAGTTCTCTCCAGTTGATCTTCTGTTGATCTGCCAGATCTCAGGCTGGGTCCAACGATGATCCAGCACGTGCCAACCGGGGGCTGATCCTGTTGATCTGTCGATCAGCCGCGAGTCAAAATGCCAGCGGGGGTTTATGTTGAAATATGCAGGTGCCACAGTAATCAGGCCTTCGTGTCAGAGATATTGAGCCAGTTTGAAAAGCAAAATACAACAATATTTAATAACGAGTGACTGAAGTTGGGTGAAAGATGACAATGTTGCAGAAGATGGACTCGTGTAGACAAAGCTGGGATGAAGAAATGCGGACAGGACATTGGAGCTATCTACATAGGTGAACTGATTGTTAACATTAGTAGCAGCCACAATACAGATGGCACTTGTGCTCCAACCCCTGTAGGTGAAGTCCAAACCGTCGACCTACCGAAAGCAACCCCGGCGGCATGCTTGCCAGCCAACGTTAGCGAAAGCAGACAAAGGAATGTGGGCGGTGCTGGTTTCGGGAACATTGCTCCACCAGGCGCGGAATAGTACAGGCGCGGAATAGTACAACCGCCGAAATTCCTGATTCGAACCACTCACGGCCTGTGGCTGCTTTTGGGCGCCATGGTGGCTTTGCTTGGAAGGTTCTTTGTGCAAAAGATTTTCATCCAAGAGGCGTACCGTACGTACACTGTTGTCGAAAATAACAATGTTGTGGTTCCTAGTAGCTCAACGGCGGCTAGGGTACGGGGCGAGCTGTCAGGCACACGTTGTGCCAAGGGAGCCGGTGGCATTGTGGAATTCGAGGCGCAATCTTCCTGGTTCATAGTACAGTCAACTCCTGCCATAGAACCTGTCCGGCCAGTGGGAACCGCGACGAGACCAGCACCACATTGGTTAAGACTGACCACGCCATGTGGTGAGAGTTCTGCAAGCCACCGGACGCTGACAGTCTAGATCTTGGGCTAGACTAGTGACAGACGCTGAACAAGCAGCCAAGGAGAAGGTGATCTCGCCTAACATGATAAGTTGAAAGGTGTTTAGGATAAATCTGAAGTGGGTGACGGCCGGTCGATGGAACAAGTCAAGGACAAGAAGTTGATCAAACCGCCGCGCGCGCCTAAGACCCGTATTACCGAAGCAGGACTAGCTCAGTCCGCTAAGATCCAATAGTGCCTGCGCCTGGCGACTTTAAAACGACTCTAAACTGAACTCACTTCAAGTCAGGGGAACAACCATCTTGGAGTCGAACAGCAGTCAACAAGCAGAACACAATCTGCACCTGCATAGCAACCTGGAACCCTGTCAGCCTTAAGGCCGCGACGATGTTATCGAATCCTACGGCGCCATCATCAGCGTCGGTCACTGTCGAACTCCGCAGACAATGTGGACGCGTGCATGTTCAGAAGAAACCCATGGAGATCGAATGGTGCCCCTGACTCGCATATGGGTCGTAGTCGCCTCCTTTGATTGGCAATGGCTGAAATATATTCTCGGCAACCGCCGCCAAGTGGATGCTTTAAGCCCTCTTCTTGTCGGCTCAAGCCTCGAGCCAGCAGCCGGCTGTCACTAAAATGGGGTTCGAGACCAAGACCTACCCTTTTTGGGAGGTCTAGACTGCAGCGCTGAACGATGCATGGAAGCAGAGAGCGACGGGTGCATACATCGCCGGCGTATACCTGGGCAATATTGTAGGGCTGGAGATACACCAGTATAGGCACCTCCTTGGGATGCTGGTCCTCACTATCAACCATTCCTCAGCTGCGGCGGATATCCTCCCCTAGACTCAGAGAACCTAACATGTCATCCGCCTCTTGTTGCTGACCACGCCGTCTGGCTTCCTTCTCCTGCAAGCATCTGTTAAATCCCAATTGGACCCAGCCTCCTAGCCGACTGAAAAACACTCGTCCAGCAGGATGCTTTCGGACCCGGTCCAAAAGACTCGTGACCGCCTCGCGAACTCTATAATCTTCGTGCCAGAGACCCAAGCTGACGTAGAAAAGACCAGCTTCGGACATTGGAGCCAGTTCCAGCAGTTCAAGAATGCTGCGGTAGTCTGTACAGTATGCTTCCAGAGCAAGATAGATGGCCCCCGCTTCCGTAGGAGTTAGTCGCAGAGTGCGGAGTTTGGACAAGGAGTGGTACAAATCCACGTAGGGCTTAGTCGGGGCCTGCGCGAGCATGTTTGTCATGCTGACAGGCGAAATGGGAGATGCAGTATCCTGCGAATGGGCTGCAAGATCGGAAATAAAGGAATAGTAAGACCTTGTGTTCCTCCATCCCTCGATGCGGGCCGCGGAGGCTGCAAGCTCACGGATTTTCGCTTCCTCGCTGGGCCAGACATATCCGTGTCCCTTCAGGTTTTGGCTCGAGGTCTTCATCGACATGGGCCGGGGCGCCGCCGTAGAGGCCGAAGGCGGCTCGACCTTGTCCACCTCGGTCGGAGGAAGCACGGTGAGATTGCTAGCCCCATAGACCATCTCTTCAAAGGCTGCAGCAATGCGGGTAAATTTCGTGATGTATGCCCGGAATTTGGCTCGAATAATGGCCTCTCCGTGGCGTGATGCTATGCTTCGAGTGATGTCCTCCATGAAGTGCACGTCTCCCGTCGCATCGCCAGAGCCCGAATCTTTTTGGCCCAGTATGTGGCCATACTGCTGGAAATATGTGGTGCCTTCGGTCACCGGGGCGGCCTCGATGCAGGAAGAGATTTTGATCCTTCCCGACGGGAGATCGCACAACACGTCCCACCATTCAGGATGGTATGAAAAGGCCGGATTGGTGACCCCAGCAATGAACCCGGGAACCTTCAACAGTTCGTCAATCTTGGTCAGATCGGTGTAGGGGAATGCGTGGCGGGTGAACCCACGCAGCACGCCTCCTGATGCTAAGGCGCAAGCGGCAAGCACCGCCTCAGCAACCTCTCCAGAAGGTCGATTATGGCCGAGGAAAATGACTCTTTTCTGTGTCAGCATGGCATTGATGAGGACAATGATCGGGTGTGTGAAGGCCCCGGATGTTGTGAGATGAGGATGTAAGGCGAATGGTTGAGGCTGTGAAATGTGCGGATTGCCAAAGACCTGCACCAGCTTGATCAGAGAGAAGTCACCCACAGTTTCCGGGGACAGTGCGGTGGGTATCTTCACCGGGATGGCTATTCCGTTGTAGACGATCTTGGACTCGAATTCGTGCGTGTCTCGGGGAACACTGTATTTGGGTTCAGATCTTGAAGGCGAGTCTGGCGCTTGCGGAGACTTGAACAAGGCTTCATCAGCCAACCGTTGCGCAATCATCTGTTCAAACTTCTCAACGAACAGGTCTTTTGCATCACTGGCCTGCAGGATATGCCGCTCGGGCAGCGAAAGGCGTGGCATTAATGACAAGTCCATGGCGTTCAGCGCGATGTATAGATTCTCTAGCGTGTCAGGTGTAGGCGCCTTGAAATAATCTTCCAGGGCGAGCAGCAGCAGCGGTTTGTAGATATGTAGAAATGAGTGCCTGGTACAGATGGCCATGGCCTTGACCACTGCTCCTCTCTTGACACTGCTGTCTTGCTTTGTGTTGACCAGATTTAACACGTACATCAACGGAGGGCTGTCGGAGCCCGCAGCATCGCTTTCGTCGCTGCTCGTCTCGTCTTCGAATTCTTCACCCTTGAGGTTGGCTGCTTGGGCCGCCTCTCTCGCATGTCTTCTCGCCGTCCGCCGCTTGACCCTGGCCTCTTTTTCCGCTGCCTCCTCTTCACTGGACCCTGTGTCTTTGTGCAGGAAGAACATTGTCCAGTCTTGTTGCCGAACGTGAGTCTGATCGGGAAGCATCAATTCAGCTAACATGTTCTCGTCCGGACTGATTGCACCGGGGTACTGATGTTCCATAATTGGACCACGGTCTATGTCAAATGAGGCGACAAGTATATATTCCACGTGGGGTTCAGTCGAGTGCATAGGGTACTGCGACTTGAGACGCTTCGTCGGACGGTACACCGCGCCTTCGCGGACCGTCGACACTCTCTGCGAGGAGCGGTGGGAGCCCCTGGGAGAAGGAGGCATGGCCGAGCCCTGGGAGGACACTTTGTAATGTGTGGGTGCATGCGAGAAGGAGGACTTGCGGGAGCCTGAGGCGGAGGATATAGATCGCGGCCTCTCGAAGTGGCTATACCCTGTATGAGGATGATGGGCTAACGTGTCTGCCATGGCTCTTGCGCGAATGAAATCGTCTTAGTCGTATGGATTGCAAACTCGTCAAATCATATACGGCATAAGCCTAACTCGTGTAAGGCAGGAGGTTGCTGATCCTCTATATCGGGTCACAGGAGTCGTTGCATGTACTGTACCACTGTGATCTGGCGCCCATATATTACTGGAACTGGTTGCGCTCCAGTTTCTGGAGACATGACCACTGACACGTCAAGGCCAACACAGACCCAGTCCAGTAACTGTCCGTGTCTTAGATGCCATTATAGTTATTGAGATATACTTGGACTGCAGTGGGCGGCTCAACCCTGGAACCCCTGCGCAGTCCAGATTCGGAAACTTTGAAACCCCTGAGATCTTCTCCCCGCAGAAATGACACTGCAGCGCATGACATGTGATATTACTAATAAATTACCTAAGACGAATTGCTCGCCAGACCTGCCCTGTGGGGACAGACACCGCTGCCGTGCCAACGGGTTTCTTTATTTACTTCGAGCCTCCATCAACGCTTCAGCAGGTTTGTACTACTAAGCAGAAGTTACCGCGCTGCATCTCATACTGCCCTGATTCAAAACCCATAACATGTGATCGTTCCAGGTCCGACATTTCGGTTCCTTTGAGCATTCCTCTGCAAAGGACATCCTGCAACGACTTGCATAACACCGCACAGCAGCCGATACCAACATCAAGAATTCACCTCATCAATCCATCCAAATACCTGACAGATCTCCACCTCTGCTGATCAAACAGCCACTATGGTAAGTGTGGACCATAACATGGAGGCCGGGATACCTGCGTCCCTCTGATTGTGTGCCATTGTGCTAATATATCGTGACTCCCTCGCAGGCTTCCTACAAATCCACCTTCAACAACTCACCACGTTCATCACCATTTCGACGTCCTGCCTCGCCCAACTCTCCCACCATATCCGGCGGGCGACCAGCCACGCCACCAACCAACAGAAGCGGCGCCTCTCCAATGACGTCCCCATCTAAACTCAAGCATGCATACACGGTATCTGAGGAGGAGGAAGACGAGGTCGAAGAAGAGGAAGACCTCGTCTTAGTGTCCACACCATCGAAATCCAAGACTTCTTCTTCTTCTTCAGAGCCCTTATTCAAGAGAGCCCAAACGGAACCACCGCCATCATCGTCGTCGCCAACAACACAACGCAATTTACACTCCTCCTCAGGCAAGTATGATGGCATGGGCCGCAGTGGTGGTGGTCTTTTCTCCTCAACCCACGAGCCACGCAGACAAGTGTCCAACTCGGGCCTGTCTCAGAACGACAACTTATCTAAGCTACCGCCCCAACTCCTCCACAACATGAGGGAGGCATTCTCCGTGCTCGATGCAAATTCGACCGGCACCATCGACGCCGCCTCCGTGGCCGAGACTCTCCAATCTCTCGGTCTGCACGAGACCAATTTGGCGCAATTTTTCCCGGCCGGCCAGCCTCAGCAGCTGTCCCTTCCACAATATCTCAGTCAACTCGCCAATCTCCTGGCCGGCCTGTCACCGCAACAGGAATTGCTGAATGCCTTTTCGGCCTTTGACGATGACGACAGTGGCCAGATAGACGTGGCCGAGCTGCGCACCGCCCTGCTTAACACCGCTCCAGACCCTGGCGAGCGGCCTCTGACCCAGAAGGACATTGATCGTGCCATGGAGGGGTTCACTGGGAGGAGGATTCTGGGTAAAAATGTCATTGGAATCGCGGGTGTGCGGGGGCTCAACACGCCCGCTCCTAAGAGGGGTGGCGACGTATTTCGCTATAACGAGTTTGTGGCCAACTTGAATGGTGGGCCTATGACAGATGCTGCACAAGGCCAGAGTGTCCCGGCACGTTAGTGATGAGTATGGGTTATCAATGTCGATGGCGTTTTGGGGAGTTGGTCGGGGGGTACAGCCTTCTTTTTATACAATTCTGATAAGATTGCCCATGATGTACAATGTCACAGCTTCTACACAGACATCTCAACATCAAGGTCCATAGCGGACAAATTCATTGCCCGACTACTTGAATAATAAACCCTTCAAGTCTGGCAGTCATTCAGGCATAAGAATGGCTTGTAAGTGTAGATCTGTTTCACAGACGGAAACAATAGCAGAAGAGCCACAGATTGTCCAGATCATTGTACTCCAGGCTATATGAATAAGCCGCCACAGTCTGGTGGTGCTGGAGAGAAAGGGGACATCCATAAAACTTTTACTACCTTGCAGCAATAAGTCGGTCGCTCAACTCATTGACCAAATCTCACCTTTCGATTATCAGTGAAGCAGCAGACGAGATCAAGGACAGTCCGGCTTTGCTACCTTACATTGTATGTTGACAAACGAAGGCACTACGATGTACATTCCGTCAAATGCTGAACCGTAGGCTATACGGTGATACTTACCTGGTTGATGGTGCAGTTCACGTGCCACGCATCCCGCTCCGCGTTGCAAGTGATGCTCGTTTAACGTTCAACGTGGACTCAAATGGTCCGAACTCGCTCAGACTGCGCCATAGAGAGGCGGTAATAAGTGACACTCGCCAAACCTTGAAGGCTACAATAACAACAGACGCTATTCCAATCTACAGCTCCATCGTGTAGTACTGGTCCCACCGAGTACCACCACTGATACGCTCACCACACTCGTTGCCGCAATCTCCTGCGTACACACAACAACCGGCCCGGGGAAAGAGGAGGCCAATACACTACGATCTCTTGAAGCAGGGGATCTGCATCGGCTCAATGCAATGATCTCGCAAATACCTCTCCATGAACTCGACCCTAGATGAGGGCGAGAACTTGCTTCGCAACGGCGACGAGGCTGAGCAGAGCAGCCATTTCGTCCCGAACAGCGCCGACCATACGGACAACGATGCGCCAGAGATTGAGCCCTCAACACATAATGAGTTGAACCCAACGCCTGGCCGGGCGCCGGTGCAACAGTCCGGCGAAGAGCTCGATGATGAAACTCACGGGTCTGGAAATGAGTCGGATGTGCCGGGGGTTACAGGAGCAGATGTCGTCGTTCCGTCCAGTCCTAGCGACAATGTCCTTGCCATCGACGAGCCGCCTTCGACTCCGGATGGTGTTTTGTCTGTGCAAGGCTCCGCGCCTTCATCACCGAGGAGTGAGACTCCCTCTCTCCGTAGTCCAGCCCGGAGAGGAAGTCCATCTAATGCCCATCGGCCCTTTGACGCCCGATTCCAGTCTCGTCTGTCCAGCGCCCAGTTCTCGCCTCTGCGATCGAGCTCCCCAGCGTTCTTGGGCGCCCATTCTCGTCACTCCTCCGTCGCCAGTTTTGGACTGCATACTCCCTCCGAGCCTGATGAATCCACCAATCCCTGGGATGTGATGAGATGGAGCAAGTTCAAGAGAATCACAGGACAAGCTTTCTCCGAGATTGGACGGAGGAACTTTGGAAGTCCGACTTGTTTGGCGGTTGCTGACCAGCTAGTCATTGGGACATCCAAAGGGCTTGTACTTGTGTTCGATCACCATCAAAACCACAAGGCGATCATCGGGAGCGGCACGAAGGCTGCGGAGAGCGGAGCAGTATCATCTCTTGCAATATCCGCCGATCATACTACCATTGCAGTTGGTCATGCTACTGGACATATTTTCACCTGGGAAATGGCCAAGCCCTCCAGGCCCTTTCTGCATATCCAGCCGATCGATGTCTCCCAAGCACAAGCTCGGCGCGCCGATGGGCATATAACCGGGAGTGCGGTGGTTCATATCGGCTTTCTCGGCTATCGCCATACCGCACTTGTGTCGGCCGACGACAAAGGCCTGGCGTTTTCCCATCTAGCCACGCGTGGAATGGGTGCAGTTGGCCGCGTGGTCCGTACATCTCGGATCCTAGGACGATACCCCGAAGTGGTGTCACGAGCATCCAAGCCTCTGAAGAAAAGTTCAGTCCTCGCTTTTTCCCCCTTGCCGCTGGGAAACATCGAGCAGAGGACTGATGGGCTCGGGCTTGTGGCGATGCTTACTCCGTACCTTCTGGTTATTGTCTCCACGACGCCAGTGGCCCAGACACAGCACAAAGCTGCCCGCCCCAAAGAGGTCGCCGCGCACAGTGCCATGACTGCGGCTCTTGCTTGGTTTCCCGCGATCAAATTGAAGACGCAAGGTTCCGAGGTCCTCAAGACGAAGCTTGTTTACGCTTGGTCGAACATTCTCACTGTCCTCGAAGTTCATGAAGCTCCGACGGAAGACGAGGCCGACAAGGACAAGCCTCCCGAACTACAATTTCTCGCAAGGAGCCGTTATGAAGCGGACGAAGCCATTGTTGCTGTTCAATGGCTAAACAGATCAATAATGGCAGTTCTCACGATCACCCAACAACTACTCATCATCGAGGACCTCACCATGCGCGTGACAGATGCTTTCGACCTGCTCGGAAAGAACATATACCATGCGGATCTCTATTCGCAACAGTTGAGGGCCATCATCGAGAATCTTGACGAAGAAGACGCGTCGATGCATGGTGTAGTAGCCGATGCGTTCCACATGAGCTTTCGCGCATACAAGGGGCGGCTCTTTCTCTTGGGATTCAATGACGTCTGGACTGGCGCCTTGACTAACTGGGCCGACCGTCTTTTGGCGTTGATAAACATCGGTGACTTTATTGGTGCCATACGGCTGGCAACCAAGTACTACCAAGGCGAAGGGGAAAAGGCGACTATCGGGCTCCCGGAGGACGATAAACTCCGCTCGGCCCTCGTTCGAGAAAAGCTCGTCGAAATGATGACAGCTTCGCTGAGATATGCATTTGGGAAGAACCAGCAAGCAGGGAATGAGCTTATCGAGAAACCACAGATGATTGAACTCGCGGACGCTTGTATCAAGGCGTGCCTTGTAATGGAGGATCAGGATTTCTTGTTTGAGGAAGTCTTTGCATGGTACGAAGATCATGACCATGGGCCCTTGTTTGTGGATGTTCTCGAACCGTACATCCTGGATCAACGAATTGTCTCCATTCCTCCTCCAGCATTGAAGACGTTGATCAACCACTTCATAATGACACATACTCCATCCTCGCTGGAAGAGATCATATGTATGCTCGACACCTCCACCATGGATATCGACCAAGTCACCACACTGTGCAAAAAGTACAATCTCTACGATGCCTACATCTACGTGTGGACCATGGCATTACGCGACTTTGTCACTCCGTTGGAGCTGCTACTTGATCTTGCCACTGCTGAAAGGCCCGAAACGGAGCGGTCTACCGCCGTTGTGGATGGATCCAGGACTGCGGAGAAGATCTTTCCATATATCTCCTATATTCTAACTAGTCGGGTATATCCAACGGGCGCATTCATGGACGAGGGGGAATCCGTTCAAGCAAAGAGCCAGATCTACGATTTCTTCTTCTCCGGGACGGATGAGTTGAGAGGTCCAACACGAGCAACAGCAGGCTCTTTCGAAAATCTCAATCGGATATTGCATTTTGATGCCACAAACTTCATTGCGGCGATGAACGAAGCGTTCGAAGACAGCTTCCTGAATACAGCTGATGACGATGCACTCGACAGTTCTGGTCCAACGCGCACCTATACCCGCCAATACATTGTCCGAATACTGCTGGAGGTCATGTCCTCAGGATTCGATGCGGACGACACCATCTACCTCGACATGTTCATCGCACGGAACTTGGCCAAATACCCCCAATATCTGATACTTTCTGGTACCGTTCTTCAAGAAATTTTCCAGAGGCTATGCCAATACCCAGATGATGACATGCGCGATGACGCCCAGCTCAGTCTGGAGTACCTGTTGTCAACGTACCAGCCACCAAATCTGCTTGACCTTGTTCCGCTATTGCGAAACGCCAAGTTCTACCGTGTCCTCAAGTCTGTGTTCAAGCAAGAATCTCGATATCCCGACCTGATTCGTACATACTTTCTCGACGATGAAGACCGAGACGGTGTCTTTGCCACCATTATCGATTGTCTACGGCCAGGCCTGCCATCAGCCGAGCAACAGCGGGCCGAAATCAGGAAAACCGTAGAGGATCACGCCATGGATTTGATCAAACTCGATATTCACAGGACGGCGGCCACCATTGACCAAGCTGCACCCGATATGCATCCCAAGTTTATCCAGGTGCTAAGTGATGATCCATTCGGTCAATATGAATATCTTCATGAGCTCCTGGAACCTGAAGATCACTATCGGCCGAGGGGTCATTACAATAACGAGATGTCAGAGCTGTATGTACGACTGATGTGCGAGTTCAATCCGTCTCGTGTCAACGAATTTGTCGACAACGTCAAGGAAGGTGACATAAGGCTTGGAGAAGTACTGCCAACCATCGAAGAGCGCGGAATCATTGACGCCGTGGTCATCCTCCAAGCTCGACAAGGGCAGGTGAAAGAAGCCATGGACCGGCTGGTGAGGCACCTATCGTTTCTAGGATCTACCCTAAAATCTATCGCCACAGACTATTGTGATGGGTCGGACAATGAATCCATCCGACACCCTGGACAGGACGTCCTTGAAGCGGTGGACAAATATGCACGGGTTGGGATATGGCTGTGTCAAGGACAGATGAAGAACATCTCCAAAGCGAATCCTGTTTCCAAGTCTCCCAGACGAGGCAACAACAACTCTGCTCTAACCTTCCAGGAGACACTATGGCTGGAACTGATTCTGTCAGTGGTATCCATTGCTCGCGATAATTCGATTGAGAAGGCTGCACTCAAGGATGAGGAAGGGAATGAGTTCCGGAATGAGCTCAGCAAATCTCTACGAACCACCATCCAACATGTGTTCAGCTCGTTGTTGGCCAGCACCACATCGATACGGGAGGTTAATGGAGGACATGATATGATGTTCCTACGCATCTTGCGTGCATTTCTTGCCCAGGCCGCCGAAGCGAGCCCGTCATTGGCCGAGTTACGAAGTGTAATCGGCTCCATCTTTTCGGCATATGCTTATGAAGAGTCGCTGCTGTCTTTGTCGAATTCTATGCTGGACAAAGATGTATTTGTGCATCTTCATGAAGCCACGGCTCTCCGAGTACGGGGTTGGAGACCTAGAGGTCAGGTGTGTGAGGTCTGCCGACGTCGCGCATGGGGACCGGGGTTGGGCTTAAGGGTATGGGAAGAATGGCAGAAGAGGGAAGAGGCCCGGCTTGGCCGTCGCAGACGTCTACTACAGCGGCAAGACAGTTTTGAACAGGAAGACAGCGGGACCCGAAGCAAGGGTAAAGCGGCTGTCGTAGTCGGTGAGCACGACGGTGACCCATCTGACGGAGAAGGCTCCGCACAGCTGGCGGAGAGCCAAGGATCGATCGTGGTCTTTTCATGCCGACATCTGTACCATCAGAAATGTTTACGGAGCGGACAAGTCGAGCAAGGTGGTGCACCGTTGGTGTGTCCGGCGTGTGTATAGCAAAGTAGAAAGCCTGGAGAACTGACAGAATTTTCCTCGCACTGCCACATATATATTATTATGTACAAGGTGAACGAGCAGATCCAGAACCGGCACGTCTGAGACCTTGACGTGGATGTTGTGCAGTAGTAGCAGTCCAGGAATGTAGGACTGTGGGCATGTCTTTCTTGTTCTCGTGCTAATACAATGTATGTTCTGATCTGAGACGGCTTGGAAGCCCCTAGCCTCGCACGTGACGTGCCGGTTTCCGCGTTGTGATTGGGTGCCCAACAGCTCTGGTAGACGCGCCTCGAACCCCCTTTTTTGTGGCTCAAGTCAATGCTTCCAAGACCTCCGTCTCCAACCCCTTCTTTTTTCGGTGTCCCACTGCCACCGCCTCTCCAGCTCCAGTCCACTGTTTCAACCTATCACAACCTAAAATGTCTAGACTTCACAACAACAGCACGCGCTCCCTTCGCGTTTCACGTCTGCGGGATGTCATGCAGAGACCAGCGCCTGGCACCATCGTTTCACGCGAGTTGATCACGCTATCTTTTATTCAGTTCTGCGGTTTTTACTTGTCCATTTTTGAAAAGGCCCGCCCCGAGCACCTCCGTCCGCAGGAATAGTGCTCGGCCCCGTCAAGGCTCATCCTTCGTCAAGCGAGGAGCCAGCCAAGGGCGGATGGCGGTTTGTACAGTAGGGCCTCAAGGAGCTTGGATGATAGAGGATAAACAGGGTTACCCGATCAAAGGAGGCTTTACTATTCTTGGAGTGGGAGTGCGAATCAAAGGGCTACTTGCTACTCCTTGGTTCCCGGTCTCAAGAATGGAGCCATGAATGGCAAAAAGTCCAGCAAGGAAGGGAAGCATTCCATTCCTTTCCCGCCACCCTCCTATGGCGCAGCAGCAGAGAACATGCCAACTTGCGAGACTTGCTCCTGTCTCTTCTGCACGTCATGCTGCTTATGACAGTTTGTACTGTCAGTCAGGAAGCCAAAAGGCCTTAGGCCAAGCCTTGGGACCAAATTCACACTTTATCGGGTTGACAGACATTCTTCAGAGCGCGTCAAGAGCGGAGTGAATGGTTACCTGCAAGGCTAACAAGTGTGGTTCTCTTCTCGCGTCGTGGCCATGATGGGACACGACCCCGGTCAGTCAGCCGCCCAGATCCGATCTGGGCCCCTCTCCTCCCTTGACTTCACCCCTTTCCAGGTACCCAGTAGTGGTACCCAGTACCTTACAGCCCATATACACTGTACATATACCATGCAATGGACTGTGGTGGTGGTCTTTTTGTTCCCTCTGGTTCAGGTTTCCGAATCCATCTCTCGATCCAACTTCCGACTCGTCGTCTCTCATTAGGTGTTGTTGCTCTGGTCGATTTCAAGTACTGGCTACTTGAAGATTGATACCATACCCCCACCAGCATATCTTTGCGTCCACTCCTTTCTTGTCTGCTTGCAGCCGGTATCTGAATACCTCGTCGCTCCTTTTCTTGGTTGAACCAGATCACACATTCATTTTTTTTCTGCTGCACTGCATTGATACCAACGACGACGACCGCGTCGACTCCAAACACAAAAGATCAGAAACAGAAACAGAAACATGTTGGCTTCTACGATCTTGACACTCGCAGGGCTAGTGTCCCTCAGCACAGCTGGTTATGTGCTGGAAGATGACTATACCAATGGCGACTTTTTTTCCATGTTCAACTTCTTTACCGTAGGTCTCAGCCTCTCTGATGCCATGACAGATTGATTCGTTGCGCACATCAACGACTAACCAGCGAAACAGGACACCGACCCAACCAACGGCTACGTGACATACGTTGATCAAAGCACAGCGCAGAGTGGCGGGCTGATCAGCACGGGCAACGGGTCCATCTACATGGGCGTCGACCACACGAACGTGGCAAGCGGATCCGGGCGATCGAGCGTGCGACTTACTAGTAAAAAGTCGTACACGCATGGCCTGATCATCTTGGACCTCGCCCACATGCCCGGCGGCGTATGCGGGACATGGCCGGCCTTCTGGACCGTGGGCCCCAACTGGCCGGAAGCCGGAGAAATCGACATCATCGAAGGCGTGAACATGCAATTGGGCAACAGCATGGCATTGCACACAGGGTCCGGATGCAGTATTGTCAACAACGGCTTGTTTTCAGGCATGGTGGCAACTCCCAACTGCGACGTGAATGCGGCGGGCCAACCGACCAACGCGGGTTGTGCGATTTTGAACCTCAACCACGGCAGTTTCGGCAACGCATTCAACCAAGGCCAGGGAGGCGTCTACGCGACCGAGTGGACCAGCTCCGGAATCAATATCTGGTTCTTCCCCCGCGGCGCCATCCCAAGCGATATCACTTCAGGCTCCCCCGACCCAGCGAACTGGGGCCACCCGGTCGCCGGATTTGGGTCCAGTGGATGCGACATTGACGATTTCTTCAGTAATCACCAGATCGTCTTTGACACCACCTTCTGCGGCGACTGGGCCGGTAATGTCTGGTCCGTCGACCCGATCTGCGGCGCAAAGGCCCCGACGTGTCAGAAATACGTGCAGAATAACCCGTCTGCGTTTGCCGATGCCTACTGGTCTGTGAATTCGCTGCGCGTGTACCAGGGTTCATCGAGTGGATCTGGAACCGGAAATAATGGCACGTTTACCGCTTCTGGGATCTCTCAATCGGCGTCAGCTACCGCGGGAGGCATCCCTGGTGCCAAGTCTTCGGGCGTTTGGCCGCCCAGCGTTGTTCCACCGTTCTTGTCGTCTGCGTCCGCTACCGCTACCGTCAGTGCTGATGCAGGCGGGATCCCTACCACGGGGTTCAGCCGTGGTGGAAACGGTCGCCCTACCAAGACTTGGGGCTGGGGCGCCAAATTTGCTGATGCCGACACCGTCGCTGCCACCGCTACACCGGTGCCATCATCGTCGGACGAATCGGCGACCAGCATTGCTGACGCCGGAGCCGCTGTCGTTACTGTCTCTGCGGACGGAAGTGTGTCTGAATCGGACACCAGTGGTAATGGTGGTTCTGACAATGGCGATGATGGATCAATAGTCACCGAATACGTCACAGTCACGGCATTGACATTTGAAGACTTTCCGAAACAGAAACAGAGGAAACGTGGTGCATCGGCTACTGTTCTGGCTGGTGTTGCCAACAACGAGGCCGCCGTGGATGAACCTATCAACTCTTCTCCGGACGCAGCGTCGTCGAGTGGAAGTGAAGAAGGAATTTCTGTCGATCTCAAAGCCAGACACCGGGATCAGAATGTCAACGCCAAAGCACATCTGACCAAGCATAAACGGGCGGTCGGGGCGGCTCATGGACATGTACATCGCCATTTGTTCAAGCATGGTGTTGGCGGCGGGGCTTTTGGAGGCAATGAATGAAAGTTGAACGATATGAAATAAAAGAGTTGAACTGTTCAGCGATGGGATTCGATTATGATTTTGACATGTGAAATGAATATGCATTTGCAAGCCAATGATACGCAATTTGAGCGGAATGAATTGAATTGAATTGAATTGAATCGAATCGAATTGAAATCAAATGAATCTTTCAGAATCAGGTCCTTAATATTGTTAATGATATGATCATGTAAGATGGTCGAGTATTGATGATTGCCAGTGCCATTGTCACTGCTACTGTGAGACACCACGTCTTGCGAGGCAGGAAGGAGAATGGTTTAGAGGTTGAATGCAGTGGTGTGGCTTCGATACACAAGGGTTTGGTTTCGATCAATCCAGTCGACCACGCAACCGACGAAAGGACGGGTTGAACCCACCCGTGATTGTTTGGCGGACTGGTGACTGGACGGAACTGTTTGATGCCCACTCACTCCTACTGTTCAAGTTGACCCGGTTCGACATATGTTCAGCCCGTCTCGTCCATGTCCATGACGAGGCAAGGCAAGACAAGGCGATCCGGATCCAATCCATTCGATGCCGTACCTGCCACGGAGGGAGAAGAGAAGAGAAAGGGAGAAAGACCGTTCGTCCGAACAGAACAAGAACAAGGCGCCCCCTCACCATACAAGAACGACGTGAAACGGAAGAGGACGGGAAGGGACGGGCACCAGTTCAGATCAGAACAGTTCATCCCATCCCATCCCATCCCATCTCGTCACTTGTCGTCTTATATGAAACGAACGGGGTGGCCATATTTTGAGATGGGTTACGGGAGCTGGTCTTCTCGTCAGAAGTGTGTGTCGGAGCGCTCGTGGGAGTTAAGGTACCAGGAGATGAATGAATATGAAGTTCATGTACGGTACCATATGTCGTCTATCAATCTATCAATCTACCTCCTTGCAAAGTATGGTAAAAAGGAGCAAAGTCCGATACGATGGGAAAATGCTACTACTACTAGTATCCCATATCTCGCTTCTCTTTCTACTATGTTCGTTACCTAAGCATGCATATGCATCTAAGTTATGTGTGATACGGTAAATAGCCAGGCTCTATCTCTGGGACCTTAAGATATATAACAAAGTCAACCGCTGGCACTCTCGAAAACGGGATGGACCGGTACAATACATACATCAAACATGCAGTCCGTGTTCCGTTTTCGGTCGAAGGTGTCTACGAGTAAACGGACCTGTTGGCTGATTTGATGATTTCTTCTTCTCATTTTCGGACTACCTCAGCATTATAGATAGACCATATCACACCGCACTTAGACTCTTCTCTGGCTCGGCTGCGTGCCGGAAGTGATGTCTTCATTCCTCTGTTCTCCTCTCAACTTTTCTTAGCTTTGTCTCTCTCCCTACCAACTCCCACGGGATGCGACATCTTAGTCAAACTCTCAGTGGAGACAATCCTCTTCCAATTTGCTCCTACCACATGCAGTGGGCAATGGCTTTTTAGGGGTATCATTTCGAAATCACCTTCCCACCCATAGGCGCCGCCGACACCAAGACATGCATGCATCGGTGTTGATTAGGTATAAAACCAAAAACCATCCGGACCAAAAGCAGTCCGGATTCCAAACATCATCACAGGTCATGAAAACAAACAGAAAACAAGCGAGCGAAACGACTGACGCTTAATAGCTGGTAAATGCTTCCTCTTCCTCCCCATCCCATCACCAACGTTCATGGGTTGCATGTTGGTCCCCAAAAGGAGATCCGCTGCCATTACCAAAATTGTGCTGGGAGGCGTAGTAGTTCAAGGATGCGACTCCAGCACTGCTGCCTCCTCGACTGCCGCCAATGTCCGGGCCAAAATCAAACCGTTCAAACTCGTTCAAGCTGCTGACATCCGACTTGGCCTCGATGTCTTCGTAATCGTCCGGTTCGGACACGAGGCTGGTCCGGTTGGATCGCCAAAATGTCTGCGCTGAAGCAGGTGTATGATTTTGAACATGAGCCCCGAATTGTTCGCTAGTCCCACGGCTGTAGTGAGATGCGTCGTCCTTGTCGTCCTTTAGACTGTATCGAGGTATCAACTGCGAGCGTGTGGCGGGCGGTGGCAGCTTAGGTGATGGACTAGGTTCTGCAGGAGTAGAGGTCAAGTGAGTGGAATTGGCGAGTCGTGCTATTCTCACATTCTCCTCCGTCAGCACGTTTCCTTGTGGACTGGCCGAGCTCGGTGTCTGGAGTGCATTGCCGGCTGAAAGCTGTGTCGTATAAATTGCTGGCGGCGGTCCTTTCTTGCCGCTGGGTCCTCCTTTAGTTTTATTGGGCGCGTCTTTGACAATCGGAGAGTACTGAGAAATGGACGATGCTCCGTTGTAAGCTCCAGGAGGGGGCGCTGCGAGTCGGGGAGGGGCTTGCGCCCGCGCACTGTGGTTCATGGTAGGAGAGGGGTCACGGAAACGGAATGCTGACCCTGCTAGGCCGGCTCCAGCATTGCCTGGCAGACCTTGGGGTGATCTTGCTGGGCTGATTCGTGGCGGTGCAGGGCTCGGGCCGCCTCGTGGCACAGGACTTGGAGCTATCCTCGGCCTCTCACCAGGTCCAGTTCTTAACGGCGGCGGTCCCCGTACAGATGGTAAACTGTCGCTTCGATCTCGGAATTGCCCAGGACCTCGCATCGGTGGTTCTGGGCCAGGTTTCCCTGATGTAGGTACAGGGCCACTGAAATTCCTGTACTGGCGAGGTTCAGAAGGACTGGCTCGGGATCTGGATTCGGCAAAAGGTGGATTATATGGAATGGGCGTGGTTTCACGTGGTGTTAGCGGTCGAGCAACTCCAATATGTGCCGACGGCCACTCCGACGTAGCATGTGGAGGTGATTGTGAGGATGTTGGAGGCAGTTCTTTCTGATTGACCGCCGGTGATTTCTTTCCAAACGTTTGCTTGAGCTCTGACGAAGTGGATCTGCCGCTGTTCGACCGACTGCTGAGCTTCTCTCCTTTTCCAGTCATGACAAACTCCGGCTGACTCGCCAGCTCTCTCCTGTGCCGTCGACGCATAAAGAACCAGAAAGCACCTAATGACGCCAACAACACAACGACAAGTGGAACGACAATCGCAGGTACGAGGGTGGCGATATTAGATGAGGATTTGGCCGCGGCCGCGCTCGTTGTAGCTGAAGACGAGGCATTGGAGGTACTCGATTGGGACGTGGACGATACAGCAGCGGCCGAGGTGAGGGATGCATATTCGGAGGAATCGGTGATGGTTCTGACTTTTTCGGTAGTAATGGTCTCAAGAGTGTTTAAGCTCGTCACCGACTGGACCAGAGTTTGGGTCTCTGTAATAGTTGTGAGCCCCGAGGGGGCCGAAGCGGTCACGATTTCGGCGGTTGAAGATGGATTAGGTCTGATATCGGAGGGAGCTATGGACTGTGGGAGCGTTGCCGTCGGGTTCCCAATGCTGGCGGGTAGACCGGTGATCCCATCTGCGCCCTGAGGCGCCCGTTTGTGTAGTCCATACCCGTGCCGCAACATTCTGCCTGTTCGCCCTGCTGGACGAGAGGACGTAAAGAGGCTCGAGTCGAGTTGATGTTAGGATACAGGAACGCGTCTGTTAGACCTCAAGTCGGATGAGGTAGACGCAATTGAGACGACAGCGACAGCAACCGTAGCTCCTTGGGGCGGGACTCCGTCAAATTGTGGCATGGGCGGCCTCGGTGGTAGACGGAGAGATCATCGGGGCAGAGAGCACTAGCGGGAGGCCACCAGGACGGAGGGAAATTGGATACGAGGGTATAACCACAGTAAATGTTCAAGCAACGATTGAAGACTGCAGAACTTTTGACAACGTGACAATTGATGGTTTCTTTCTCTACCACCGGTGTCCAGCACCAGACAAGAGGCAAGAATAGCAAAAAAGACAGTGACGTCCTGGCAAGCCCGATACAGCCCGTTCGGGAGTGGAGGAAGAAATGTTCGATGGCGGGAAGAGAATCCTGGGCTCGTGAGAGGCTCATCAAGGCGCGTCGAGGGTCGCACAGGAAGGGAGATGGAGGTGTTTCGGATCGCCAAAAAGGGGAAAACGCTGGTGCTGGTCAAACATCAGCCTGGCGGGAAAACTGGGGGCTTCCGTGCACCATCTTTGCCCGGCAGGGTCCATCCAAGGCTGATCCGTCATCTTGATGCTGGTCATTTGGACCATGGTGCCAGCCAAAGTGCTTTTCTCAGGGAGCTAGCAGGATATATCATCAAACAACCCTGGCCGGAGGTAGAGGCTGACTGCAATCCGTCTACCGCATTGCCTAGTGGCTCGCATGACGCGGAGTTCGGATGGTGTGACCGTCAGCTTTGTGGAGTAAAGGTCTGACGATCAGGTCGTGGCACAGACAACTCAGGCGACGCAGTTCGGGGTGGACAAAGCGCGAACAGCATGAAGTGGGCGGTGGATGAGGTGGCTGGTGGAACGCGCCGCGGTGGAAGAAGCAGAAAAAGGGGTTGAAAGTCAAAGTGGGCGCCACGCGAAAGGACAGACGTGGTTGGTGTCTGGCCAATCAGCTGGAACAGAACATATTAGGTAAGCACTTATATAAGAAAGTCAAAACCATGTTAAGTAATTCCTTACTCATCACCCTCCATCAACCACACTTTCTTGCAATCATGTCAACCTCGCCGTCAAACGTCTGTTTCTACTTCGCTCTGAATACGGTACCTGATGATCTTCACCGATGGATATGTAGTTATCTTGTTTGACAGTATCTACGTTGACGTTGACGGATAATGCGTCATGATTCCTGTGCGTATGTTGTATGTATCTGTATGATTCGCCCTTTGCCCTCTGCACAATCTCACAGAAACACCTGACTTGTTCTGGCTGTGCCTAGTCGGGTGTGGCTGGCAGCTGCAGTACCGTAGGTGGATAGCATTATACGGGATGCTCACTTACTCAATCGCCGATGGCCATCCATTGCCCTTATGCAAAAAGGCTGGGCATTACTGACAAAAGACACTCGCTGATCCCTTACCAGTCACGGTCCGTCGAAAGCGCATCCCACGCAATAACGAGACTTCTGCGATTACGTGGAGCAATCCGACCAATATAAGTTCAGGCTGATCCGGATGGTCAGACTGTGTTCTCTTGGTCGGTGGCAACTGTTCTTCTCTCAAACAGGAGACTGACAATGGTCTGACTAGATCGAAGAGGGAAGAGAAGACTGGGGAACCGGTGGGCAGTGATTGCCAATGACCATGCTATCAAGTCGTGCCAGCTTGCACGGCCAGAATATTCGTTTGAATATGAACCACCGGGGACCACGGCGCCCTTCTGAGTGGAGTGGCTGCCATGTTGTACCCGTGGTTGACACTAGCAGCCAAAGTTGCGTCGCATGTTCGTTTGTTTACAGCGATATAGGGCTGACATCGCTCCTTTGTGCCAGCTGAAAGCAGCTCTAGGTACTGTCCAGAATTTTCTTGGACCATTGGCAGTGAAATTCCGCGGTTTTTGTTTCTTAGCAATGACAATCGAACTCGCCATCGTGCAACTGGGATCAGGACCGATCCAGTGGAGGGGAAACGGAGAAAAGGTCCTGGCTTATAGGCGCACTTGAACCAAAGTCGTCCTGCTCGTTGCAACATTTGGACTTTGCCTGATCCAGCGTAGACAAAATCGAGGAGTATTTGGTCCAGGTGTACCATATCATCCTGCCTCTTCCAGATGATAACGCATCCTCTTGAGAGGCGACAAATCCCCAAACTGCTTCGCTAAGGATGTTTGGACCAGGACGCTCGCCGACGCGAGTTGGAACAGAGAAACAATTGCCACGCGACATATATGCGCACAGAGAACCCCCCTTTCCGATCAGAAACAATGCAGGCGCTTACTGAACTGACATACATTTTCTTTCGGAGCGGACGCTGCTGCCATTCTTGCGGTCAGGCTGTTGCTCTAACGGCATCAAGCCGCTCGCGGAGGTAATGTAGCGACTAGGAGGTGGGATGGTCTTTAGAGGATCGTAGCCGCTAGAGTGCAATGAGCGAGGTGACGATCAGTAACCCTGAAGTTGGCGCATAGACACTGGCTGCCATTAGACCTCGACTCGGACTTGGTGTGGAAGGACGACTCATAGTCAAGAGTCTTCACAAAACATAGCTGCAGGTCGGACGGCGCTGGATAGAGCTGGATGGTGATGGTGGTGATGGATGCTGGGGCGGATGCGGAAAATGCCTGCGATTCAAGTTCCCTGCTGCCAGTGGCTGCAGCTTGTCAACATCAACTTCAAGTTCAACTCGAACACATCACAATTCACTTCTAGGCCAGCCAATCTTTTGTTCGACGGGCATGTGCACCGCTGTTTTGGACCCTTGACAAGGGACTGTTAGCGGCATGGTGCTTGTTCCTGTATCACCATCTCGATTGGCTTCGCCATTCGGGCCTCACCACCCTCATTCGTCCTCGTCGACTCTGTAAGCGCCCGCTACAAGTGAGCACAGCACCACGGCAGATCGCCCGTTGCAATCTCACCGAAGGAGCATCGCACCATGGCTTGCTCCGATCAGGTTGGTTCTTAGGAGAGGACTTTGCTCCGTCTCTCCTCTTGTACTCTCATGCGTTGTGGCTTCAGCCTCAAGTCAGGCAATCAGTTGGCAGTCCCGTCTGCAAGTCAAGGCGTTGTTATTGCTGCGCAGCCATATCCAGACTAAATATGCTACAATCCCCCGACTGAGCGAACGCCGTCGTTGGGCCAAAGATACCTTCTGACCTGAGAGTCGTTCGATACTACCGCAGACTTGGTTGCAGACCAACCGACCAACATGTTCTTCCTGTCTCGACGCTGGAGGCCAAACAAGTGGCCTTTCTACGGTCTTCTCCTGCTCGAGCTCCCTTTGACGGTTGCTCTCCTAGCACTCTTCGGTATCGCTGCGCCCAATCTATATCGGACAAAACTGTGGCAAGATGGCGCAGATAATGGTTTCAATTCGAGTCCGACAACGGGCCTATATGCCGCAGCCAACTATCGACCGTACACGACTCCCAAAGTCTGGTCACAATTGTAAGCCTTTGGCAGAATCATTTTCTCATTTGACATGTCATCAATTGGGAAGCAGACGAAGGTCTTCATGCTAACCAAGGTTGTGATCAATCCACAGTATAACAAACTACAATGTGGTCATTGCCGTCCTCTCCATGTTCATCATGCTTGTCAAGTCCATCATGTACATGCTCCATGTCTTCCCACCGGTTCTGTCGACCCTGGTCCACGCGATCCTCATCGCTCTCTACACGGTTTCCGTTTACTACCAGGCGAGCAGCGACACGACAGACCCGAAACACCCTCAGCGCGGTGCGCCGTGGTACATTACAAAATCCTGCAGTGTGGCGCACGATAAAAGCCTGGTTGGGTACTGCCAGCAAGCCAAAGCGAGCTTTGCATGCACCTGCGCCATGCAGGGTGTCTTTGTCGTCTACTTTGGCTTCGCGGTCTGGTCTTGTTTCCCAACCAAGTTACACAAGGCTGAATATGCCGAAGAGCAACGCCTGAAGGCTGGGAAGAGGTTCGCGTTTGAGAGGTTGGGAGACTACGATCCCGAAAGCGGTCGCATCATCGTGCGTAGGCCTCAACCCGACACCCCAGGTTTCCAACCAGATGGTGTGACCCCAATCACACCGCGTACCAAGACGTTTAATATCCTTGGAGGCATCAAGGACGTGCCTCGACGGAACCCCTTCAATACGCCCAAAACCACCGCCACAACCAAGGCTCCTTCATTTGCTTTACGCAGTCCAGAGCTACCCAGAAGCCCCATGTCTCCAGGTTTTATTGAGCGCGCAGGCGTCGGCTCCGGTGATGTGCGGACAAGCAAGACTGCGGAAGAGAAACGGGGTGTTGAGGCTTCAAACCCAGCCTCGCCTCAGCTATTTTTTCCTCCTCCCCCGAAGATTGCGAAAAAGTAGAAATGGAGCTCGAGGAAGCAGTTGGATCATGTTGCGTTGGTCAATGAATACCGTGTCATTCCTCTGGCTGGGGTGTCTGTGGTTGGAGAACATACAACAATCTCTTGGTCATCCTACAATTCCATCACCTAGGTGTCCATATCTACCACGTAGGTTTAGTAATATAGATACGAAATAGCTCGGTCGCAAGATAGCATTTTTGGGCCACATTTTCGTCTTCGAAATGTTCTATTTAGCTCAACAGCCAAGGTTACCTGGATAAGATAGACTTGTCAAACGTCACATGAACGGATCATCCCGTGTAGAGGGATTTGGCACAGTGTGTGTTCCTTGTTGTAGTAGCCAGGAATAGGCTGCCGCTTCAAGATATCTGGGTTCTGTCCATCTCCCAGAGACACGCACCTGCAACCGAAGGGCGAGTCAGGTGGACCCGAGCCTAGAACCCGGGGTCGGAGAATTGCACCCTTTCTGGGTCAGAGTGGCCTCTTTCAGGGATCGTGGAGGAGGTTGGTAGAGATATACCGCGCAATTTTTTTGAGGACCAACAGCAGGTCGTTAACGCGCAAAGGCCGCAGTAGTAGCAAGCTCAAGATGCCAGTGGGTTCCAGGTCGGGATGCTGTGTAAGGTATCTTACTAATTAATCAAGGTTTCTAGCGCGGTACCCCGAATACGAGGCTTGTAATGTCAAATCTTTTTGTCCTTGTGATTCAGCAATGTCTGCTCTCATCCAGAGCAGAGTATACTGTACCCCACGACAGTGCATGAGGACTTCGAAGAGCGTGGAATCAAAGATCTGCGCATGCTCGAGAGAGAACCATAGACCTGGACCGTCAAGTCAAACAGGACGAAATCACACAGTCAACAGCAGCCCAGCTCTACCCCAGCCTTGCCCAGTCACAGAAACACAACGTAAGCTGCTGTCAAGACGCAAATAGCCGCGTAACGCCAACCAGTCAAAATTACGATATCTCACCACTTTTTTTCCAACGTCCTCCACCGACCTTGGAACGTGCCACGCTTTCCCACGCTCGCTCGCACCGTCTGCGCTCGTGATGAGGTGATTCCTAGCCTCTTCACGGTCATGCGCCCACAGTCGCGCCGGGTTGGTACACTGCAGCTTCAGCACAGGTCTCGATCTGCAGAGCTCTGAAGCCGAGGTCATGTCTGCTGGCGCCCCAAGCCACGACTGAGTTGAGCTATTTGGCGTCGGCGTCTTCCGGCAATCAGCAGTGGCAGTTCACAGCACAGGCCGCTGATTGAGCAGTCGCAAGTCTGCTTCTGGAACGGCCGTTCCATACAAACCAAGCCTCTTTCGCATGTGGTTTGTATCTGTATCCCTGGTTCTGGTCATGCGATCGGTCAGTCGGTCGTCTTGGCCCGCGGGACATTCAGGCCCGAGTGATGAAAGCGAGCTTTCAAGCACGAGCACAAGCCGGGGGAGATCTCTCAAGTGGGTTCCTCCAGAGCTACAGCTTTAGCTGCCAGTGCGGTAGCTCGAACCGCGTGGAGAGGATGGATCCCTCTCGGGCAGCTGTTTGAGTTAATAAGGTAATGGCTATATATCATGGGTGGACTACCATACCAGCCCTTCTCTTTTCCCACTCGTTCTTCCAAATTAACAGACATCAAACAAATCGACTACTCTGCTACCTACCAATCCTAGCCACTATCCCACTCGGCCCATACACCGACAGTACAACCCCAACATCCCGTCACCTCAAGTCAAAGCCTACATCTACCCGCCAACCTTTCTACTATATCTTCCTGCGCTGCTCCTATCGAATCAAACTACAATAGCTACGCAACGCGACTTCTATCAACCACTTGATAAATTCCCAAACCAAAGGACAAAGACACCGCAATCGCAATGGCATTTGCATACTACTACGACCTCCCACCCCCATTGGTCGACCACCTCCACGAGCGCCGGCACCAACACGAAACCGTGCTCCAGGCGCTGGCGCGACGACACCCGCGGCCCGAAGAGCACCCGAACCAACCAGACGTGGACTACCGCGACGCAGTCAAAGAGTACCTAGTCGAGGTTGAAGTCCCAGGAATCAAAAAGCCCAACGAAGTCACCGTCTCCTGGACGGGTCCTCGGTCGCTTCTGATCACCGGCAACACCGCCAGGCCGGATTATGGAACCGCAGGAAACACGGACGTGGAAGAAGAAAAGGAAAACCCCCACACGGACGGCGTGCATCTGCTGGTCGGCGAGAGGAGAATCGGCCCGTTCAGACGATACATCAATTTCCCCACCGATGTCGAGAACGTCAGCGTCACTCTCGAGGCTGGCTTGTTGAAGATCCGCGCGCCCAAGAAGGGATACACTGAGGCTGCGCAGACTAAGGTGGATGTCAAGCATGAGTGAGTTTGCCTTGTTAATTTTGGGTTCTATATCATTATTGTCGAATCAATCAATCTATCAATCAATCAATCAATCGAAATCATTTACTCGAAATCCAAATTCTGTTCCCGTGTTTTCGTTTTTTTTTTTTTTGTTTCTTTTGTTGTGTCTCCCTTTTGGTGATCGATGTCCAATAAAAAAAGAGAGAGAAACGATCAAGTACTAATTCCATATGTAATCTTTAAGGGACCACAAAAAACATACGTTGCCTACTCTTCCCATTAGCGGCGCTCTCTGAGTGATGCCTTGCTTGAGGCTGGTTTGGATGCCCGAGAGAAGAAGACTACTACTTGTTTCGTCTCAATTGTTGGTCCAATGTGATGTTGACGGGAGCCACTTGACGCTTACTATATGGGCAAGAGGATCATGATGGCTCCCTCCAAACGGAGAAGTAATTAAGTTAGGATCAATAGAACTCGAACTCGAACATTGAAACTAGCAAGGAGCATTGCATTGCAGTCAAAGGCTGCTCTCGTCTCATCTGCTATCCTCGTCGTTGTTCTTTTGGCAGCTACCATCTTCAGCGGTGCCTTCTTCATGATTGGCCCTGGGGTTGCTTTCGTCAGCATCTTCAATGTTGTCACCACGAGCACCACCCTCATCATCATGGCTTCCATCACCATCTTCATGTTGTCACCACCACAACCACCCCGTCATCTTCAGCGTGATCACCACGAGCACCACCCTCATCATCAT